TCGAATACAGGAAAGGAAACCTGTTCGCAAAAGTTTCAGAGGAGCGATGCACCGGAAGTTGAGGCTTGTCTTTATGAAATTAGCTTTCTTGCTCACCATAGCCGGGATAAGATACACCGCATACCGACGGGCCTTTTACGGAAGCGATTGAAGTCGAGTTTCGAGTGTCTATACGATTGTTTGCCATCGTGGTCCATCTTTTCGTGGTCGTCAATATCAGTACGGGCCGAAAAGCACAGCACCGAAGCTGGGATAGACAAACTGGCAGTCAAAAGGTTTGTAAAGGGGGGTTGATGTAGTGTAGCAAAAGAAAGCCAAAGCACTTATATGCAAGGTAATGGCGAGAGAAACACCCACGCCGAGCTATGCAGCTATACAATAACAGCTGGAAGTTTTTCAAATTAAATTTTCAAATTGGAAGGTGGCGAATTATAGTTTAGACCATTCGGTGATGATTACAGTACCAAAAACTATGTTGTTGAGCCTTGAACTGATGACCACCCGTGCAGTGACTGATTCTCAACGAAAAAAACTCAGCCTCTCTCAACTCCATCAGGGAGGGCAGGGTTGGAAACGTTGTAATTGTGGAAAGAGTTCTCAGTCTCGCCACGAGAGGGCCTTTTGGGTACTGACGATGCTGCTAGGATTAATCATAGCCATGGGGCTAGCTATGCCATCGATTTCAATTTCAGTATAGTACTTTTACCACGGCAGGGCATGCATAATTCCTTTCCGATAGCACCACTGCAGCCTACTCTCTAGGTCCTGATACATGCAACCAAGAATCGTTAAGGTAGTCCTCCCTAATCGGATTGAAAGATAAGGTATTCTTTCTAGTGTGTGATCATCATGTCAATATATCAACCCTTTCTAGGTTATCCGTTCTGCCATATGTCCGACAGAAACATAAAAGACATTAATATACAATTCTTCGCGGCCGCCACCCCGACGAATTTTCTGCCACGCTTTGACATGAAACATTTCCGTGACCACGATGCGATCGGGTTTTGATTGCATGATTTCAGGGATTTTGTTGAAATTTTGTTCTAGATCTTGAATCGGATGTCTGCTGTGAAATACGTTGGCACAGGTAGCGACAATATCACGAATGGTGCAGTTGGTCGAAGGCTTGATCCCCAGCGCAACCAGAGAGATTCTGGGAAGAAGGAGCGGATCTAAAGATAAGAATGCATGGGTGTAATATTCAATCACCTCTGCTCTGTTTTGACATCAATTCTTTGGGGAAGCACCGCCGCAACCCTGACTTCTTCGTTCTGGAACGCCCTTTGAAGGCTTGTGAGGATGGACTGCAGCTGTCCCATTGAGAGGTCAGATGAGAATATTGGTGACATTCTCAGATGCTCCAGCATGGCAGAACAGAATTGCACGTCACGTAACCAGATATCTTTCGACTCGTAGCCCCGTATGTGCAGAGCGTCAATACCCATGAAAGCGTAGCATATTAGAGCGATACTGGCTCCCACACCAAAAGGCCGGTAGGGAAACTGGGGGGGTTTCAAAGCACGTTTGGACAAAACCAGACTCTTGCGATGAAAATTGTCCAAGAAGGAACATAATATATCGGATCTGCATTTCCAAGTCTTCGTAGGACATAGTATGCAAGCCCTGAGATTCGCATAAAGCGTCGCGGATATCACTGAGCCATGACTGCAACTGACTGTACTGCAAGACGAAACTCTTCTCCCAGTCATAGTCACTCCGGTATATTATGGCCCACAAGGAGTCTTCATTTCCAGGGAGCATTGCAGTAATGAATAAGTAGTTTAGAACCAGTAAGAGCTGATGGAAGGTGTGGGATATCTCGGCTAACAGAATACCAGGTGCTGGAATTTGGGGCTGGAGTCGAGGTGGCAAGGAAACCTGAATATTGTTAATCGTGAATGCTTACGTACAACGAGACTGCAGAATTTACCGGAAGAGCCATATCAAAGTATGACTGCGTTGTACAAGAGCCGAAAGAGCTCGGGCGTTCCTCAGGATCGCCTGTACTGAGCGGAAAGCGACCGACGGGACTGGGAGGTGACTTCTGCGATGTCGCCACTTCGCCTTCGTTTTTCCAATCTTCTATCAGGCCGTTGCTGGCTTGGAAATATCTTGAAGAAAAGGCGTCGGTAGATGGAGATTGGCATTTATACCCCGTTTGATTGGCAACTTGTCCGGTCTCACAGGTCTCTCTTTGTGCATCGATGGCCTTCTCATTCCGCTCATGGTAATGCGTCCGCTCGTCCTCGAAGACAGCCTTTCGCCGCTTCGAACTTTCTGGCTGGGTTGGCGGCATTGTCTTCTGCCCCAAGGTCTTCTGCCCCAAGGCCAAAGGGACCCGTTCTTCATACAAACATAGATCCGGTTGCCCACGGTCACAGCAAGACTGACAGGCGGGTATCTCTCTACTGCATCCTTTTTTGGAAATGCGACAGGGGATGCAGGGCCGCCGTACTTTCCTAGAGCATGAGGCTGCCATTCCATGAGGCTCTGTCATGGTTTCGGAAATAAATCAAAGAGCTTGGATCGATAGCAGATGTAAATTTTCGCCTCTATCAAAGAAGGAGAAGCAATTTGTAATAAAGGTAAGCGATCAAGTTAGCTAGTAGCTTGAGGATATCCGATTTGAATGAAAGTTTGATAGAGGGAGGTATTTGACACGCCCTCGGCACCACTACACCATGCCGCGACTCGGTCGCATATAATGATTTTGAAGGAGCTGCTTGCGACCCCAGGAATCGATCTGAACGTCTGCGCTGCGAGACAGACCCCTTTTTCTGCCGCCGCCGCTGCGGGTAGAGTCAACGCAATGAAGATACTTTTGGGTGAGAGGGGTGTGGAAATCAATACAGGTAGAGATTTGATGGATCCTCCTCTATGCCAAGCGGCAGCGGGATGCCATGTGGAGGCTGTTAGATTATTGGTGCAGCAAGGCGAGCGGCTCAGAGTCAACCAAGGCAACTTGACAGTGCATGGCACAGCTCTGGGGATTGCTGCTCGTGCGGGAAACCTGGAGATAGTCCGGGCTTTGTTGAAACACGATAAAATTGACCCTAGCCTGGAGAACCGATGGCTGGAGTCTCCGTTGGTGTTGGCAGTCAAAGGCGGATATGTTCTTGTCGTCGACGCTCTGCTGGCGGATCAAAGGGTGGATACGTACAGGTTACGAGAGGCACGAGCAATCGCGACGCACGAGGGTATCCGAAGGGCCATTCAGTATGAGATGAATGATCTCAGAGCCCGCTGTGAATGGATTAAGGCACATTGGTCCCTGGCATAGTGGACGCGGGTAGTCTGCGTGGACGGGTGCTGAGGTCGTGCTGCTTGAGGTACTGAATGTGGGCTATAGCAAAGTGCCGACCAGCATTGATACACGATGCGCAACGTGTACTGCAGCGTATAGCAAGCATGAAAGGAATATGATCATCGATCTCACGATACGTGGTGGTAACCAGGTTTCCTTGAGAAGCTGCAGAAACTGCATTGCTCTTACCACGGGCTTTTCAACGTCGTGCATCAAAGGTAAGAACGTGCGTGGACTGTCTGTCAACTCAGCACGGGTGGAGTATGGCCCAGGATAAGTTGATGGCAGGTGTTTTCTCTCCCACAGTAATATGCTGTATTTAAAATCTATGGAAATCCGCTCTGTTCTGCACAATCAACCTTCTCCCATTCTTCCCCAATGAATCCACTCACGGCATGCTCTTCACCAGCCGACCGACCGGCCAAGAGACAGCGAAGACTCTCCGAGGACACTTGTAACGACCCGAACGCAGAGGATATTTCACCCGCTTCATACTCTACCGCAGCGAGCAACCTCACTACGACGCAACTTAAGCAAATCTTGCGCCGCAATAGCGACCTCGCCCTACCGGCCCTAAGACTCTTGGATTTGTATCTATGTCTATGGGGAACTTATGTTGTGAAATCTGCAGACAGTAACCGGCTTGAAGATGAGAGGCGTCAGATATGCGAGTTGAACGGATTGCTGGAAGAAGAAACTGATAGTCTCCTCCAGTGCTGCAACCGACAGGCAGTGGAGTTAGAGAGTCGAAAACATACAGTGAATGCATTCCATGGGAATGTCATGTCGGCTTTGCAAATCATCGACCTCCCTTACTATCACATTGACAGACCTTGATTCATGCATGGAGCCATACATATTTTGTCGGTTTAGGAATATTTACACTTTTCGATGGCACGACTCATTTGGAACTTCCACGGACATGTAATTTGCTATTTATGTGAAGCATAGCGAGGTTCTACGGCCCCATCAATTGCTGTCTTGTAATGTATTCCTTAGTAGCTTCGAAGAACCAAGTTCTTAGCGACCTATATCTAGTACTAATGAGATTTCCTATAAATGTATGGTTCCCCTTCACATAGCTACGTCTTCCATCGGCAAACATGAACAGCTTGAATTTCTTCTAACCACTCAAAGATAGGCTTAAGGCGATCCTTGCCGCTTTCATTGACTCGACTCCCAATACAGGATTTCCTTAGTTATGTGACAGAGCCAGACAGGTGGATATCCAAGATCATAATAATAGAGCGAACGTAAAGAGTTCTCCCTAATATGGGTTTTCTGGGACTCACAGCACTCGCGCATGTACGAATTAGGTATCTACAGTATTTTTAAATGGTCCTGATGAAACTTTCTCATCTCAAAAATAAAGTCCCTTGCCGGAACTGCTGCGGTCTGCTGGCTATCATCGCGGCGCTAGAGATGATAGCATTTGGGAACAAAGGAACAAGTGGATTTAGATTCGGAAAAACTGGGCTGCGGAGGGAATACTCCTGGGCTTTGAGTTTTCAAGCGAGGCCTTTTATTTATCGGTATTCTGCTCCGAAAGGAATGCGAGAAAGACCGATCCACCATGCACTGAGATGGAATTGACTTTGGTTTGAGAATTCAGCTCGATAATGCATACAGAAGACTGTATGTAAACGAAGATTTGATATTGCAAAGAGAGAAAGGAGCCGAAAACTTTCTCTTATTAGACACATGATCTGGCCGAAGAAGACAGATTCTCGCTCACATCATACTGATGCGGCATCTCTCGCTCCCACGATTGCCACAAGACCAGATACTGGATCACCGAAATTCCATCTTCGGAGACTAGACGGGAATCAATGGCGCCAATCGGTATCTTTTTGCCAACCTAGTCGCTCCAGTTAGCTCGACAGTCAGAAGAAAGCTTATGGACGAACTTACAGCCCCCGAAGGATTGTGATCATCCATGGTGTGGCAGATGCAGGGAAGACTGGATCCTGGCGACTCTTCTTCTGAGTACGTGGCATCATCGCTCTCTGATGCCACAAATCTGCGATCCTCACTTGTTTCCGAAAGGTCTTCCTCTGTAGTGGAATCGTCGTCCGTTTCTTCAATCTTGAGGTCTCCGTAACTTGACAGGATCTCGAAAAGCTCGTTGTGACTTTCTTCTGTTTTTTCCGACATCTGTAGAATGATGCGGCAGAAACTGGAAGTGTCGAGCAGTATAGGGATCATCTCAATTTATAGAAATTATCGGCGTGTGATGATTTTCGGTAGCTTGGAGTTGAAACTATATGACGACCGGTGAGCCACATGTTACAAAATTTGGAGGGACGGGCAATTAACATTATCATTGGCCCGCTGTATACATGTCCATGCGTTCAAGTGAGAATTTCTGCGGTATGTTGGCAAGGACCATCACTGGGCATTGAGATGGTTGATTCATCGAGAATGGATTCCGGGGGTGGGAGGAGCGCTGGCCCCACCAGAAGCCCGTGGTTGATCCTCACAATGACTTTCCCACTAGTCACAATGGAACGACAGGGGCAGTCGCCCATTGACTTTAAACTGATTCGGTGTATATTCTGGGATAAGCTTGATCAGAATGACCAATAAGATATTGTGTATAGTCCTAATCAGACTGGATTCATGATGGCCATGGTACGATCCATTCATCGAGGGTGGTGCGCATGGTAACATCCAGATGAGTACAACGTGAAGTATTTGGAATTGTGTAGAAAAGGCACTTCAAGCCTAATCACCAGCCATGAAAAATGCTACCCTTTCGCAGTGTGTAGGACTGTCTGACAAGATTCAGGGCTACCATGTTCTCGGTGAAAGCGGATATATGCCGATCGATATTCCAGGGTAGATTATGCTGTGGGCATGCTTCGTGAAATTCTGCCGTATATTCAATATTCCTCGTCGCTGTGGCTTACTAAAAGGCTGATTCAGTGACTTGATGGAAATTGACACGCAACTGAGTCACGACTTTAGACCACTGTTTGGCTCTCTTTACATAATGAGTCAAATATAGTATCGTCAGAAGTATTATCCATATTTGCAAAGATACTTCGGCACTCGCTGTTTTCAGCATACAATTTTGAGGAGCCTGACGATAGCCGAGATTTGATATTCGGGCTCTGTCTTCGGCTGGAACCATGGTTCCCGGACCCATCGCGGTCAGTCAGAAGAGTCGGCCAGAAATAGCGTGTGGTGGACTTGTCTCAACAAGCTGATCTGATCGCCTACAGCCTAGAGCTTATGTCACATAGGATAATGATCCGTTATCGTTCTCCGCAGTTTGCGGATAGTTGGATAATGAATTGGTATATCGCTATCCGCCGATACTATGCGGCTAGTGCCGCAGTCTACGTGCAATCGACTTGGGTTGCCAATTCAAAAACTATGCTGAATTGTATGGTAAAGTGTACGCTTCTTTATAGTCCGGTCGCTATTTTGTGCGGCATTCTCTTTGAGCTTTTTTCGCGTGCTCTTTGGCGATATCCTGTGTCTGTTAGCAGGATACACCGCATAAGGCGATGCCCCTGTATGTCAACCTCCCTGTGGCTGCCATAGCGATACTTGTTTTGGTTTCTATCAGAACCCCCAGTCATATCGACAAGATGAAACGCAACGTTAGTCGAACCATTCTCAGCAATCTCCACCTTTTTGGGTTTGCACAATTTCGGTCGAGAAACGGACTCATCATGCTGTAAGGTTCTCGGTGAGCATTGCAGGCCCTAGCTGCATGTTCTCTGTCAAACAGTACCAAGACCCCTGCGAGCCGTCTGGCTTGCTCCAGAATGTTACAGAAAATGAAGGCGATTGTTGCTGGTCCAGCTGAGAAGCGCCCGCCACACTGAAGTCATAAATGCGAACACGCCTCGGGGGCGGGTGACTCTCCTCGAGAGCTGTCTGGGGGGGTCCAGTCCAAGTACAGTTCTTCAAGCTCATTCATCCGAGATGAGATCGTTTTGTAAGGTTTCGTAGTTTCTAGCAACCCAGGTTCAGCAATGCGAGTTCGCAGATCGAGCCCCCGTCGATCGATATGTGACGATCTAGACCCCCAAGCAACGGCATGCAAAGGGAAGGCCATTCCGAAATCCAAACTGAAGGCTTTGGACAGATCATCGGTGTAACGGCTAGCATCGGCGGATAGATTAGATAGTCGTGTCATCACAGCTGAGTCGTAAGCGGAGCGGTTGGTATTCCAGTCGAAGGTGTAACATTCTGGTTGATAGCTACCAATTTGGCAGTCGAAACCGAACGACATAATGCTTACGGCATCGGCTGCTCGCTGTTCACTTTCGTCCCACGTCCGTTCCTTGCGGCGAACCCACTCGTCGAATTTGAAGTTCCATTGAGCCCGATCATAAGCTACAAGATCTTGGATGATGGAAAACTGTGTGGCAGAGGAACCACCTTGTTTTGAAAGTAAGTCAAATTGTTGAAAATGTAAGGTTGCGGAAGTAATCAAATCAAGAAGGGCGGCTCTTGCTTCTTCGACCAACTCAAACTTTTCGGGCAGAATGATGTTTCCTTCGTCGTCGACTGGATTTAGTAACAAGGTGGTGCACGTATCTAAGTTCCACTGGAAAGCATTCATGTTAAAGAGTGAAAGCAGTGGCCCGATCTCCGTTTCCATGAAGTTAGCCTCGAGTGAATCGTATTGTTGGCCCCAGGGGCGGCTAAGCTCCTTGCGACTAGCTTCGCGCCAGGAGTTGAAAATTTTGATCCCACTTCTTATATGCGATGCGGCGGCTTCAACGTTTCCCTGGAAGTATTCAAAGCATATGAAAAGAATATTGGCGATAGCAACAACCTGGAAATTATGAGGATCTGTCGTGAGCATTTCTATGAGGGACCGAATGGCCTTATTATATAATTTGATCGGTGGCCCAGTTATTAGGGAATTTCGACGTGAAGGTGGGATCTTATCCGCTGTGGCATGTTCATGGAGACTACCGAGGGCTGCGATTGCTTGACGAATGGTAGGCTCGCCGAGACTGAGTTGCAGAACACTGCCCTGGAAGAAGGTTTGCTGAAAGTTGCCGGCGAGTTGCGGGGCCGTACGCAGAAAGAAGAGCTCCAAAGCTTTCGCGGTGGTTGGATCGACCTCGGGAGATGGGGCCAAGGTTCGCGGTAGCATGACAGAGGATGCTTCAGGCGTGCCATAGGCGCAGGTCCGCCCACCGAGAAGACATCTACGTCTATCAGCTGAAGGGGTTCTAATTTTTGGCCTCTGCTGTTTTTTGGGCTAGGGGAGAGACCGATCAGACAGGACAGGTCGGGTTTCTAGACTTGACCATCCCGGTCGTGAGAGAAGAGCAAATAGCCATACCGGGCGCACACGGGTTTCTCCTCGTCACATTTGACGTGACGAGCCCTGAGGGAAGATTCAGCGGCGAGTTGGGTGCTATGCTGGAAGGGATAACGAACTTGCATGTAAGGCAGCCAGAATGCACCTTTGGCCTGCTTGCACGCTGTCGAGACATCGAGTTGGGCTTGTTCATGGCTCGGGAAACATTGTTCTTTCATTATTGAAGAGTTACGCAAAAGGCGGGGAGACTTGGCTGATAAGTCAGCGTGGGATGTTAACTACATGTAGCCTTGCCCCCCGAAAAATGCAGGATGTAGCTTCAAAACAGGTTCCCAAATTGCTGTCATCGTGGCGAGAAGACTGCAAATTTATCTTGTTGACGATTTCTGAATGTAAAAAAGGAAGATAAATCTGTCCATGTGGTCCAATTTCTATGTTTGACGCGTACGCGCACCGTAGATCAGGAGCGCTGGATTGGCTTTTAGTTTACCGCTTTCTAATAGCGGCAGAACCTGCATCATACATAATAATAAGATCGTTGGAATCCGTCGGAAGATCTGGCGATCTGGCAAGACCGCCCGCGTTCATCGTTTGCCCTCGAATCACAACCCGCTTGAATTTTCTTCCGAGTCACTTCCGTTTCTCTACGGTTGATTTGAACTCGCGCTTCTTGGCCACCTCGTGATTATAATGAAACCACTTTTCCGTGGTACTTTTGGGCATGTCCACTCAGGTTAGCATCCGGCGGTAACGTGGCGCGGCGACAAGGTAGTGGTGCACTGGTGTGTCGCAGCGCGTCGCATAGGGCACATGGGCCACCACGCCCATGCCCACACGGGCCACATCTAAAGAAACATGATGGCTACGTTCGAAGTCAACTAGCACGTCTTCTCTACTAGGTATCAAAAAGCGACTTGGCACCTTTCGAATACAAATTAGGCCATTGTGACCGTCGTGGCAATTGACTGGCCGTACTTGCCAGGCTGCTTCCCCCTCGGTGGTGAAACCGAGGAGCCATTCGGTCGGCGTGCGGCTGCATTGAGCAATAGCATCGGGGGAACAAAGCCAACTTCATTACGGCAGCTTGACAACATGGTTAGTTGGCTTCCAAATTATTCTAGTGATGAGAACGTACTTGCCAGTTTTGTTCATGAAATAGGCCATGGTGGCAGCCTTGAATCGCTGTCTGCATTAGGACACGGCCAATGCAATTTGCCGTTGAATACACTCGATCTAGTACCAATTGTCAGCAGCTGGCACAATATGGTCGTTCGCAACTCACCGTGGTTGTGGCCTAGATGAGATCTCCTTATACCAGCCACAATACACTATCCCGATCGGACACTTGGGAACAGCCGAACAAGGGCTATGTTTCACTGCCCATGTCAGCATCATTTCTGGTGACTGGGGTTGGTACGGACTTGTCGTCAATGTAGTCTGGCATCAGCATAGGGTAAATAGAGACGAGGTAGCAGGCGTCAGCTCGATCACACGTCGGAGGGCCAGGGGTGAATCCGTAGCGCGGGAATGGATGTGGGCCATATCTGCCAATGCATAGCTGTTTCGTCTTTGCCGTTCGTGCGCCAGGCAAATCTTCACGTGTTAGGAGAAAGTTTCACTGGAGGAGAGATCGTGGTATTTGGCCTATGCTAAAGTAGGAACTGACCTGAAACGACTGCTCTCGCCGATGCAGTGCTGCGGCTTGCCTCGTCACTTGCTCAGCCGCGACCGGGCTTGACAGAGCTATCCCTCAGACTGTGGCCAGAAGCTCAATTCCTTACTGGTTGATACTATCATCGGAGAGACCATGGTCTTACTCGATGGCCGTCGATGCTCGGCTTTTCTTCGCTATCGCTGGACGCTGCGATAGCTCACTCGGCCTAGCATGGGACCAGATGATGCCGTCATCGAGGCTTCGAATCGGATATTGGACAAAAGGTGCAGGGCTCTCGGGATAAGGAAGCTAATACAATGACAGTTAACCTTTGGATGGCCAGGATCAAGCCGGGAGAGATAAAAAAAACATGTTGGAACTCTACAATATGGCCAATCAAAGGGCACTGAGCCTTCCTAGATTTGTTTCGTCAACGTGAGCGAAATGGGCGTTTCAAGCAGGTGTCTTGAAACAGCGAAATAGAAACGCACTGAGATTCATTGGCCCGTCCCGACGTACACCCTTAGTTTCGAGGACAAAGTACGGCTCGGTCGTGGCGAGTGCCATCTTGAAATTTGACCTATGACTAGAAAGATGCATCAGCAATCGTTTCTGATGGACAGAGAGCACGAGGACGTCAAACCTCAAGTAAATAACATCTGCACTGAGATCCAAAATGCAGCCCCGGCCATGGGAGTAGACAGAGGCAACGCACCAGGGTGACTCAGAGGAGATCGAGCGTCCCGTGATCGAACGCTTGCCCTCTGATACCGGTAATCGTTGGCACAGGATGGATGCTCTCCAAATTGCCGCTGATAAAAACTTACGTTAACTATTGCTGTTCGCTGCATTCTGGCAAGGTCGAAGCGGCTGTGCGAGGGATGATTTCGATCTATCATTAATCATCAGTAGGCAACTAATGAAGGCACTTCATAACTCAACGCGCGTGCAGCTTCGATCATTTTAAGATCATCCAAAGTCCGTCAAATGGTTTCCTAGAGGGATAGTAGAGGAGGACTGATCTTGAGCATATTCCATGTCAGCATAATTTCAAATGACGGGCAGCTACACTCACTTGCTGTTTGAAGTCTTCAGCATCGAACAATGACAAGCTAGTGCGATGCAAAAGGTCAGTTTAATTATAAGTGCATAACGTCGAGGCCGGTCCACCGAAGTGTTGCTGGCGAAGACGAAAAGCGATCGATAATCTTTGGCCCAAAGTGACAAAGGAATGCTTGAGACCGAATGTTCTGTTGGCGAGGGCCCGTATATTTATAGCACTCCAGTCGGGCATTCTGCTTGCGTCGAATGATCATTGTAAATCGCGAGGGCACAAATCAGATGACTCTCCAATTGCAGCTGGCTCAACATTTCATGAATGATTTAATGCATCGAAGGCATTGTATTTTTTCCTGATGACCCAGCATATGAATTGTTTTTCTCACTGTTGATCTCGTTTAAACAGTTGCGAAAATGCCGCAGAAAAGCAGCGATGACGCGTATCAACATTCACCACCACGTGTCCGTACGTTATTGCGATGGGTGGGGCGGCAACCTTCCCTAACTGATGATGAGCGCTTTATTAGTGACCTCTCGCAGTTAAGATGGGAACAGGAACGTGTATAGTTTGGCCTTGACGGGTCACCTGTCGCTGCGGTCTTATGCGTAAACGCATTAGACTGTAGCGTCAAAGAAGGCCCGTCCGCGCTCCCTTGTAGGGAGGCAATGTGTCTGTATATTGCAATGCTGGTTTCTATATACAGAGGGGGGTGGGAGGGACAAAATCGAGACTTGACTGCGTGAGAGATGACGAGCTACTACCAGAGGCAAGCAACTGACTCTTGCGAGGCAGTAGTAGGAAGAAGGAGCCCTCCGTAATGTCGGTGTAGATGTCACGTGAGGCAGCGTGGCAGCTTGAGGCAACCCCAATAAAACTCCTCCCTCTAACCCATGATCGAATTTGACGATATGGGGGCTTTGCATAAACGATGAGCCATATAAATTAGCGTGGAAAGAAGCGGGCGTGCTGGCTCAATTACAGACTGGCATGGCCGGACTAAATGGATACATTTATCGGATCGACGGATCAATGCGCATGTGGACAGACCGTGGAACACTTCCTCTTTCGATGTCAAAGGTAGACCACACACCGGACGGAAATGCTGCAATGTAGCCACACCCACCGAGGCAACGTATCATTTTTTATTAGGTGGAAAATCGCCTTTGGATGACCAGAACTGGAAGCCGAATTTGGAAGCAGTGCGAGCCAAAATACGGTTTGCAATCGCCACGGGCAGACTCGACGCCGCTTAACCGTGTCGACCAACCAAGATTAATCTTACCCCACCAACTATCTTGTGCTAGAGACGGTAGACGTGCTTCAATTGCCGAGAATAGGATGTTGAACACTTGGAGAAACGCCTTCAAGCAAGACTACTAACTAAACACTGACTCACAAGGTCCCGCTAAGATATTAACATCTGAGATGACATACACTATAAGGAATTTTGTATGGGCTCCAAGGAGGCACAGCATTAGCTCAGGCGTGTACATTTAGATCTGTGATAGTTGCCCTTTCGGCTCAGCTGTCGGGCGTTAATGAATTGTGTGTGTGTTGATAAATTGAAGCTCCGGGGAATTCTTTTGTTCTATTACGATTTACTTTGCTTTATTCTCTAAATTGTGTCCACCGAATAAACCAGCTAAAGGGAACTCGTGGAGGCGTAGCCAGTGGGACAGGTTTTCCGTCAATACCATCCAACCATTAAATTTCATCAAATTGAAGTGCAGAAAGGGTGCTCATAAGTAGAGCAAAGGGCCGATAACCTCTCTATAAGAACGGGGCGGAAATCTTGAGTAATACTCCATGCATTCACCCAGGAAACAGATACGGAGGAAGACGTGGAAGCCCACTCCCAGAAACAACTATAGGATCGCCGCATAATCTATGCACCACCACATGGGTGCCAAAGTGTTCCTTGACGAAGTGACAAACGAGGTGTAACCGAAAGGGCAGTGCAAGACCCCCAATTAATTGGAACTATAGAATCAGAGGGAACTAGGTATATCTGACAGATAGGATAGGGGATACAAGTAAATCCAGGGGAAATGGATCATAATGGGCAACAGATGCTATGACGTCTGCACTGCATAGTATTCGACATGGAAGCTGCATATGCAGCCCAGTTTGTAATGTGGTACGTTGCACCTCAACATTGTTATAGATTATTAGATGGAAGCTTTCCCGTAAATGAACAAGCAACTTGTGCCTAACTATTTAGGTACATATAAGGCCTTCAAGGGTCGTATTGCTCGTGTGGTATCAGATTGAGGCGAATTATTTCATGTAGCAAGATGTATCGTCTCTTCTCGATCCTTCTCGGCCCACCGTTTCAGCAGACCATCCCGTATCTTGTTTGCGACCACAAACCCTTTGCAGAAGACCAGGCTGAGCAGATTTAGAATTTCGGATTGTTGATAGACCGTCCGGGCTCGAGCTCCCGCAACAGTTACTGGGAAAAATAGCATCACTCCTGGGATCTTGGAGTGGTGCAACACCTCTCCCGAGAGATACAGGACAGAACTCAGGTGTTCAGAAACTTCAGCAGGGGATAACACCGGGGCTGGGATATTATCCCAGTAGGTGAAATAGTCATAGTTGCCAGAAAGAAAGATTAGTAGCGCGTGATAATATAGCAAAGCTAATTTTGAATATTCATTAGGACCATCCTGGACCAGCTGCAGCAACGCCTTCGTGTGCCAGTTATAGATATTTCCTTGTACATCGAGCCCCTCAGCCGCAATCAGAGCAACTGATGGATCTGTGAAACGTTCTTCTTCAGGAATCTTATCAATTATAGCACCGGCTCTGTCGTTCGAATTGTTAAAATAGAAGAAGTTGCTCATTTGTTATTGCTGACTTACCGTAGGGTGAAGGCGGATGCCTGAATCATGAGCGTTATAATCTCTTCCAAGGGCTCCCAGCGAGTGGCATTTCTCGACAAGCTGTTTTGGAGTCGAAGCCAGCATTCCTGAGAAAGGATAGTTTCTTCGTCGAAGAGTAATGCTCGACTGGCTTCGAGAATACGAAACAGGTCGTAGAATATCCTTCTGGCCGTTGACATGCAATCACTTGGTCCTGCAAGCTGGAGCATTTTTGATGTTCCATAGAGCATGTGCTTTACCCAGCCCTGGCCCGAATCGTCTGAAAGCAACTAGGTGTATCGATGTCAGTCAAACCCGATTTAATGCATCCGATAGAGGATACCCTTTCTGATAAAAAGCATACCTCAAACAGCCCTAGGAAAAAGGTGGCTCAGAGGACGTCCTCTCTTTGCATCACATTACTTTTTCCCAGACAGCACCGCAAAATACTAATTGACTTATGGTAAGAGGTCATGGCATCCACATAGGGGGGGTTTCTCTCCCTGTAATGCTCGTCTACCGGTATTTCGGTTCGCATCTAAAGCACCAACCGCAATCACTGCATGGTACAGGAGCGGGGAAGTCGAAATTAGAGGAAGCAAGTCCGGAACTATTGATGAGAAGCCCATCGTGAAGATGTTCTGCTGAATAAAAGAAACAAAATAATCAAGAAGGCGGGTACCCTTATCCTTCCCGATAAAATCGAGTGGGTGAGTTCCTGAGGTATGTTTATTTTTAACAATCATGCCCTTTTGATCAGAACTTCGGTGGGCGCCACCAAAATCATCTTGCTGTGTTTGGTTGACAAACACAGTCATACCGTGGCCCGATTGCTGCTGGGCAATGCACATCGTATTTTGTCGAACGCAACGAGCACATGGAAATCCCCCTTCACACTACTAAATATTAGCTGCTCGGATCCCATATAATTTATGCTTCACAATTCAGACCTTGATGCGTCGTTTCGCACAGCTGAGGCAGCGCGTCATCCGCCTTCGCTTGTCCAGCGGGCCGACCATTCTCCCGTGCAACGTTGCAGATGTGGACATGACCTTGGAGAATTCTCTAACAAACACTTCAAGCGTGTATTCCCGATGACCACTACGATGAAAATGGACATATTCGAGCGAGACCTGGTCCGGCAGCAGCCTGCGACGTGGCTGATGGCGCTAGCCCAAGTCGCGACACGAATGGCGCTAACCCAATTGGGAACTAATGTCGCGAGACAAGGATCGACATCACTTGAACATTACTTGTTTGTGACAGGATGAGGAATTGAGGTACTGACTAGTACTGAACATGTCCAATAGAATCAGATGATTTATTGTAGGTGTTGAGATCGGTTGAACGATCTCAGGGGTCTCTATATTCGAACTATGGCGTGTTATGACACCATACTAGAAGGAAATTGGGTGAACGATGAATAAGCCTATCCCGAAGGGTCCTAGTGGTATTTGACCACTCCTTCAGTTTGTCAGTTTGTCCCCGATGACCGCTACCATGAAAATGGATATATTCCAGCAGGCCCTACTCCAACATCAGGCTGCAATTTGGGAGATGGCACTAACCCGAATTAGAAAAGTAATATCGTGACGCACCGATGCACATTGCTTCAGCAATTCTGGATAGTTCTTGGTGACTGACTTAAATCTGATCAACTAACGCTCTATCCTTTCCATTTTGGGAACCTCATTTACGTTGGCAGAGAGAAATTTGTATTCGTGAGTTGCTACGGGTGCTTTACTGATGTATAAAGGCCAGGGCGGTCCTCTGACTATTGCGCTTGAATCACATCTCATCAGCAAGATTTCAAAGACTTTACTCTAATCCTACTTTTCTCCTGGACTGTATCTTTTGGTGATTGAGAATGTTTCAGATTCTTCGCCTTCTGCCCATTGTGGCCATGTCTGTCTCTGCAGTGGTGATCCCCAACCCACTCGGACAATACGATGTGTTTTACCACACGGCCAAAATGGTCGAAAAGACCAGAGTCGATCCCTTTGATCCCAAGCACGGTCCGCGTGTAGTCATGACTTCAATATTTGCTCCCACCCACTGCAAAGTCGCTCTCAAGAAGAAAGACTACCTGCCCCCCCGCAACAGCCGAATACTACTCTGAACTATACGGCGCATACGGACTTCCCAACGGTTCGCTTCAATCAATCTCTTTCCAGGCATGCCCAGAGCCGCCACGAGGCCATCACCTCCATTTTCCGGTGGTGATCTTCTCGCCTGCTTTCGGCACGACACGCCTGTTCTACAATGCCATTGCGCAGGCTGTGGCCAGCGCCGGGTACATCGTGGTGTCTCTTGACCATCCCTATGATACCGAGTTTCTGGAGTTCCCAGACGGAAGCATTGTGACTGCAGCAAACATCAGTGACGCGCAGGTTCCACTAGATGTCGAAACCAGAGCTCAGGATGTGAGGTTCGTGCTGGATCAGCTGGGCACAAAGGCTGGCGTCGCAGCCCTACTCCCTGGAACAGGGGCTGCGGGATTGAGAACTCGGCACGTTGCGATGTATGGTCACTCAGTCGGGGGTGCAGCTACCGCCGCAGCCATGCATCTGGATCGTCGGATTGTTGCAGGTGCAAACCTGGACGGGTCAATGTTCGGACCGGTGGTTCAAAAAGGCCTTCAGGGACCATTCCTCCTATTCGGACATGAAAACAAGACCCAGAGGACAGACTCAACGTGGAAAGAGTTTTGGTCAAATCTGCAGGGGTGGAAATTAGAGCTGGAAGTCGCCAAGATTCAACACTACGCATTCTCCGACTTGCCGTTTCTATTGAAGCTCCTGCGTCTGCCTGTTGAGCAGATACCGGCCATTCAAATGATGGTTGGAACTTTAGACGGAGCCAAGGGATTTGAAATTGTTCACCGAAACGTCGCTGCCTTCTTAGGCTTTGGGCTTGGCCAAACCTCGCAGTGTCCGCTTCAAGAGACAGTCTCGGAGTATTCGGAGATATCGGTCTTTGCGCGCAGTAAATGAGAAAATACTTGGGACAACAGATTGGATATATGACCAATTAGTGCCGTGTGTGGCCCACATGCACACAGGCCTTCGGTTGAATGATTGATTAATATTTAATGTGAGGGTCTCACGTATCTGTGGATGAGTATCGTGTCTTTCGGATGTATAGTCAATATTAAAGAAAGTTACAGTCGACTCTAGATACAAGACGTAGCACGAGGAAGCAAGAGAAATATAGCTTCCTCGCGTTCAGGGGAACCCAGATGCGCCATGTGGGTCCGTGTCCTCCGCATAGCGTGTATGCCTCATGTATATCCCTGACATACGCAGTTGGGACTTTGCGCAGCTCCTGAGGCCCAGAAAATCTCTATGCTTGAGCAGGAATCGCCAGAACGAGGGTTGGTCGGGTTTTCAAAGATGCGCCGAAATTGTTCTTTTCGGAGCATTTGTTCTCATGACATTATTCTGTCACCCTGATATGCAATGTCGACGCTTATGCTCTACCTACCTATGTTTACAAAAGATTAAGAATGTACTGTAAAACGCGACTCACAACACCACTTTGCAATCCTCAATTTTGTACAAGTCTCAATTATTCCCCAACAGAGGAATCCAAGATTTCATGCTCAAGAGCTCCCATCGACGCGAAAACGCTTTCGTGGGGGGGGCTGCACGGATTTGCTGTCTGTTTTCGGATTGAAAAAGAGTCTTGGACCTGCTGCAGATAAGCAAGAAAGGCAAGAAAATCGTCAAAGCCCTCCCAGTTTTTATTGGCCCTTGAACGTATTTCCGGGAGCACCCGGTCCCACAGATGCCGCAGACGGTTATGCGTCGCGCCGAAGTTGGGTGGAGCCCAACGGAGTAGCTCCAGCGCGAAGGTGCACACAGATTGGTTGACCCTTTGGTAGGTATTAGTGTACTTGAAGTTTCCTGCGCCTTCGGAAGGAATTTGGTCAACGAGGAAAAACGCAGAATGCGAACCAGGTTGCTGTTCTAAGATGGGCGGCATGCTCGTCCCATTTTTCAAGCAATACACGCGAGAGGTTGTCCCTGCCAATCTTGATTTTGCGAGCTTCGTTGAAGTGGCTTCCGTAATGGTCGAAGTAATCCTGCAATTTAGACATGAAAGTTTTGCATTCCCGCCAGCTGCGTGCCGAGTAGAGCCGCAGGTCCCCAGGAGCCGGCATTTCTGGTGATAGTCGGCATTCGAATTGACTACGCAGCTGTGTAGGCGGTTCTGATGACAAAATTGCTTTGGGTTTCCGTTCAGCTTCATTCATATTCAGTGAGACCAAAATCTCGTCAGTCGAGGCGGTACTATTATTCCGTTTTGCGAGAAATTTCGCTCGGGACGAAGTGGAGTTTTCGACTTCCTGCAGATACATAGCAAAGGAATTGTAATCGGAAAACTGCACGTATGACTTTTGCGCATGAGCACGGATATCGGGGAGAACTCCTCTCAGCAAATAGGCCATAAATTCATTGCTGCTGATGTCCGGAGTGACAGGCGCCCATTGGATTAGCCAGAGAGCAAAATGAGTGACAGGCTGGGCAATTTTCTGGGAGGCGCTTGCAATTCCCTCAAGGGCTTGCCTGTGGTTTGCGTATCGTGAGAGCTGCTGAGCTAGGAATGTACAGTATAACATCCATGATGTGTTTCCAGACGCTATTATGTGATTGTGCCACTTATCCATCAGTACGGGCGAGATGTATTTTGCACCTAGCTCCACTTTGCGAGCCTCGGTGTAGTAGTTGGGGTAACGGGCGAAGTGGGCTTCCATGGTATTAATGTAGTGTACGCACTCAGCCCATCTTCTTCCTCGGTAGCTTCCAAATTCAAGAGCTGGCGGAATTGGCGGAGTAGCTATTCGACGCACAGTTGTAGATTGGATGAATGGCCACGGCGCATCGGGTTGGATACTTGTCCGATGTTGAGGAGGGACTGCGTCTGTGGCTTCCTCGGGTTCGTGCCCGCTTTCAGAGAGAAGCGTCATCTTTTTTTCATTGTTCTCCTTTTCATAAGGCCCTATGTAGAGAGGGTGTTCCAGGGAAGCAGATCCAGGGGCTACGTTGTTGCCCCAGATCGCCGGAGCTGGTAACTCCCGTTTCACTTCCCCGTTGACCATCCGTGCTTGGGTAGGGGCAGAAGTCGCAGCCGCGTGCTCTGATATATGGAGCTGGTGAGCTGCCGGAAGATAATCCTCTAGTTGAACCCGCTCATTATTTGCAGGCGTGTGACCATTGGCAGGTGTGTCGTTATCGGCAAACGTTTGATTATTTTCAAGTGCATTGTTATTTCTCGGTGCCATATTCTCGCCGGAAGGGTTCAGGACAGATTTCATGAACGCATCCACAGCGCTGCTGGTGTCTTGGCCGGGCAACGGAGAACGCTGTCGATTCCGAGATGACAGGTGGATTTGGAACGACAGACGATCTAGGAACCACCGACGATTGGTGACTAACCGAAGCAAAAGCGTCGGGGCCCCCAGTTCGTCGAGCGTTGTCGAGGCGTTCTTGCAGCCATTTCCTTTCCTCGCAGATTTGTACCTGCAGCTCTATGAGCCGTCTGCGCTTGCGCATCCTTTCCAGATTTTTGGAACACTGGTGGATTTCCTCATCGAGATCAGAATCCCCATTGTCGTCGTCGCTCATCGTGTAGGTTATTTGGTTCCCGTGGTGGTGTGCTAAATGAGAGTGTCAAGGATAGAATGACGCAACATGAGTTTTTTACCGCATATCACACCGCACCGCCTCTGCACTCAAAACACTGCTGTTCTTGGGGTCTCAACGGACGCACGCTCCTATCCGTGTCAGTGCTTCCACCGCTAAGTACAGTTCGCACCGATGATGCAATATTTTCCATTCCCCAACTTCTTGATATTGGTCTCATCCATCCAGTATGCCTGGCTCAAGCGAAGAATGTGAACGATCTGTAATCGAGGACTGAAACGGCCAACCTGGAAAAAAAAAAACCTGTTATGGTTCAAGGGAAGATTGATTAAGTTAATATTTCAGTTGGAATACGTGAGGCTATATATACATTGAGAAGATCAAATTGATTGGAAATCAATTTGATATTTCGTATAACTCTCTTGGGAACTAATTCCGATGGTGCGGTTTCGTTCCTGATCTGCACCAGCCTCATATCACAATACCCTTTGCAGTATGGCGGCGAGGTATCAAACTCAACTCCCTGGGACTCGATGTATGTTCCGATCGGCAAGTATTCTTTCCCATTGTCGGCTGAGAAACCTTCTGACCTGGACGCCGAACTATCGGCGCGCCCACGCCTCAAATTGCCGAAATTTCTGCAGCGCTTCTTGTTTCCATCTCATGGCGTATGCCCACGAGACTCGAGAATAGCCGTCAGTAAAGGCGATCATATACCTTGAGCCATCTTCGGCAACTGGCATCTCCATGATGTCCTAATGGATCATCGCAAAAATCCCCGACGAATGTAGATGCAGCTGTCTTGCACAGGAGTTCGTCTTCTGGTGCTGCTTACCCGATATGCACGCTGGGCACCGCGGAGTTACCTGAGTTCGGTCCGTGTGGGTGGTCGGTATGGAGTGCCGGTTGCCGGATGACCACCCTCAAGTCTCCCCGGTTCATATGTCCCATCTGAGCGTGTCATAGCGCTTCGGATGCCTAGTCTACGCCCCTGCATGCATATCCTTTAAGTATCACAGTTTCACCATCGAGTTCAGAGGTTGACGATGCGCATCCTACGCCATTTGGCTCCTGAGGGTCATCGAAATCCATAGCCCGCGCCTGCGGTTTCAGGGAATGTGCATGGCCACGAGTTGTCAGCCTCCTCGCCAGTTGCACTCGTTCTCTGGGTCTTTTGCTCACGCTACACCGCAGAATTGACAGATCCTCCTCCGCGTGGTAGAGGGTTCCCATCGCCCGTCCTCGGCGTTGCACGAAGACGTTCTGAGGATGCGCTACTACCGAGTAACGGTCTCGCAATAGCTTCGGCACGCTGATCAGGTTCATTCCGAAGCGTGGCGCGAAGTACACATTCTTCAGCACCAGGGGTTGGTTGAACTTCCCCCGGAGCGTGAGATTCACCGTACCAATCCCCTCAGCTTCCACTGGGTCGCCCGCCGTGTCCAACATCTCGCAATGGGATCGCAAACTGCTGAAGCAGTTCCGATCCCAGTAGAAGTGGCTGGTGGTCGCCGAGTCCAGGATCCACCGGGGTTGCGGTGCGTGGGTATAAAGGGTCGTCACCCTCGCCCTCACGAAGATGATCCACGGTCTCTTGGAAGTCGGCGGGTCCTGCCGTTCTTAGATCTGGCTTGCTAGTATTTTCTGTATTACATTTCTTGGTGAGCCGGAAGCACTTCGCTCTGCCTTCACGCGTGGCTTACGCCTTAGCTCGGTTGTTGCCTTACGACTTTTCCATTTGCACATCTTGACACGCTGTCATTTGGTCTTATGAATGCTCCTACAATTGATGGTCCCATTCTTGAGTAGAGAGCCAACAGAAGAAAATTGATTCGATTGCATATCATACTGTTGGGTATTCTCCACTCAAGAACAGCACACAGGACGGACCAACTCTGATTGAAGTCCATAGAAAGCTGGCTTCCCATTGAGTAAGATCGTCGCGTAGTATCTTTGAGGATTATCCAAACCTGTGAACTAACCCTGTTTGGTATTCTGAGGAGCGAGTGGTTGGCGCCCACATTGTGCCATCCTCACGATACCGGGAACTAGTGGCAAACTAGAGATCGAAATCCTACAAAATCATGTTCCGTACTCTGGTTGAACTTATTTGCACCTGGGTGCAAAATCTCTACTTTCATGCTTTTGCATTGCTCGCCGTGGGGTACGATATATACGCCTCTGCGCTTGAGCCGAACTTTCGATAAAAGATTTTGTCTCGGTATCTTCCCAAGTGACCAATGAGCCACGCGCGTGCCGTGCCAACTAAATACCGCGCGACATATACCGGAGCAAGCATCTGTAACGGCGCATAGATCTCAACTCGATGATTCAAGGAGTCGAGCAGGCGCCAAACACTGAAGGAACGGAGATAGCCTGGGGTTCCCGACCGACATGACCGCAGAAAGACCCACTTTTGCGCCCTTTCCAGCCGCGGTTGGAGGAACTACAGCTTTCCTTCTACTTTCCTCTTCCCCATCTACTTTTCCATTATTCTACTCTTCTCTTTAGGCATCACCTTTCCCCCCATCTACTCTTCCATAAACTAAACTCTCTCATCTCATCATGCCTCCCAAAAAAGCAGCTGGCGTGTCCAAGAAGGCCGCTCCCGCCGCTCACGCCTCCTATCGCGGTATGTTTTCATGAGCCACAGGCCCCGCGTAAATGCGATCGTGGTATCGCCAGTGTCGCGGAATTCTACTGATACCGGCAATATAGATATGATCAAAGATGCTATCGTCAACGTGAGTAGACCACCGCCGGTGCCCGGCGTGTTGTGATTCGGGTTGCGCGCCCGACCGTGACGCGTTCAGACGTTTCACTTGAATAGCCACCATAACAATGTGGAAGGGCTTCATTTATCTTTTTCAATTGCTGACTGGCATTACCACCTATAGCTGAAGGAGCGCAATGGTAGCAGGTATTTTTGCACATTTCAACTCGTCGTCGTGACCTAGAGAGAGACTCCTCCCATGGTCGCGTTGGGTTTTCGTCCCACAACATGATACTGACCTTTCTTCCCGCAAAACAGCCGTCAAGCCATCAAGAAGTATGTCACCTCGAACAACCAGATCAACGTTGCCTTCCAGGCCACTTTCGATGCCCAGTTCAACAAGGCCATTAAGGCTGGTGTTGACAAGGGCGAGTTCACTCAGCCCAAGGGTGAGTCGCGTTTCCACTCTGTGCTTGTCATCCGGCACGGTCTTTCGTCCCGTTTGATTCCGCGGAACAAGACCCTGCGGAATCCATGACGGGGACATCGTCACCATCGCGCTACTTTTGAAATAAGTTGCTAACGTGTCGCATCACAGGTCCCTCTGGTCCCGTGAAGCTGGCGAAGAAGGAGCCCGCCACTAAGCCTGCGGCGAAAGTCACTAAGTCTACCGCCGATGTAAGCTCTCCTCCTTCAATGATGCTCGTTGGCGCTGATCTGACAACCCGAATAGAAGACCACCAAGGCCCTCGCCGCCAAGAAGGCCGCTATCAAGAAGACCACGGCAAAGACTACCATCAAGCCTGCAATGAAGAAGACCGGCCCTAAGAAGGCTGCTGTCAAGCCCAAGGCCAACTCCGGCAACATCCGTAGGACCACCCTTGTATGTTCACGCTCGCTGGCGCAATTTCTCAACGCTCCGCCCGCCAAGGCCGCCAAGGCCGCCAAGAAGGAGCCAACTACCAAGAAATAAAGGGCCCTCTGCCTTTTTCATAGCCAGATGTCGCCTCTCCGTTTTTTACATTCGCTCTCCCAGGAAGGGTCATCTTCGTGTTTTGCATCTTCCTTCTTCCGTTGTAATTTTAATGCGCCGGCCCACTGATATGGTGGCTCTGACGGTTCTCCTTCGTGATTACTTTATCCTGGGATATCTTCGTTATGGTGGCTGAGGGTCTTTTTTATCCAAAGTCGAAGGAATGGCGTTCTGCGGTGGGGTTTTTATGAGTAAATCATCTGGCCTATTCCTTTTTCTATTATTCGTGGTTGGAGATCAGTCGAAATTGAATCACTTGGAACCACTTTGGTATTAATCGCCATTGCCATGATTTTGGAAACTAATTCCTTTTTCTCGTTCTTCATGAAAAATGCATTGTGGATTTGGTCATGGAGCCTTCAATTACAAGCTGTGTATGCGGTAGAAGTGGATAGTGGCGTAAAAGAAGAAAACTTCAGAAATAATGAATAAACCTACTCCTAAATTTATGAAGTATTTCTCAGTTAGGTACTAACCACTCGTCAGGCGCTGAACATTGGATAAAAATCATATGATTTACATTTATTCTAAATGTAAATAAAGAAATAGGGTTGAAGATGGCCAGTTTCGACAAGACGGTCTCGCGTGAATCTTGAATCGCATCAAAGTCTAACCATCGATGAGGAACCTTCAACGCCATGCGCTCGGATCAGTATAGAGCATCCGCCCCGCTTTTGGAACCTTGCAAAAGAAAAAAATCCGAATCTCACCCAAATATTTCATAGGTTTGATTAAGGCGACAAAGGCCGTCAATGCCTTTTGTACAGTTCTTGAAAAGATAGGGTCTGGGGCAGTGCAGACGTGTGTGTTCTGCAAAGCTTCAGATGCTTCTCCTCGACTGTCCGGACCGGCGAGCTTGAACCTAGCAGATTCCAGTTGCGAGCTTTGGCCGATAACTTGAGTAGTCCATTCGATATATCAATATTTGCTAACTGGGAAAGTTACCGAAGGAGGCTGACAGACATCCGGAGAAGGGCATCGTGCTTGCTCAATGCCCTCGAAATTACAACTCGCTTGATTTTTCCGAGTCATGTTCCGAGTTTTCGTTCGCTCTACGGGTGATCTTTGCTTTTTGGCCACCTCAACTGAGAATGGTGAAACCACTTTCCGTAGTTAGTTGGGCATGTCGACCGAAGTCAGCACCAGCCGGCGGTCTTGAATTGAGAGTCATCGGGGTACCGACTTAGGGGCCTGCTCTTCCAAGCGCGTGCCTCGGGAGGGATACGGCGGTGTTGTGCACTCACGCAGCGGAGCATGTCGCTGTGAAACGTGAGGGAACAAGCATAGAGAACCCTTCAATTGCAGTTGATTTAACATTTCATCATTGTTTTGACGTAGCATTCGGAGGCATTGCAAAGTTTTTGGTGATACAGTTTATAAAACTCGTTTCTCACTGTTGGCACCGTTTAAACAGTGGGGGTGCCGCAGCAGAGCATCGATGACGTGTTTCATCATAAACCATCATGAGTCCGTACATTATTGCGACGTGTAGGGCGGCAACAGATCTTGCCATTTCATTTCACTCACCGATGATAAGCGCTTTCTTTCACTTCAACAAACGCCCCATCAATAATATATACAACTAGCTCCTTGACTATTTGGCACACACGCCTTTTATGGGGGAGCCTCTCGTTATTGGGACTTACAGCATAAGTCAGTCGGGATTGACTATTTGATATTGTCACCTAACTTGGTTCCAAGGTTGTATTGTACATGTAACTCTTCATTGCACATTACGCAATGCACTTTGATTGGCAAGCCACCAAGGGAAAGCTGATCAACTGATCTTCCGAGCGAATTATCATGTCGCTTACGTTTTAATAGACCAATTATTTCTGCCATCAGCCTCGTCTTTGCGTAGTGCAATACCCACATCGATCTCCTGGGAACTGAGTGGACATGGAAATTGGGTATTACTACAAGGGAATATGAGCCAATCAGCGCCATGAATGGCCCATAAACCTTCGGTGAAATGATTGGTTGATGCCTGACCATGGCTCCCGGGAGCCTGTGTGTCGTCATTATTAATGTTATAATTGGATACCGAGTCTTCATTCTAAATCGTAAAGACTAAAGCGAATACGATTTAGTTGACATTCGTGGTCGTGAGTACGTAGAATATAAGTCCGGAAGATACAGGTATCTGCCAAGCAAAGGCAAAGGACTAATCTTCTACAGAGGATTCTAGGATTCAAATCCTTGTTGAACCGGCCTAGCATTTACAGAGTGAAAATTTCGCATATTGAAATCGAGAACTGCCCGACACGCCTGTCTAGATGTGCCATAGATGCACGGGCCTCCAAGGCCGTCTTGATCTTCGTTGCTCTCTCATCTGCTGAACGGGTTTCATCTAGTTTGACAGTCTAAAGTACCCCAATTGGTTATCTTTCTCCTGACTAATCATTTGGCTCCAAGGCTTCCAGGTCTCTTGCCAGCACGCCATTGCCCAATTTGCCATAGCAGGGCCATTTAATCTTATGAAAGCTCTCTCTTTCTTGAAAGATATCAAGTAGAACTTTTTTTCCTCTTGTGTATTAGAGCTGTCTTCTTCTCGGTTGTCTCCTTAGGATACCTCATCGCAGAGAAACCCTTTGCGGCTTGTCAATTGTTCAAAGATGAGCACCCTTTTTGTCTTTAAATTAAGGTTGGTTGATGTTTGATGGTTGATTCTTTCTCTTGAGAGCTGGTGAACACTTTCCTATCCGATCACTTCAGTCATCGACAGATATCCTTATCGACGAGATAGTGAGAGGGAGCTAGAGCCTCAACCTCACATGGCCCATTAATAAAAGCCCTCCGGTCAGCATTTGAGTACCAGACAGGGTTTCGATAGAGTCGCTGTATTGAAGAAGGCGGGCGTTGATCTCAAGTTCCCTTCACCCTCTTGATTACAACAGTGAGACCGACTTCATGCCAGAAAGCTTGGCGTAATTTCCATCTACGCCAAAACCTGCTGAATGAGGAGTTTGTGGAAATGGAGCTCGGGGAACTTATGGAGATGGCGCGCAGAGGGCGGTTCTCATTATTGGCAGACCAGGCATGAGACACAAGTAGTCTTTACAGCTCACCGTCGCTTCTTTATGAGAAAATCGACTATTTTCTTCTTTTCTGATTTTGTGTGGGATAATTCAGTCACCTGAGATATATAGACCGGGGATGTGGCACATATTGTAGAAAGTTATAATAACAATTTGATTGATCTTGGAGTTGAACTTGAAGCCATACGAAAAGGGGTAAGGTTGTGAAAGCTTACCGAAGTATCGGCCGTACGCACAGACGCAAATTCGCCACAGAGTTAACTAACGTGGTCGGAGCTTCGACTTGAGCTACGAATCAAGGGAGACCCCTCCAAACCCAAGTGCGTCAAGCCCCAGCCCTCACGGCTGGGACTTCGCGAAGTCAGCACTTTCTTCTTCCAAGTACCAAAATCGAAAGCGATCCACCACGTTGGATCGCACTTGATGGTGGTCTTCTTTTCCACAATAGGCCCGAGAATAATGCTCAATCAATAATTGTATTTAAGATTTGTCTTCACGGCAGTACACACGTAGACTGGAATCGGGGCAGGGCTCAAGGGGTCCTGGTCGGAATCTAATCACGAGGCGCGAATGATGCGGCATGCACTTCAACAAAATCAGAGTCAAGTCGCGCCTTGACTGTAATAGAGGACAGATAGGTGGCTACTAGCAAGATTCGGAGCCTGTATTGACCGACTTCACGAATTGCTATGTCTTTGAAAATGGCCCGTCGTTGACGGCCACATCTCTCGAGGGCCTCGAACGATGTGGTCAAAGAGCCATGAAGTTCTTTTCCATACATATGGCGTCTATTGCCACATAAAGATATATTGAGCGCAAAATTTGCATTTGGTTGCATCTCTTCAGAGACTGGAAACATCACTTTGACAGATAAAGAGAAAGGCTCTCCTTGCACAACACAAGGTGGAGGTTGGCTGTCGAAAGCAACGATAGGGTCGTGTACGTCGACTTCTGGGGCTGACATTCTGGCTTCACTTTAATTCAAGTTTATTTGGGGGCTGAATCGAAAGATAAAAACATTTCTTAGGTTCTATTATACCCGAGGAGAAAATTTTGACACGACCTTGCGTTATATGCTTGCGTCGCTCAAGCAAACAGGATTCCCAGCGAGTTAGGGTTTTTGTCTTACTAGAAATTCACATATGAAAGCAAGACGCCAAGCATCCACGATCAGCCGTTCTTCGTAAGATTTGAAAGGATCTCCACGTCGAAGATACTTTTGCTGTTTCGGGCCTGGATCCTTTTTTTTCTTTTTATTCACTTGGTTCACTTTTTTCACCTTTTTTCTCTTCTTTACTTTTTTTTTTTATATTTCTTTTTGTAGAATCCTAATGGGTCTTTCATCTAATCACTGGACTTTGAATTGTCAGGTCCTGGTACCTCTCGCCAGATGACCCGGCCCCTAGAGGTGACAGAAGGAAGTGGGAGAGCGGTATTGGTACGGGCCTGACAGTCCGAGACGAGTCCCCCCTGTGATAATTACAGAAAATACTACGAATGTGATCTACCTGGTCCCGTTGCGGTATGCGTTTGATCCTCTGGTGACTGCTGTGTACGGGTGTTGCGCAGTACCCAATTGGAGACACTGACAAGGATCTGCGGACCCTCTGCTCCATGCGCCCTAGGGACCTGGCCTCCATTTGGAATTTTTTCCGCACACCGGGAATACTGAGCACGCTGAGCGGCTTTGACCCTCTTGTGCTGGATCACATCGTCGCTTGTAAAGCCTTACAGACGAGCAGGAGCTGGCAGCCATTGTCTCAGATTTGTTACACATTCCTCCCACCTATCTGACAGATGGCCAAATGGCTGATTCCGTACAGTTCGTGGCCAACAATCTCTACCACACATCTCTGGTCTCTTGTAGTGCGCTCCTGAACCTCAATGGGCACACGAAAACGGCACTTTCATTTGCTGATATCTCCAAAGCCAACCCTACCTAACGGGGCACGGCAACACGGATCGATTGCTGTATAATCCGGCAAAAGGGCAGAATACAAGCCAGTGACCTGGCACCAGCCTCGAGAATTATGATGGAATTGGAGCACAAATTTGCCAAGGAATGTAGGGCACTAAGAGTTGATAATCACCACCGCTGAAGAGCCCGGACTGTACCACATTTTAAAGACCGTACGAGTACTAGATACTTGAGTGGAGCGATTATTAAGATCATCGGATACGAATCTCTCCGGGAATTGGTGAGCGACTTGATAGCGACCGGAATATTGTGTGAGTGTAAGCGTGCCACGTGGCGACGGAATCGATTTTGAATAATGGCGGGACGGACCGCGATGCGAACCCCTGAACCGCCCGACCGTGACGACGAACGCGAAGATTCACCGCTACGATTGTCGATGCCGAGACGCACTACCCAACCACCCAGTAATTATGGCAGAGAATGACACGGTCTCAACTGAGAAAGAAAACCCAAGACAAGCCAGTAACTCAACGTGACGCGGTCCGCTCTTTCCTCACATCTCATCGGAAGAGCAAAAAGAAGATAGAAAGATATGGCCCGCCCGTCAAAACCCAGCGGGTTCAACAACAACGGGTGATATGGAATTTTGCTCTGGGCTTGCGTGCTCAGCAGAGGCGCTGCCAGATGGGGAGAGGATTATCGACCGAACCAGAGTGTTCCTAACATAACCCATCTCGAAACAGCCTATATCGATTGCTCTAAACACCAGTTCCAAGAGCTTCGAATATTAATTTAGAAGAGTCAAAGTCATGTCGTGAGTCCATGCGAGCACATTGAGGCAGTCCAGGGGACCAAATGAATCGGGCTTGGCAGCCGGAGAAAAGAACTATGCCGACTCGTAAAGGCTCTGGGGTTGGCTTTCGCTGCTAAAGCTATTATTCGCCGATATGGTATGTTAAACAAATATATCATCACAAATTGAAAAAAATAAAATAAAAAAAAAACCAGCCATGATACTTAGCTTTGCGCCGAAGCCCCTAAAAATGCCATCCCGTTGGGTGGCGCTGTCTTGGAATTGATCTCTTGCATTTTCTAGGTCTACTAGAGGCAGAAAATTTCCGAATTGGCCTCGTACCGATCAACGGGAGAAGACCATGATCCAGTGGATGAAGCGGATCTAATATCATATATGATTATTACTTTTGTTCCTATGCTTTTACAAGTGATACAATGGTGCGTGGTTAGGACCTTTGTAGGCAGCCTCAATCGGACCAGCATCGACGAAGCCGTCCTTGAAGAAAGAGAAACCAGTATAGGGCTCAGATGATGTCACATTGATACATTTCCGAGGACGTCTACCGGCACAATAAAACAAGGAAATGTTTCGATTACGCCAACAGTGGCCCGCAGATCCCCTGGCCTCAGAGCCGCGCATAGACTTTAGTCCCGGGACGGACATAGCTATCCCTGGAAGGTCCCATCATAAGCAAGCGAGGGCCAATCGCATATTGTACCGCCAAGCGATAGCGAGAGCGAGAGCGACCGACGGCGTCCAAGGGATTTGAGAATTGGTATCGATCTACATTTAGAGTCACGACCAAAAGCACAGACTCAATAATTCTAGGTTCGGACTCGCGAGGGTCATGCCATTCATCGTAAGTTTGTGTGGTCAGTGCCGCTTAAAATGAGAAAGGTCGCACAGCAACGCCTAAAGGCGAGTTCTTGGCAATACGCTCGAGGGCTGGGACACAGCCATTAAAAGAACGGGCGCAATCCAGATCCAGATTTAAATTAATTTCGATCGATTGATTGATCAACCTAGAGGATATCGCCAAGAAAGAAATATCACAATATTCCATATGGGTGAGACAAGAATAAGGAGAGGTTCGCTCTCGCTCTCGCTCATTCTCGGTTCTGTAGTACATGATTTCATTGGCTCCAAATTCAAATGGACCTAATGATTGACTTCACACTAGCTTGCACTAATTATCGGAGTCTTTCAAGCCGAATTTTAATCGTATTTATCGCATCAATTGAATTCAGAGCTAGGATCCAGCGTCTGAGTAAACCTGATCCTGGTCTTCCTTCGAAATACCGGAGATTATCAGCACCTTTGCACAGACCTTGATTCTGGATTTGAATTAAGATCGACAATGAATTCAGGTTGAGCGCATGTGTTGAATACTATATGCTCAGCATGAAGAATCAAAAAAAGGAGTGACTAATGCAGGTGTCGTTGCAAGGTTGTGAGCCGGACTGTCTTGACCTTAGGCTGAAGCTTGCTTTGAAATAATAAAGGGCTTCTTGATCCTTCATGTGCTAGCAATCTCTACTTTGACCATTTCCCTCACTCAAGTCACTCGCTACAATGAAGTTTTCTACTGTCGCACTCGCTGGTGCAGCTACGGGTCTTGCCCACTCCACTCTCACTGAGCGCGCAGACATCACTGATGCCGATATTCTGAACTACGCCCTGACCCTGGAGCATCTCGAAGCTGCCTTCTATCAAGAGGGTCTCAAGAACTACACCCATGGCGACTTCCAGAAGGCTGGCATGCATGATCCTTTCTATGTGAACCTGAAGGAGACCGCCAGCGATGAGCAGCAACACGCTCAGTTCCTGACCAAGGCTCTCAAGGCCGCCGGGGCAAAACCCGTCGAGGCCTGTACCTATGCTTTCCCTGCCACCGATGTCAACACATTCCTTGCGCTCGGTAATATCCTTGAGGGTGTCGGAGTCAGTGCCTACTTGGGCGCTGCTGCCAGCATTATGAACAAAACCTATCTCACTGCTGCTGGCAGTATCCTGACCACCGAGGCCCGCCACAGTGCTTATCTACGTGCTGCTCTTGGTGAGGCTCCCGCTGCTCAAGCCTTCGATAACCCCCTCGACTTTAATGAGGTTTACACCCTTGCTTCTATGTTCATTGTATCTTGCCCCGAGAGCAATGGCAAGCTGCCTGTTAAGGCCTTCCCTGCCTTGACCATGCCCTCTATGGCCCCCGCCACAACTGGCTCTAAAGTAGAGCTGATGGTCGTTGATGGTGTGTCTATGGACACTAAGAATGTCTACGCCGCTTTTATCACCGTCACTGGTCCTGTCTGGGCTCCTCTAGAGTCCACTGGCGATGGAAATTTCGAAGTCACCATCCCAGAGGGCGTTACTGGTCAGAGCTACGTGGTTCTGACTAAAGGCAATAAGCAAGCTTCAGATGACAACATTCTTGCTGGCCCTGCTATTGTTGAGGTAAATAAGAATTAAAAGCTTGAACAACTCGTTACAGGATTATATGCTGACTTTCGTCTAGGTTGGGCAGCCCAATGGACCTATGGGAGTGGGCTCGCAGTGCAGTGGCCGCGGCTCTGGTTCTATGCCCTCTATGACCTCTATGTCAGTCTGGTCATCTATGGCCATGCCAATGCCCACTGCGTCTATGACCATTTCCTCGGGGTCTATGCCCTCTATGTCTGCATCCGCCTCTGCCTCCTCTACTCCCGTCTTTAATGGGGCAAATGGAAAGAGCATGAGCGGCATTGCCAGTGTTTTCGGGGCTCTGGCTGCTGTCGCTGCCTTTTTGCAGTAAACTGACTTGATGTTTTGTCCGAATCTCTGGCATACCCTCAATGTACAAATGAAAGGGGGCTGATATATTACTAACTCAAATCGCCCCTCAGGCCATGTATTAATCTAATCTCTTGAGAAATGCCTCGAAAAGAATGTATATAATAACAATTGCAGACATGCCTCCAGGGATTCTGTCCATCTACTGTACCTTACTCTTCCGCTTTAAATGTCGGAAAGTAATCCGAGGTTTTCTTGACCTGATTAGACCGGTTTACGAGCATTCGTTTTTCTAGACCGCTTCTTAAGATATACTGCGCATTTTATTATATCACATCAGAAATCCCAGGATGTATGCCTATGAAACTCTTACAATCGATGGCATGGCAACTGATATATTGGCTAGAATGACCTTATTGTCAGATCAAGCGGCCTTTCTCAGCGTTCATGATGTCAACGGATCTGAACGAAACCGGGGAGCTATTAGCCATTTTACTCCAGCAGATCCCATAACCTGATCACTTTGAAAACTAAAAGAAAGCAAAGGTTCAACAAACCTTCATATTGATGCTCATTTCGGAAGCGGTGGAAGTTGTTCTTTAACTACGACGGTTCTGTTTCTGCCTCAAAAGGCCCAAGAAAGGAAATGAAATTTTTCATGAAAATGCTGGCTTGTGTGTAAAGTATCTGGGCTCAATTTTGCTAGGATTACTTCGCTTCATCCATAGGTTCCTAAGATTCTCATATAGCTAGCTAAGAGAAAATTATCTCTCACTTGTAAGGGGATGTATCTTCTCGCTCCTTAGAACGCCTTAGGAACACTATGTTCCAGTATCTTTACAGCGGTGGCGGAGCGCGCGCTGACCACTCTAGCTGATTCCGCTTTGGCCTGCTACGCGAATTAGTCTATTATGTGCGACCAGCCATCCTCGTAAATCGCTCACTCGATTTATGAACGGAGATGAGATTTTCTGACCTATCTAGTCAATGGAATAATATAAATGATATAACTATCTCAGATGGCAAATCACCCTACTCCAACTTCTAGGCTGAGTAGTCTCCGCTGACTCTTTCCTTATTGCGGGAATTTTTTGAAGCTTTGGTCAAGCGACCCAGATATTGCGTTTCAGAGTGTTGGTTTGCAGGTGTCAGGAGGCTGAAATGCCGAGTGCGATAATCTGGCCCTCCACATTTCGACCGGCACATATTACGGGTCAGGATTAGACCCGGAGTAATCGTTACCATGCCAAACCTTTCGCCTTGGGTGCCTTTAACATGTTAGCTAGTGCTGAGACTTTTTCTGACTGATGTATGTTGAATGACCGGTTAAAACACTCCCCAGCCTCCAGAACGCATCCCATCTTTTCCAAGGTTCTCCGCAAATTTGGGCGATTATAATTTCTTGATATATGGCCAAAGGGATATGTGGCCAAAGGGCAACTCTTTCAATTCGTGGATGCTTTCCGCATGCAGACAACTAGGTATCCGAGATTCGTGCGTATGATTGGTTCTAAAGCTGTTTCACGAAACTGTTCCAGCTGTCAAATACCATTTTATCTCCGTTTCATATCCACCACATCTTCCCTGGCGTCCACGAGGCAGGCAGCAAGTCCCGATTTACGAGCACCTGTACTTGTTGATCTCAATTACTTTCTATAAGAGGGCAATAGTCAACACGAGCTCAAATCTAACCGTGACCGTAAAGAGTCTATCGGTCGCAAGACTGAATCTATGGTTTCCGAAAAGAATCAAGGGTTTAATCATCGCCAAGATGACGATCATATCAGGCTCAGAGAAAATCTCCTAGAGCAGTTCCAACCGCTGCAAGAAAGACTTTGCCTCGCCCTAGAAGAATCTCAGGACATATAGGATCAATTTCAAAAAAATACGAGCCTCGCGGTCGTTTACAATGCCCCGATGATCAGTGTCAATCTTATGAAAGGGATAGATGCCATATTTGGCTCTCCAAGCCTGAAAATCACCCAGCTCGAAAAGGGCACGATGCAGAGGACCATCACTTGGCTGGATGTTATGAATGCAGACAAATTTAGGATCGAATTCAAGGAAGCCGGCGTCTATCATTATTATCTGGATGACTTCAACGCAACTGTGGAGCTGTCCGACTTCCAGCATAATATGATAATTTCCGGCCTACCACAGACATTTATTCAACCTTGTTACTACAAGAGGGATGTCCAAACAGAATTTTATACACTATCGTTTATGACTAATATGGTTGCTATCTCGAATCAGCTTGGATCGAAGGGTGAGTTCGCTCAGTCCCATTTGGTTTCAGAAACAACTGTGCCTTTACTGACCGGCGAATGCCTGATTCAAAGTGATCGAAGTCAACAAAAAGACAATCGAAAAAGCCAATCAGCGAACGCGAGCACTTCAAGATCTTTCGAAGCAATGGAAAGAGTCAACACCTTCAAATGCAGATCCATCAAGCCTGGTTTCGGGACAGCATAATCAAGATCTAGGATATGAAGGAGTTCCAAACAAAGAAGTTCTAGTCGGCACAGCATGTTCCACCGTTAAGGAGCGGAAACGATCGCGTCCAATTTCGTCCAGGAGGAGATGCCGAATTAGCCTTCCCGAAAGACTTACCAGACGGAGAATCTACCAAAGAAAAACAATGCCAGCTTCCAGAATATGGCCCATAAATTGTTGGGAAGAGCCCGCGTGAGAATGGGCCAGAAGAAAAAACTATTTCGCCGATCGTTTCGGCGAATCCCAGATCCATCGTTTTTGACCCCCGTGAGAGCTTCTGAACAAAGTCAAACTCTGAGTGACCTGCCAAGACCCTCACCAAGCAACTCGTATCCACAGGTGGAGGATTTTAATCATGCTTACCTGCATGAAAGCCCGGGTGAGGACAGTGAAACCTGCAGAAAATCTCCTGGGAGATGCGAACAAGAAATGTGTCAAGACCCCTACGATCTACAAAACAGCCCCCATGAACTCGGGCTGAATATCAAAAAGCCATCTAACGAGACGGAGAAGCTAGTTGAGCATGAGGTATTGACAGAATGCCTACGCCTTTGGATTCTAAATCCGAGGCCATGGTAGGTCAGAACCATCCCGGGATAGAAAGATCAGTGACAAGAGAAAGCACCGACCCACCTGATGGGAATAATGGACGCGTAGCAGCGCTGACAGAGCCAGAGAAAAACGCGAATCTCACCTCCCAAGGTAACACTGCGCCCGAATCGTCAATCGGAAATGATATCTCGAAATATCTCAACGGCACTTTCAAGTCCTTCTCCCACAGAGCCTTCAAAGCATAGTGAAGAAACCGTCTACTAGGGGCCAGGTGGGTTCAATCTGACGGATGGAATCCCATCATCGGCGACCCCTCAACTAGATGCTCGGGCCACTTCCATGGATAGCGAAAGAAAAGACGCGCCAATTCCTAAAGCACCTATAGAGGTCCAGATTATAAAAAGGCCTCAACCGAGAAAGTGTCGCAATCTATATCATGCAAGCAGCTAGGACTGACAGAGCAAAAGCTAGATCCCGGAATCGCCGATGGGCAACTCAGGACCTGGAGCGTTTACCATTCTGGTTCATGGAAAGAAATCATTGGAATGAGGAAGAAAGTCAAGCTGCATTCCTGGCAGACTTTCAACACGAGAGGAGCTCTGGAGCAATTCATGCTGCTTTCAAACAACAAATGAGGATTTACCAGGAGACAACCCGCGCGAATAGGATGCCAGATTTTGTACGAGATACTCACCAACCAGGTAGCTACTTTGTCGCAGCCGATAGCTGCATCCATCCAGCGTCGCAACTGGGATATGGTCCACTCCGCGCCTTTCGGGATTTGCCCCCAGAAGGTATGTACTGCGCATAACACCCATTGTTTCAGTGTCATAGTTCAGAACTCATATTTGGGCTGTGTTCATCATGAGCAAGAAGCTCCCTCAAGGCGAATGGCTAACTTTGGGTATCTTTCCTTTTATCTAGCCTCCACACAAGAAGGTTTGTCAGCAATGGCTGGGTATCCGGATAGCATAGAGATGTTTCCAGATAGGGCATACCTGAGTGAAAGCCCCTCCACGATTGCATACCGGGCTACCTCTGCAGAATATACGCCGTTCTCTCCTTCGTTTTATGACCAAGGAAAATGAGCTGCTCTCTTCCGGCTAGAGTACAGATATGTTTTGTTGCCATTTGGAAGTTGCCATTCAAACTCCGAGTGTGTGTTCTTTTGAAGGTTTGCCTTATGCCTTTTGCAATGGTATACTCATTTGCTGAAAATTCTGGGCTCGTCCTTTCGGTGCAAATCTCTTTTCTACCTCCAGAAATATCGTCCATGCACGGGATTTTGTCACCGGAAGCCCTTTTCCCTTTTCTTCACCTTTTTTTTTGTTTGTTTGTTTGGTTTTTCTGCGTACTGAAAAGAAATACTTAGATAGAAGAGTACTGCGGTTCACGTAATCAGAAAATTCCTCAATGTGTATGATACTGTATATAAAATTCTCGGATTTCACAAAATGGGACTTTTAGGCAAGCTTGCTACAGTACATCGAGCCTAGGGTCACTTGAAGGGCCCATATCTTCCTTTTGAATCGTGGTAGTGCATCCAAGAGAATCATTTAATAAATTGGGATTCTGTTCGTAAAAAAAGACGCGAAACAGACCGTTCTACCATACATTGAGTCGAAACTGACTTTCATATAGGGATTTAACTCATTACAGTCCTGCATAGATGACACAAAACCACCTTTCAATATTCAAACCTAAGAGTTGAGCCCAATCATGTTGTCATGTCAAAGATATGACTTGGCTTACGAAGACAAATCCTCGCTCACGTCATATTCATGTGGTATCTCTCGCTCCCACGATTGCCACAAGACTAAATACTGTATCACTGAAATCCCATCTTCGGAGACTGAATAAGAAGCAACGGCGCTAATCGGGATATTTTTGCCAACCTAGTTGCTCCAGTTAGCTCGACAGTCAAAAGAAATCTCATGGACACACTTACGGTGCTCGATGTATTGTGACCATCCATGATGTGGTGGATGCAGGGGAGACTGGATCCTAGCAACTCTTCTTCTGAGTATGAGGCATCATCGCTCTCTGACTCCAGAAACCTGCGATCCGCACTTGCTTCCGAAAGATCTTCCTCTGTAGTAGAATCGTCATCCGTTTCTTCAATATTGAGGTCTCCGTAACTCGATAGAACCTCGAAGAGCTCGTTGACACTTTCTTTTCTTTTTTCTGACATTTGTGAAACGATATAGCAGAAGAGGCTTGGGGTGTCGAGCAGTACAGGGATCAACTCAATTTATAGAATTTATGGGTGCGCGATGATATTCGGTAGTTTGGGGTTGAAACTATATGACGACCGGTGAGCCACATCATGCAAAATTCTAAGCGACCGGCAAGTATCATTTCGCATTGGCTCGCTGTATGCATGTCCATGCGTTTAAGTCAGAATTTCTGCGGTGTGTTGGCAGGGACCATCACTGGGCATTGAGATGGTTGATTCGTCGGGAATGGATTCACGGAATACAGGGCGGGTGTAGGGATGGCCCCACCGGAGGCCTGTGGTTGGCCTAGATCTGGCATGACAAATAATTTGCCTCGTCAACGTTGTTGACACAGGTGAGACCCGTTCCACCGCGGTCAGGTAGAAGAGTCGGCCAGAAATAGCATGTCATGGACTCGACTCAAAAGCTGATCACCTACAGCCTCGAATTCATGCCACAGGGTGTGGCTCAGAATATACTCGTTGCACGCCCAAATTTTTGAAATAAAGGCAATTCTTGTTGACAACTGGGGTGTGACTGTTGCGCAACGTTGAGCACCGACTGTTCACGATGCGAAGTCGTCGCAAGGCTACAGCTGCAGAGTTTCATGCATCACCAAAAATCCGCATGCCCTCGATAACAGCACACCGTTCTGTTGACCAAACGATGATGGTCAGGTTTGCAACAACGTCCGAGAATATCTATATATTCAGGTAGAAGGGATAGCGCAATGAGCCGTACGGTTAGTGATGGATCAGCATCACTCTCCCATCCGGACCCTCTGCTTGATTTCATATTGACATGATGCCGTTGGTTACCGTTAACCAGCTGACCATGCATTACTGTGCCAGCGATATGCGTCAGGGTTACTGAGAACGGAATATAAGTAGCCAGCAGAGAGCCAGGGTTCCTAGAGGCACGCCCAGTGCAAAGAAATGGCCGACCCCGCGGATGTTGATTCCAGCGACGATAGCTGCGAGATGACAGAGGCGAATCAGCAGCTAGAACGCGAACTCCTTCAGTGCCATCAAAGATCATCTCCCGCTGCTGTGCATTCGCGGCGTATTGTCTCGCTCAGGGTTTCCCCCCATACGTGAGTCGCTGGACCACTGCCGATGCCTTTCGGGAATTATATCAGAATTGGTACGTTCCCCGTCATCTCGTCTCATCATGACGCTAAATCAGAAAGCAGGAAGGACGCCATCTTGGAACGGTTCCAGGTCGATCGAATGGCCTTTCGGCCATACTTCGTCGACACCTGCGACCACTATGCGGTCGTGGTGCCAGACCTCACGGATGTTGAGGGTAGCCGGTCCCTAGGATTCATCAAGTATGACAAGAAATCAAGTCGGGTCACTTTGGCAAACGCCTGCATGCAATTTCCCGCCGAGGCTCTCGAGTTAGGTTTCAGTACAAAGGGCGACCAGGAACAACTGGCGGGCTCCCATTCACGGCGATGGACTCAAGCTGGCGGCGGTGGTCCTATCTCGGGATGGGTATAGGCTGCAAGTGGCGGCAAGTCGGTGTTCCTGGTATTTTCATTTGCGCGAACCATGCAAATCTCGCCTCCATTGTACCATTACTCCATCCTGCCAATCTGGTTCCAGCCGGACGGACTGGGCCGGTGATATCGTAGGATTGCGCTTCCAGACCGAGCGAGATGTTGCCGTGCTCATCGGCCCCAGACGCGCCACCCAGGGTCGACCGGTGGCACCTGAAGAATTTCTTGAGTGGCTGCAAATATCGTTGGATATTCGTGGCCTCTCCTACCCGTCCTCGGTTGTCGAGACAAGCCACGGGGATCTGCTTTTTGACCAAAATCTCCTGAGTAGGATTTATGCCCACGGCGTGCTAATCTCTGGAACAAACTCGATTTATCCGTTCAAACTTGGTTATAACTTTACCGAGGGGAAATTCAATCGCGATCGGCGATGGCTCATGGACCGGCATGGACTGGCAGAGCGAGTGTGCCGGATCTGGGAGTCCGCACTTCAAACGCACGAGGACGTCCTTCTTCCGATATAAGTGAGCCTCCTCCGAAAGACACCAGCGCTGATGGACGTTAGTCTGGCTGCTGATTTGCTCTTACCCTCGACGATATCCCGCATCTGGACGTATTTGCTACACGAGTCCAAGGGCAAGGACTTTTTCTATTGCGAAACATCCGGAGCCCAGGTTTGTCGGAAGTCAAATATCCGTATCCCTTGTCACAGGCTAACGCAAATCTAGGATGTCAAGATGATACGAGAGACCATTGGAAAAAAGCCCATGAAGCTGTCGCGACAATTGTGGCGCCTACTGCGGTCGACTACGCCTATCCGCAGTGCTGCGGAAGAACTTTCAATGCTTTTCCAGAATGTCGAGGTCTGTAGCCCCCCCGGATACCACCTTCTCGAGAACCGTGCGGAAGGCACTGAGAGCATGTTTTGCCTTACTGCATTCGATGCAGGAGATTCAAGTGGTTTACGTCAAGGGGTTCGATAGTAGGGCGGATGTTGTGTATAATCCTCAGCAAAGGACGCTGAAGGTTCACCGCCGGTGGCTGGACTTTGACGATACACATCAGCGAACGTCGTGCCGGAACTGGATTCTTCGTAGTGCGAAGAGGGAAAGTGGAAAGCGCGAACCCTTCTTTTGCAGCCACATCATTGAGGAGCTCTTATCTCTTTCCATCTCGTCAGTGTTTGGAGACTCTCAGACCCCTCGGACGACTGAGATGAGGTATATGCGCCATATCCGACGTCTACTCCGGTACATGCCACACCAGATCACTTTGACGCCCTCGAAGGGCGGCTTGGTGGTTGCTTGGGAAGACAGCGAGACAGAGCTGTTTCGGAAGCATGGCCTGGATGGGGCGGCGTATCATGTCATACTACACGAGGAAAGCTGTATCAGCATGAAGCGGGAGCTTCTGCATCCGAACCCAGGTAAGCTTCAATCGATCGTCGCTTAGGGCTGAGAATTAATTCTGATACTTGCCATATAGTTTTGGACTCGTCGGAGGTTGTAGTCTGCGGGTGCCGTCAGCAGTTCGTGCCGCAGCGGACCAAACAATGCTTGTTTACAGACTTGGATGAATTCAAAAGGTACTACGCGATGGTTTCACTCAACGAAAGGTCTGCATTTTACGGTCTAATACCGGAGCCTATGTATTCCCTAGCGGTGGCGGAGACCGGGCAATCCGTCGTCGTCGGCGATCAGCCTCCCGGTGATGTCCAACATAGGCACGGGCCAATCGATTGTTCGGGTCTGCCGATGAACAAGAGAAAAACAGTTTCATCTGCCCAAGAGCCGAGAAGCAAAAGACGGAAGTATATGGACTGAGCAAGTCGTGTCTCAAATCACCCTCACATTGCTATCGCGTTTCGCTGTCCTCGTAACAACACGACGATTAATGAGAGTTGTAGCTCACTTTCACGGAGTAATGGTCCATGACAGGCTACAAATTGTTCATTTAGCTCTGTGCCCTGGTCAATATCCTCTCTCGGTAGCCTTACGAGAGCATGATGAGAGTCACCGACGTAAGTTTCCGGCATCTCCTGGCGCTCGAGAAGACATTAGCGAAGTCACAGAGAATCGGTCATTCAGACGATTCAAAATGACTGGTTGACTGGATTCGGCCTACCTAACAGAAATCACACATGCAAGGATTCTTGGCCTTAGAGAAGGACAGGAAAGTCAAACGGAACAAAATGCTGTCAGGTAAACGATAGGGCCCATATGGGTGAGGGTGCTTCGTATAGCGGACGAACGGGATGTATAGTCGGCTTGGTCTATTTGGACAGAACCTCGACTAGTTGCTTTCGATACGGAGCGATGATGAACCCTCACGGCCACTCAAACAAGTCTGAAGGTAGAAATCAGGACCAAGATTCACATTGAACGCTCCACTGTAGTCTCATTGCATCTAGAGTGCATTGCTTCAAGCACCAGTCCCATTGTGGCTTGAAGGCAGTGCCTGGAAAGACGTGGGGGGGCTCCCCGGAGCCTGGCTCTCCTAGGAACTATGAATGCAATCCTGGGGGCATGAGCAGTGCTGCTATTACAATCCGCTTTGAGAAACTTTCATTCTTCGCAACGCATTCTTGTAGTAGGAGCTGCCTTGATAGATTCAATACGATGAATGTGTTAGCGGCACGACGAACGATATAAACTCGTCTGGCCGCTCTTTTCACGAGTCCATCATAACTCTACGCGCAATCATATTGCCCTATCCTTGCTCGCCCTTCCAATATTCATTAAGGTTCGTTACGTATATCCTTTATGTTGGCAACTACATACTAAACTAGAGGCAGCCTCATCTGCGAGGTCTACCGAATTCAATCCTATACAGAGTTGCAGCTTATCTCGAGAGCAGCGAGATATTTGCTCTTGCGAGATCATGTCGAAATCTCCAAACTAGGCTACAGCCAGTCATACTTGCAATCAACGTTGAATGTCAAAACAGCAATTTACTCGGCCTCGCTGCCATGAGCAACGATATTGACCTCGCCGAAAGACTCCTATATCGCAGGGCAGACGTCAACGCTTTCTTTCGAGGGAAGACCCCGGTGATGAGAGCTCTAAAGTACTCATCCTATGACGTATTGCAGCTCCTGCTGGGAAGCCCCACGCTGGATATCAACCTCCAAAACCAGGCGCAAGAAAGCGCGCTATGGTATGCTGTCACATACGGAACTTGTTCTGTGGTACAGAGCTTGCTGCAGGTCCCAAAGTTACAAGTTGACCTCCCGCACAGGCGAGGACGAACGGCACTCCATCTCGCGGTCTGGTGGGGCAAAACGGGTCTGGCGCGTCTGCTCCTCTCCAGCGGCAGCGATCCTCTCACTACAGATGACTTTGGCAAGTCACCCCGCGCATGGGCATGGCGCATCGGCCGACCGTCCATGAAGTGGATCTTTGTAGGCCCACAGGAAGCTGGGCACTCGCTCTCTTTCTACAGGCCATCCGCCGGTTATCAGACCACTGATAAAAGTGAGCTGCCGCTCCACCAAGCAGTAGCCCACGGATCCACAGACGCTGTCAAGCTACTTCTGACGCAGAAGGAGCTGGCCCTGGATGATCAGGATCACAACGGGGATACTCCACTCCACCTCGCTGTTCGATGTCGGCGTCTGGCAGGAGTGGAATTGCTGTTGAGCCACCCTGCGCCGACATAATCTGTCGAGACAAAGACGGCAACACTCCGCTCTGGTTGTCGACATTCTTATCGCGCGACGAAATAACCGAGAGACTCTTGGCTGCAAAAGACATTGATATCAACTTTGTGGGTGGTCGTGGTCAGACCCAATCGCCTTCCACTTCGCTGCACCACGTGGTCGCAAGGAGTGACACTGTCGCTCTGCGGTGGCTTCTCGAGATACCTGGCATTGACCCCAATCTCTCGTCTCTCATTTTTCCGCGGCAGCAGCGAAAGGCAACACTCATGCGATGGCGATGCTCCTACACGAGAGAGGTGTAGAGATCAATGCGACCGAGTTGGCAGATCCGCCCCTTTGTCGAGCGGTGGAAAACGGCTGCTTGGAAGCGGTAAAGGTCTTGGTCCGGCAGGGCGACTCTCTTGCAATTGACCAGAGCACAGTTACCGTCCAAGTTACCGCCCTGTGTATCGCCGCCCGGGCAGGCGACTCGGAGATGGTGCGAGTTTTACTACGCCATCCCTCAGTTGATCCCAACCATCAGAATCGTTTGGCTCGAGGATAGTTTGTTGCTTGCAGTAAAGGGGGGACATCTGGTGGTGGTTGACATGCTGCTGCAGGGCTGGAGAATGGAGCGTAACAGTTTGGGGGCGTCGCTTCGTCTTGCCGAGGAGGGTCCAATTCGGGAGGCAATCCAGAACCAAGTTAAAATCTCCGCAGCCGTCGCGGTGCAAGTACAGCCTCATCATTGAAAAGGAGGATCGGTGGCTTCCTCAAACATCAACAGAAGAACTGTACAGCAGAGCGATACAAAATGATGCACTGAAAAGCCGGCAGAGGTGTAGACCTGGCCGAGGTGTTGATGATGGCTGGTGGAAAGCCAGGAATTTGATGGATTGACAATAATGCCAACCTCCAGAGAGTGCGGCGTTGATAGCTCGACGAAAATCAGGGATGAATTTTGCCACGGACCTTTTCTCTCCGCTTCAATTGATGAGCGACCTTGTCATAAATCAACACTAACATTAACGGATGAGTAGTGGATATCAGGGTGACAGAACAATACCATAAATACAGGTGGTCCAACAGCAGCTGACTACGCCTTGGCGCTAAACCTGAAAGGGGAGAGAAACATAAAAAATTGGACCCACTTTAACCTATTTTGGACTTCAGTTTCCCAAAAGTTGAAACGTCCACTCCCTTTCATTTCACATCTGCTCGCCTGTACGCATCAGCTTTGGGATTTCAGCCATAAAGAATGCGCGGCGAAGTACGTGTCATCCTCTTGCTACTCAGGGTTCTCCATGTAAATGGTGTTGCCCTCTTCTGTTCCTTTTTTCAGCCTTGGACCGCAACATAAGGCCAGCCCAGAATTCCGGTGTGGCTGTCAATACCATTATTGTATCTCAGGCCGCACAAACCCCTACAGTAAATAATGGAAACTCATATACTAACTCATTAGATCTGCCATCTTCACCTAGGCCAGGCTGGTACCCAACTGGGCAATGCTGCCTGGGAGCTGTAAGCCTTTATTCTCTTGTGATTCATTCTGCAATGACTCACTATTGATTGATGAGGTAGCTATCTGCTCGAGCATAATCTTTTGGCCGATGGTCACATCAGTCCCGATTATTTCCAAGAAATTGACCAGAGTGGCTCTTATGAGACATTTTTCACCGAGACTGGCAATGGCAAATACGTCCCACGCTCCATCTTTATCGACCTTGACCCTTCGGTGCGTAAAGAGTGGCAACGAAGTCGAAATGAGATGTAGACTGATGAATTGGTGGTGCTATAGCCTATCGACGAGATACGCACTGGTACCTACCGCCATCTATTCCACCCTGATCAGCTGATAAGCGGGAAGGAGGATGCGGCTAATAACTGTACAAACCCCAGAGATCTTGAAGACGCATGCCAAGTAAACTAATCTATATTAGATGCTCGAGGCCATTATACTATTGGTAAACAGCTCATGGAGGGCGTTGTGGACCGGATTCGCCGCGTGGCTGGTGTGTTTATGGAATCCTCCCTCTCTTGGCTTCGACCTGTAGACTGATTTCCTTCCAGACAATTGCGCCTCTCTTCAGGGATTTTTGCTCTTCCATTCCTTTGGCGGCGGAACAGGTTCTGGTCTCGGTGCACTCTTGCTCGAGCACCTTTCTGCCGAATATTCCAAGAAAACCAAAGGAATTTGTGGTTTACCCGTCCCCGCGTGTGGCAACTGCAGTGGTGGAACCCTACAATGCCGTCCTCTCCGCACACGATACTATTGAGAACTCCGATTGCACATTCCTCGTTGACAATGAAGCTGTGTACGATATCTGTAAGCGCAATCTCGACATTCCTCGCCCTGGGTATGACCATCTCAACCGCCTTGTGGCCCAAGTCGTTAGCTCTGTTACTTCCAGCTTGCGCTTCGATGGTGCCTTGAATATCGACTTAAATGAGTTTCAGACAAATCTTGTGCCGTTTCCGCGAATTCACTACCCCCTCATTTCGTATGCTCCTGTCATATCTAGCACCCACAGTGGCCACGAGAGCTTCAAGGTCAAAGACTTAACCTTACAGTGTATGTGCCTCCTCTCCATTTAATTCAACTATGCTTCGTACTAATTACTTGACAGGCTTTGAATCTAAAAACCAGATGGTTGTTTGCGATCCACAGAATGGCAAGTACATGGCTGTTGCCCTTCTGTACCGAGGTGATGTCGTGCCTCACGATTGTACCCAAGCTATGGCTCACATTAAGGCCAAGGCCTCTTTCAACTTGGTTGAGTGGTGTCCAACCGGTTTCAAACTGGGAATTAACAACCAAAAGCCCATGAACGTCCCTGAGAGCGAGCTTGCTTCTGTCGACCGCTCGGTTACCATGCTCTCCAACTCCACCGCCATCGCCGCGGCATGGCATCGCCTTGACTACAAATTTGACCTCATGTTTTCCAAACGTGCTTTTGTCCACTGGTACGTAGGTGAGGGCATGGAGGAAGGAGAGTTCTCCGAGGCTCGCGAGGACTTGGCTGCTCTGGAAAAGGATTATGAAGAGATCGCCAGTGATACTCTCGGCACGGACGTGGATGTGGGCCTTGAGTACTGATTACTCCTTTATTTTGTTATTATGATTTTACATCTAGAGTTTGTCTCTCTACGAAAGATCTTTTGACGTTCGTATCTCAACATTTCCATTCCTATGGTATCTCGCTCGAGTTGGGATTTAGATCTTATTTCTCAGATGTTAAATCAGTTACCATTTTACAGCCAACCCTAATTCGTCTTTTTGCAGTCGGCCTCCTCGTTTTCATGGAGAGGACTCTGGTAATTCTGATATTCGTGACTGGTATTCTGAAATCCATTATTCGCCGTCTTACAAACATTACTGGTGCCAGGCACGGCGCAAAATGGCTGAGAGATGCTAGCGTGTTGCGGGCGCTCGGTTCCAGTGTTCTTTTCGGAGATCTCGGATGGGTTATGTGCAGATTTTAGAACAAATTCGGCAGAGTCAAAGTAGGTACGGTGCTGCGAAATATTAGCCTTCCAACTCAAGAAAGCTGTTTAGACTCCGAACTCAACCTTTGATCCTTCGGAAAATAGCTTCTCTCGGAGAGGAACAACGCCGTAGCGCCGAACTGCCAGGGCGTTTCTGTCGAAGGGTGGCTTCGATAATTAACTGAAGCCTGTAACTCACAATTTGTCAGAAAGCTTACTTTAAAATCTGTGTGCGCTTCATTTTCGCCTGGCATATTGCAGAAAGAGTTGTAGAACGGATTCGTTACGGGTGGCTTATTGCTTTGTTTATAGAAAGGTGCTTTCTCACCTAATACTTTGCCCGGCATGATGTCATGCCACCGCCTGTGACTCATTTCGTTGAAAATGGGGGCAATAGCGTCAGGATCACGTGGCGTAAATCGAAACCTTAAGGATTGTGTTCCATTGATGGCAACTTCTTCTTGGAGTATGAGTCGCTATCCAGATTGTCAAGGCCCGAAAACATGGTTAGCTAGCTACATGGTGGGGGCAATAAGCAACGAGCTTTTCCCCATCCTGACAATATCTTTTAATGGGTAGTGCCCGTGCATTTTCAGCAGCTGGCTCTTCAATATTTATTCAATATTTCTATGATACAGAATATTCGACGAGTTACTATCAAGAAACGTACGCAGACATGTTCCATCATCAACTTTACCACCTACGCATCATGGCGTTAGCTCGAAACAACTTTACGCTATCCGCAGATAAGGGGTCCTGTTATACCCCGAAGATGGGAAGGCAAAATCCTTCTCAGGCATACATTTATGTGAGCAGAAAGGACACAGACTACAAAGAAAGTGGGTGTGACGTCCCTCTGGATATACCTGTATAGTAGATTGGTAAGGCTGACAATGACGTGTCTGTTTTAGAAATCCCAAAGTTGGTTCCTGCAACCTCCGAAGCGAAAGGAGAAAGCCATAAATACGACAGTCTCAAAATATACCGGGAAGGACCCAACACTGAAAGTGGCGAACTGGATCCTAAATCCGATTCGAAGGAAGTCAAAAAACATAACAAATCCGTGGCCGATCGAAATGGCGACCATTAGCTCTACTGATTTGGAGTGGCTTATTCATCCTGCATGGATCTACCAGTTGCAAAACGTGACATCTTTTGTACTTGCAATATTATCTTGATCTGCGTACAGGACAATACACCCTACAAATATCCCGGATGATGAGTTCGGGAGCGGAGGGTTACTAGGGCCTGCCGAGGGAGTTCCTGATACCCCGGACCTGCTCATCAAATGCCACTTATATCACGAAAGCTATGGGTCTGGCTACCGGGCGACGTACTCCGAGTGAGACCTACAAGCGTGGGCAAAGCCCACCACGAAAGTGAAATTTTTTATAAATGTGCAGACTGGGCCAAAATCGGCGTGCGGATAACCCAAGAAATGAGTCCACAAAAGAATTATTGTATATTAAGGGGCCTGGTGAAAAAGAATCCGTGCAGAGCTGCGATCCTACAATGCCAGCCCGCTTAGCTCCATTCCTGTCTTTAGCTTGACACAGGGGATGTTTATAACTTCAGATGATTACAATGTCACGGTCGAGCACAGCAGTAATTCTATAGCTCTTGTGCTGAAACCATCTGTTAATCCACAAAATTTCAAGAAGCGTAAGAAAGGAAGATCGGTACAGTAAGATCAGGCGGGAGAACAAGGGAATATATTGTGAGATGAGGCTGTACAGATCATTACATACAACGCTGTATCATAGTCTGTATCAGCCTGACCTCTTTTAGATAGGTCCGATATACTTACTATGATATTCTGAGGTAGATACGAAAACTCGAATGAACATGACTAATTCTGTGGTTGGGCTGGTTGATAAACAGGGTTGCAATGTGACTTGTTGTGATATGAGGCCGGTGCAGATCAGAAAGCAAGCCGCACCATCGGAATTAGCTCCGAGATGTCTATACAGACAATCAATTTGATTTACAATCAACTTGGCTCCATGTTGTATATATAGGCTCATATTTCCCTCGAGAACTAATAAGACGACTCATACCCCTAAACAACAGAAATCTATTCTATTTAGTCGAATTGCTCATCCGAGCAGTCTTCTCCACGTAGCAGACTAAAGGTTTTGGTGCATTCGAGTCATCTACGGTACCAATTGGCCCATCATTTCTTGGCATATATCATTAGTATCCATAGCATCCAACGACAGCATGTATATCGACGACCATAGGCTCCCGGAAGTCAGGGTGAGATATTAGCCATTATTTCACCTAGGTCTTGTGCGTCTATAGGCATTCATGGCTCTGACTAGCTTATATTATGCAGCAGTACCCAAATTCACATATCCACTTAGTTCCCGGGAATTCGATGTGGGTAATGCTGACGGGCTATCCAATTATGGTAGGTGTATAATGGTAGGTTCAGGCTCCAAGGTGCTCATAGCCAAATTTGGACCAATCATTTCTACTGAGGCTTTGGGGCACATGTGGATCGTTCGTGGCACCGATTGGCTCATTATTCCTCCATAAATATCACTCTATTAGTGGTGTCCAATGATTGCATCAATATTAATGACCCACAGGCTCCTGAGAGCCAAGGCCAATTATCAACCAATAATTTCATTGAAGACTTATGCGCATGTGGGCGTGACACTAATTGGCTGATGTTTCCTTGTAGTAGTAACCATCTTCCCGTGTCCACTTAGTTCCCAGGAGATCGATGCAAGTATTGCTCTACGCAAAGACGAGGTCGATAGCAAAAAAAATTGTTCTGTGAAAACATAATCGATCTAGTGACTCACTCACTATACAAGGAGCTCTTTCGTGAAATGGAGCTGCGCGAATCAGTGCCGCGCCGTACCATAGCTTAGATCTACTTGATATTGTGTAGGTTTGACGCATTTTCTCCGATATCTGAGGAAGGCAATGAAGAACCCTACAGTTGGGCTGGTTGAGATCTAGGGTCGCAATATGGGATGGTGTCTGCCTGTCTTTGATGAGGTGTTCGTTGCGTGGAGTGACGGGCTCGTCACTGGTGAGTGAAATGACATGACCTCGTCGCCTCACCCGTCGCATTAAAGGGCGGACTCACGGTGGTGAATGGTGATAAGCGTCGTCAGTTCTTTTCTGTGGCATCCTCATGGCTGTTGAAACAATGCCAACAGCCAGAAAATATTTTTCTTGTTCTTGATCACCAGGAACAAAATGCAATGTGTCTGAGAGCTGCTTTGAATCAATGATGAAATGTTGAACCAGTCATTCTTGAAGAGTAGTTTGTGTTTGAGCCCTCACTAATCACAATGATCATCGCATCGACATAGGCAGAACGACTGCCTGCAATGCTATAAATAACCCGATCCGTCGCCAGCAGAACCGTCGTTCGCAAGCATTCCTTTGTCACTCCGGGTAAAAGAATATCGATCAATTCTCGTTTCCGTGGCTACTATTTGGTATGTTGACTTCGAAATCGTGCAACGAAATTGACTGACTTGTTGCATCGCATTAGCCTGGCTTTTCTCGACACAAGAGGTCTTCGAACAGCAAGTGAGTGTAGCTGCCCAGTCATTTGGAATTATGCTAACATGGAAAATGCTTGGTATCAGCCCCGTCTCCGCTATATCCCTGAGAAGCCATTGGACGAACCTTCAGGATCAGGATCTGGAATGGTCCAAGCTGCGAGCACAGTGAGTTACAAGTTGCCTTCATAAGCTACCTGCTAATGATTGAAGATAATGAGGTGCCATCCTTTATACAGTCCCCTGCAGTGGACAGCAAGAACCGACAATGTAAGTTCAAAGACTGCAGCAATTTTCAAGGCAGACATCATGTGCTGACGACCCTCTATATAGGATAGCGAACTTTCTATCGCGAGTCGCTCAATGTCTTGTAAGTCACGCTAGTGCTTTGCCCCTGCCCATTCCCAACGCCCGGTACTGCATTTTCAATCTCAAAACGAACGCTTTCCGTTCGTAGCTCTCCGTTCCTTAGAAAATATCGCTTATGATTCTTCGTCATAGGGCGAGCTTCAATTTTACACTCGACCTGACCGAGCTATGTTCCCCCCTCGTCCTCGAAACTAAACCAGCTGCAACAACCTGATGGGCCAAGCCACTGAATCTCACTACGCTTGTCTTTGTTGTTTCTGAAGACGTGGTTGACACGGCCACTTCGCCTGGCGCAGTAAGCAAGCCCAATTCAGGAAGGCCTGATGCCCTCTGATTAGCCATATGGTAAAATTCCAAAGTGTCTTCATTCGTCTCTCCGGCGTTACCCTATCCAGGCAAAGGTTGACAGTCAATGGATTAGTAACTCGCAATATTCTGACGGCTATGAACCCCCCTGCCCCACATCCGATCCGATGGCTTGTCGGTGGCCATGAGCCGGCCTCACTGTTGACCGAGCGAGCCATCAGAGCATCCGCGACAACGAAGAGAAGCCGAGAATCGACGGCCACAGAAAAAGACAACTATTCCCCGGGGGGCATCAATCAGCAAATTGAAACGAGCTATTGGCAATAGTCTAAAGGCCAGATATTTCAACCCCTGATTGCAGCTGAGCAAGCGATAAGACAGGCCGTGGCTAAGATGTACCCTAGATCCCTCGCCGCGAGAGCAGTCATTTTCAGGTCGGGGCGAAGTTTGTCGCAAACAAAACACCACGAACTCTCGTCCAGTGTTACTTTGCCCTTACATGGTTGAAGATCTGCCCAGAATCTTGCATTGGCAGGTACGGCTACATCCATTCCTCGTGAAACGATGTGATCCCAGGCCCTCCACGTGTGGTCGAGATGAGCCCGCTACCTCATCCCTGGTTTTCTATGCTGATGCCAGGCTGCATCACGGCAAGTTTATACCACCCTCAGTCAACAGAAATTATGTTAACATAGAGTTTAGTGAAACACAGTCCTAATCCAGCCGTTCGGGTGAGTCCGATCGAGAAAGTGCATTATAGCCGGCCGGGGACCTCGTCTAGGCCGCGAACAAGGTAAGTTGCGAGCGACCATATTGCACCAGCTGCTGATAGTTGGTGCTAGATTGAATATATACAGCGGCAAAGTGCCTTGCCTGTGTTCTGATGCAGACGGTCATTTAAAGCTGCCACCATGGCTTATTTACGACTGATCCTGGTAATTACATTCTCATAACTAGAATATTTCGGAAGTCGACTAACCAAAGTCAGGTCGCTGGAACCTGATGCTATGCTCAATGCAGCCGCAAGTCGACCGAATGCATCCTTGATGTCACCGCTGAGGGGCACCGACTCGCCGGCAGAAGTAGCCTCGCCAGGCCGGCCAGTTGATTGCCTAGACGGTCACAAAGGCCCAATTCTTATTTGAAAGATGCAGGTCGGTTTGTGATATATGGTGAAGAAGACAAACTCATTGACTTCGAACGTAGCCGCTGATGTTAATCTCAGTGTGGGCGTGGCACGTGTGTTTTACGCGACGCGCAAGTGCACCCAGCCCTTTGCCCCTCGTAGCGTGCGTCTAGTGCAGCAGGTCCTCGATAGCCATCAATTTCACTACCGCCGGTTGCTGACTCTGGCGGGAACGTCAATCGAGTTCGCAAATATGGTTTAGCCATTCTCAATTGCAAAGGGTAAAAATTAATCCGCAGAGCGAAAACTCGGGAAATGATCCGGGGAACACAAAGCGGGCTATGAGTTCGCGCGGACGAGGGCGGGCTCCTTCAAATAATGTACCCTGCGTGAGTCGAACCCGTGCCGTTGCTAAAAGCAAATGAGAAATTCTACTAGACCACGCAGGCAGAAGGTCTGAAAGCGCCACAACACATCTAATCTGCTCAATTATATCCATCGTCTGGCCTGAATAGCACACCCGCCTTTCTTCTGGGCACACATCCGGCAAGATCAGCGTTTCGAGCTCCAGAAGTGTATTTCATTCGATCAGGCCGAGACAAAATGATATCTGAAATATGTTTAGAAGGTCTAGGCTTTCTATCACTGGTCCGCTACTGGTTCTTTGCCGATTTTACCGCCAATAATGTACCTAATGGGATTGGCCTGGGGATATATATATTGCTGGTATCGAATCAGCATTTGGCAGCACTACCTCAGATATTGTACAGAATATGGCCAAAGAGCACGACGATGCCTAAGCCGAGAAAACGTCATACAGAAGACCGATCGGATAATGTATTAACAAATAGAATCTAATTTCTAGAGCCATCATTTCGCACTGTTTATCAACTTTTGCATACGGAACGAAGACCTCACTATGACGGGGCGAGTGTTTACCGTTAGCCGCCACTTCACCGCCCGGGAGTCACCCGCACTGCACATCAACAGAGGGACCAGTGGGTCCGGCCCCGCTTTCACCAGCTCTTACTCTCAACCCTCACTCACCTTTGGCCCTCACCGTCAATCACCGTCCATCACCGTCCATCACCGTCCATCACCGTCAACATACTCTCACCATAAACCCGTCAACACCATCACACACCGACACATCAACCACTCACCATCGACACTCCGCATCTCCCTACATCCGAACCAAACCTGGTGCCACTGCCAGCCAGCAGGGACAAGTGTTCACCAATGGATATCTTTGGATTTCAGCCGCCACCCAGATTGGCCACCCCGCTATCAGCCATGACTGGATACTTTGATTCACACTGCGTGGAGGAGTATGTCTCTTCTTGAAGCTCAGGGCATGGCTGAGCGCTACAAAGTGCATTTTTCGAACCAGTCATGTACGGCGACATCTACATACAATACTGAAGTCATTTTACACCATATTTTGTTGGATTCTTGATTCTATCGATTCTTTGGAGCAGGTCTTGGCTTCTTCGAGAACTCCCCCGAATACTAGTCTCTGACACCACGAAGAGGTGCCTGCAATCGCCAGAGGATCAGGACGAGGACCGCGGCGCCACGGGTCCCCTAACAAGCACAAATTTGATAACGCAGGGCTCAAGGCTGCATGGAAGCTCAAGATTATACAATCACAGGGCTCAAGGCTGTGAGGGAGAACTTGGTGACGCGGCGGTCTCCCGCGGAGAACTTGGTGTCGCAGCGGTCTCCTGCGGAGACTCTTGGTGTCGCAGATGTCCCTGCGGGTCTCCCTTGGTAACGCAGCGTCCCCCTGCGGAGGCTCTTGATGTCGCGGAGGTCCCCGCGGAGCACATTTATACAACACAGGGCTCATTGGCTGTGAGGGAGAACTTGTTGACGCAGCACTCTCCTGCGGGTCTCAATTGGTAACGCAGCGTCCCCCTGCGAGGCAAACTTGATTACGCGGGGCCTTTCCCGCGAAGACTTTTTGGTAACGCAGATCTTATCCTGCGAAGAACACCCGAGTGGCTCGGGAGTGTGAGGAGGAAAGTCCTGCTTTTCTTTTCGACGGGAAAAGAGCGTCTTTTATGCCATTCTGAGTAGGGTTTTCGGCAGCGACCACTTGCGTATATTTTACCTGACCCAGAGATTCCCACTCGACACTCGCACCGGGCGACCGCCTTTTTTGCTGGGTGTTGAGGCGGTTGATTCAAAGTTGAAATAAGAATTTTCAAGAGTTCGCAGTGGAGAGCGGGTGGAGCGGCTGGATCCACCTGGAGCCGTGGTCGTCTTGGGGCTAGGCCAGGCGAATCATTCAAGTCGCCAACATCGTTCATCCAGGTGAAAGGGCCCTCAATTTTCAACTGAGCTGGCACATTTACTACAGTACACGCAGCCTGTAGCTTGTGCTTGTTGGTCTTGCCATCGAAGCTGGTTTGATACGTTTTATCACCCTTGCTTTACTGCATCTACCTGATGTAGTGCTGAGTGGACAAAACCTCATTTACAATATAGCTCGGGTGACTCCCTGCTAGACTAGTCTAGTTTCGCCAGCTGCGGTGCTTGTGGAAAATATTCTGCCAGCAGGATACGCCGAAAGTAACACCTGGGCTGCGCTTATCGCTGGGCGCAAACCTGTGAATCCTACCGAGAAGCCAAGTTTCTGCGAGCTGTGGATTGGAATAATTCAATTCCAGCTTGTGAGCCAACATTTGTGCCCGTTGAAAATCCGTTAATCCTGTTGCTAAACGTTCTTACCACCTCACTTTTCGACTTGTATCCAAAATGTGAGAGCCAACCTGGCTGGCGTTGGCCAAGGGTAACGGCGTCTCCCGCTGCGAAAATGTAGTCGCCAGATCCATTTCTACGCGCATTGGGTATCCCCCGCTACGCTCTATTTAAGAGGCACATCCACCCTATTTCTAGGAAAGGCCTATTTTGTCAACAGCAACCCGCATGATCTCAGTACTCGACCATGGGAGCCATTCGGAAAATCTCACACACTCGGCAGATGCCAGACTTCCGACGTCGATTGCAGCGCGCATTGTCATTGTCATCCTCAGAGTCCGAAGACAGCCGAAGCCCATCTAGGTCTCTGTCCGGCGACACCACTGAGGAAGAGTCGTCGACCCACTTAAACAAGAATGACCAAGCTGCCCCGCAGCAGGGCAATCCTCCCAGCAGCCATGAGCACGAGTTGCTACCAAGCTATAGATACGGCGGACATGGGTCCCAGCCCGGGGACAACAACGTGCTCATTCTCAAATGCCTCGCAGAGCTAGTCCTGGTCACTCCCTTATCGTGAGTGCGAGGTCTTTGCTAACAAATGATACTTCAAGGCTAGATGTGCGGGTGAAGTAAGTTGTACGTTTCCTCTAAAAAAAGAACAAAGAGCTAACAAAACCCTAGGTCTCTAGATTGTAAACTTACGGATCAAAGCAAGTTCATGGACGATATCCGTAGAGATCTAGCAGACCTCCTCCGCCGACTGGAGGTTATCGAGACGGAAGCAGAGGAGAGATCCAAAAGTGACGGGACTCATACGCCAGATGAGCCGGAGCAGAAGACAGCGCGGACCCGGCGGCCGAAGCGGCCGAAGCGGTGAGGACGAGTTGGATGGGGGCTCTGATGATTTTCGTTGTGCAGGAACCCATCGAGGATGCGTCAAATGGGTTCTCTTACGTTGAGTACGCTCTTGCTTTCCTCAAGATTGTCGATTATAGAATGTTTGAACCAGCAAATTTCTTGTGCTTTCTATAGGTGGTACAGGGCCGCTCGAAATCAGCTTCACCTTTAAATTATTTTTCTATCTTTCATGAACTTTATCTTGCATATGATTATACCTAATAAGATTAGACGACCCCTTCTCGGTATTTAGCCGTATTCCATTACAATTGTAAGTAAACAGATAAAACCAGCCATCGTATTCTGTTGCATAGGCTTTTTGTTTTGTTGAACAAACCCCTTACAAACAAACCAAACAACTGCAGGCGGTCAGCTTCTGTAACCCCTGGTGATCTCGTTTCATTTCATTATATTTGATTTTTGCAAGAATAAATTACATTGAAGTAACACAAACACAAAAGAAAATAAAACAAAGAAAGCGAAATAACACAGTCCAAAGAAACTCAACCTTAGAATGGAGGACAGCCCTTTATCAACCACCGCGAACATATCCGGAATCCTCACGTTCCTTGCCGCCGTCTTCACTTTCGTCTACGTTCGCTACAACACTCTCCAAAATGGCCATGCTGAAATGAATGACATATATGAATCCGTCAAAGCCACAATCGAAGAGACTCGTCTGATGGAGAGCCAGATTGAGATTCAGCCAGGCTTGGAAAAAGTGCGAGAAATCTTCCACAAACTCTGGCGAACTGAGATCAGCATTATGATCGAGCTCGCTAAAGCCATTGGAGGTGATGAACTAGCCCATAAAGTCCGCGGACAGACCAGCATCGAGCCTGATTCGCACCATAATGTCTTCAAGTGGTTGTACAAGGACGAGGTGGATTATGGGCTGGGTCAAGAGCGCTGGGTTAAGAGAATCCCTCTTCTTGCTGTTGCTCTAACAACTGTGAGACTTGCTTGGAATCTCGGCGCGACACCAAAGCTGCTACGGTGGTATATGGTGCGAGAGAAAGTGATGGAGAAGATCCGGGACAGGGATAATTATAGGTCGCGTTTGCGGTCTCACCAGCTGGCTCTTTTGAACCAGTAGGTATATTTGCCTTTCTACCTGACAAATGGATGGGCTGATAGTTGTGTTTCGTGTCTAGACAGTTCCGAGCACAGGAGATCTCAATTCGGCGTCTGCGTGATGATAATGAGACTTTGCTGAAATATATGGAAGATATGCGGCTCACCATAGGAAAAAATGGTGGAAGCTCAGAGAGTGTCTTCTCATCCCTGAATTGAAACCCCACCAGTCTATATTGTGTAAAGAAGGGCACGATCAAGCCATCAAGGCCTAGACTGAGCCGCATCTCCTTTCAAATCCGCAGATGCACTTTCCGATTGGGTGCTTGAGGACTATAGATCTGAGGACTTTTGTGGAATATGTCCTCATACAAGCAGTACGTGCAGACTCAATAGTAGGTGGTGACGGAATATATATTCTAGGCATAATAAAAAGGGGCGATTGAGAACAAAACTGACAATTTGTTAGGCTTCAACTTACAATCACATTCTTCAGCTGGAGGAGCTATATACCGACCATAATAAACGCGCAACTATACTATGCCACACTAGCTTGGCTCTTTGGAAGGAGCACTTATAATAGACACAACCTAGAGATAAATTGGAAACAATCGTATTGAAATTTCAGGAAAGTTACAACCGCAGCAACCGGGTTTTGAAGATTTACAATATATTACATGATATTTAACAGGCTAAATCAAAGTAGGAATAGCGTGTTTCAGATTTGAGTTCAGCAAATAAAAGAAGGTGAAGGTGATTTCGAGCGGCCCTGTACACAGTAGAACCTGTCTTCAGATACAGTATATGCCTTGTTAATGGGCTTTTCTCCAATATACCTACCTATTGAGACATCAAATATTGCAAGGTACAGGTGAGTTCAGATAAAATAGCTTGATTATATGAAAAGATTGGAAAATCCATGCTCACATTAATTGTTATTGACGGTTCGTACGCCAGCACCATGCTCTCCGACCGTCATTTACCATATCCGTCAATCCAGATGTACAAGGTTTTTTCAGATGCCGAGTCTATATAATACCAGTTTGGGCATTCCGTAATTCTTTCCAACATCGCAGCAATACCATGTGAATGACACATCCTACGGATCCACATGTAGCGGATGCACACATTGTTTAAGTTTTAGATGAATGGAGATTGATTTGATGAGATATTTTGACATACATAGTATAGCCCACGTGAAGAGCATGGCACCCATCTTGAAACGCATCTTACTGATGAGTAATTGGTTTATGAATAGAAGTGGGGCGTACCTGAGAAACACCCACCAAGATGGAAGCCTCCACTCTGTTGGACTTCTCAAGCTTGATAGCTAACTTCGCCTCAACCAACCAAGACCTTCCTCTCATTTGTTGTAGCATGTGGTCGATGGGATCGCATGGTGTATCGAAAGACATGTCAAGCTCTATTTCAAATTCCTTCGGATCTATCAACGCGTAAATCCAATTGAGCCTCATTGAATATTCAAAGCAGGCTGGGTTTGTATTTCACGACGACACAAGCGTGTTAAAAATGGGTCCCATTGTGTTCGACGGAAGGCCAACACAAATGTACCTCGAGTCGTGACAATCGGCCGTCCTGTATCTTTTTCATGGATAATTTACGAATGAGCGGTGCTCGACCCTTCAGCACTTGAATGAGTCAATACAATGTGATAAGGATGATGTTGATGAATGCCGGAGCGATCGGGTCCTCTCTGTCATGGGTTCTAAATCACATGGCTCTTATATCGATTTTATTCCCGTGCTGGAACCGAATTCTTGCAAAATATTCGGAAGCATTGATTCCAAGTTTTCTTGGAAAGGACTAATTGGCTTAAGAGGCAGCAATGGCGAGTTATTTTGGGGCCTCGCTAGGGACTGAGGAATCGAAACTTCAGTCACCCCGATTGCATCCACCACAGCGGGGATACACAGTGGTGACCTGCGTTCTTTTACAAATACTCTACATGAGAGCTCAAATCTTGCGGTACCTGATACAAACTGCACCTGCATGGCGAGGCTTGAAAAAATGTTTCTTCGTCGATACTTATCCCGCCGAAGGTGTACTCAAAGCCGGCTGGCGTTCGAGAAGAGGTGTCCGCAATAAGGGCAGATGCGCATGCAAGAAGACATAAGTTTAGCGGCAATTTCTCTGCGGCAGCTACAATAAATCTTTTGATGCCATGCAGTGGCGGCTAGGAGGTACGTGCTGTTTATCTGTCATGGTGTCAGGCGTGGGACGATTGAAGGATCCACCCATTTAGTCAGCTCAATGGGCAGACCCCAAGCCAAGAGGTGGGAAACTAGTTACAGACCCTAGCCACAAATCTCACATATCGCAATTTCTAGATATCCTGACAACTCTCCAGATAGAGGTGTTTCTAGGGATCTGTAGGAATAACGAATATATTCGTATTCGTTACCAATATTCAGAATTCGCATTCGATGCCGAGTATTACGGTGGTCGAGCCTACGGTTGGGATCATCGAGAGACATAGATAAGATGAGGAGTCTCACCTTCCACTAACTAGGGAACTTAACGCAATGTAACTTACTTTCGTCTCAACAAAAATGATTCAAGCTCAAGATTTTTTATCCGTTCATTTTTGGGATGGGTTTAGTTTTATTACGATAAGAGAATAGTCATAATAGTGAATAAAAATCAATGGAGTCAACTATTCTTAATCTTTACCTATCTCAGGTCCATGGGTTTTGGAAACTCATGAAGCTCATTCATCAATAAATTAGATTAATTTGACATGTCCATCTGCCCAGGTGGACATATTCCAGGTCATTATGCAAATCGGTGAAGCATGTCGCATTCTCGAGCATGATGGCAGTAGATTAACCAAAATGTAAAATTAAAAGCACTTAGAAACAGCATCATTGTTTCTTTGATACACGCATCGAGTCAGCTTCAAATATAGGCTTTGAGCTATCGGCTTCGAAAAGCCTTTCTTTCCCACATTCATTCAAATTCGACTCTGCCAAGAGCTCAGAGGAACCCGCCTCGGTGCTCCGATCTTTCAGGCAAGGCGTCGAGTCTGCTTCTACAGGTCTCTCCATTGTCCGTTGCTCAACAAAGCGTGAAGTCCTTTGGCTTCTCTCTATCTCTGCAAGCACTTGTCCCGTGCAGTCTATCCGGACAGAACCGAGTTCAGGGTCCTCCTTTTGGTGTTCTTCAACCGGGAATCGCCAATAGCATAGCAGAAGCCCGAGAGAAAAGCCCTGGAAGAAGATGAATCCCACAATTTGTCGGGCAGTTTTCCCAGGTCCAGTCACGCTCTCACTGAAATTGATGGCTGATGATTGAAGGAAGGCGAGAATATCCCAAATAAACCAAAGAAAATTGAGGCCAAGGAAACAGCCGCTCGCGGCAACGAAAAAGAATGCCGACATCTGATAGCCTACTGTTGCCATCAATGCTATTGATACAATACGAGAACCTTCAAAAACTTTGGCACATACCTTGAAATTTATGTAGGATGAATCACGCGATGTCATGAGGCCCAGGAAGATAGCCCAACCTGCAATCTCCCAAGCGCTTACCCAGAATATGACCCAACGTACACTATCGATCTTTTCCCAAACATCCATCCGATTTGCAGAGCTCGACTTCTCCTTCACCCCGGAGTCAATAGCTTCGACATAGTAGCCCCAGTCAACAATGCATACTGACACGAACAGACTCACGACCCCCCAATGCACATATTTAAAGGTCGACAAATTTTTGGTGCTGATTTTTGTGACACGCTCAGCAAAAACATGGATAATTGCATAAAATACGTGGAAAAGCAAACAATATGAAACAAAAGAGCAGAATTCGCCAATTATGTGCGCAATGTTGTAGGTCTGTTTGGCATAGTGGGCTCGAAATGAGACGGAATTATACGCGAATGTACTGGCTTGGGATCTAGTATTCAGACACAGTAATTAACCAGGATATTCTATGGATTCTCTGAGGTCCCGAAGAAGCTTACCCTGCCATGAAGAACATAGCTGCCAGTGTGGTTACCACAGGCATAGGCTTCAGTGCATGTCTTCTTGATTTCTTCAAGAAGTAAATCCCGGCAAACACAAAGAGCAATCCCACCAGTAGCAGCAGCATAAAAAATGACTGCACAATGAGCAATGTTCTCTGCGCGCTTGGGGTACAGACCCAAACATCGGAATTCCAGGATACTTTGCCAGATCCTTGAGCCGACATTCTCGGCGTTATTCCAGGCTAGCTGGAGAGAATGTCCCGTCAATAGAAAATCAAGAACCAGAAGAAGAAGAAGAAGAAGAAGAAGGAAAGAGAAAGAAAGACCGAAAAACAATCAAAGTTTTCACGATATGCGATACAAGCAATGTAGCCTCGTACTGATCATCTCCGACCGACGACGGGTAAGGCGCCCCGGACGCGCGAAACTTAATTAGCCAGCCTCGCGTCGGAGATGATCCTTCGATGATCTTTCCTTGAAAAGGTTTCCAGCCCACAAAAAGGGCACAACTTAACCACTCTGAACACCTTGATTGCCTGCTAGACTGTCTCCACTCTTCTGGTGGGCTCTACCTTGTCACACCGCCTGACCAGTGGTTTGCCGGGCCACCAACACTCGTATTGTGGTCAATGTTCTGCAGGATATAGCCTCTAGGCCTAAGAGGCCGAACAAAGCATTCCTTGGTGGACCCATAGAATTAGTGTGATCTACATAGGGTGTAATTACCAAGCTATATTAAGGGCCTTGTTTCGGCTCGGTGATCAACGATCATCACTCAGTATTAATCGCTCGGATCGGAATATGAATAGAGCTAGACAGGACCCAGAGGTACAGTAAGACAGATTGGTAAGACTCAATGACCTTTCTCTAGGGGTTATTTCCTTACCTAACAAATGCAGGCCCTCAGCAGAAACTACGCCGAGAGCCCTCGTGGCGTAGTAAAGCTCCAAGGAGCAAGCATATTTGTTGCCTAGTCTAACATATTCATGGACACACTTCAAAATTGAATCAACAAATTGTGGGGGGGAGGGGTGTAGCATGACGAGTCACATGTGATCCCTTCGTAAGCAATGACGTTGCTTCTATCAAAACAGGATAAAGATACACCCCCGTAAAGAGTCCCTGTTCATAGTAGAATGCCTGAAAAGACCACAAGAGAAGCACAGACCGTCGCGAGGGGATAGGGGGCCAACCTGTGGCCGGCAAAGAGATACGACCTGCAGGGAATACCTGATCGGCAGCTCTGCGATTTATTGGTTTGAGTAATCAAGCCGCTCTATGCCCGTTCCCTGGTAACCTGCAAGCTTGATTCATAACTCAACCCAATCGCAGACCGAAGCGATGGCTTGAGAAAAGGCATCGTCCTTCGCATTTGATTAAAAGCCTAGCTGAATTCAATACAAAAGCAAAATAAGCTTGATATTCATGGGAAGGGCAGACCAGAAGCTGGTAGAGGCAAGGTTTAATGCACACCTTGAGTGCAGATTTTGACTCTAGTTGGAGGCTAGCATGGGAAACTATACCTGATCAGGGTCGCACTAAGCCCGAGGGAGGCAGCGAGAGCCGGGCGCTAAACCGCAACAGGGGGGGTTACCGAAAACGGCGCCCTCCTGGTAAATGCGACTTGTACCAGGATTCAGAATCAGCCTCACCGATTGCCTCTTCTTTCCTGTACCAAATGTCCCAGAATTATCATGGCGATAAAAAGGGACAGTGTACTGAATGTATCAACGATTCGAATTTATAGTTTCTATAATAGAATAGTGGACAAAAAATATAGAGAATGGAAGGTCTGATTCCCGCTCTTTCCTTGTCCTCTTGACTTTGGCTTTACTCTAGTGCATGGAGAAAACTTCAAGAAACCCAGACTGGCCGTGGATTGAATAAAGTTTCCTTCTAAAAAGTTTCATCAGACTACCGACGGCGGCAGAATGATCTCCAGCGTAGAAGCGTCAATGACAAATCTCCACTGTTGCGGGGCTGATCCCCGAGCCGATCTCCACAATGGAGGGCTGATCCCCGAGCCGACCTCCGCCTGACCTGGCCATTCATGGATTGGCTGGTTCGAGTATTCATGCCGCCCTTCATCCGCGGTGAATGGTGATTAGTACCGTTGATCTAAACTGAAATGCAACGTTGGGTCCTCGTAGGCCTAAGGCGACCCGGGAAACACAAATGGTGTCCTATGATGGATGGATATGAGCGTTTCAACGGAGCTGACGGGCTCTGACAGAAGAAAGGTTATACTTTAAGGCTACCAGAGATTATTTTGGGTGATGATTCACTCTTGCTGGTTTTTATATAAACTCTGACGTCTCTACCCACCACCTGTCTTCACAACCGCTCATCAACTAGAACCAAACGACAAGAAAGATCATTATTCAACAATTTCAAGATGAAATTAACATCACCAACATCGCTCCTACAGATAGCCATATATGGCATATTGACTGCTCCAGGGGTAGCAGCAAAGTGCTCAGCGGGACTTGTCAATATTGTTTTCAATGGGCCTGGCGATAAAGTTGGGCCTGGATCGCACCCCGACTCTCAGTTATTTTCTTGGTTTTCCAAGATGTCAGCCGCCAAGAATTGGATAACTTTTAATGAGCATGAATATGAGAAGAAAATCCCCATGCTGGGTGACAACAAAGATGCTGTTCAGGAGGCCATTAAAATGGTCACCAGGGCAAACCCGCCAGAATTTCTGCTCACATTCAATGAGCCCGACTGGGATTATAAAACAGGAAAGACGAAATTGACTCCTCAAGCTGCTTCTGAACTTATTGAACCATTGTTGAACGCGACTGCAAAGCATACCAAGTTCATCGCGCCAGTGCCGGCCTTCCAAATGAGTAACTGGCTTCCTGAGTTCTATGAAAAATGCAAATGCAGAGACCGTTTCTATGCACACAGCGTCCATATCTATAACCACACCATCGATGACGCCAAAACTGCTATCAACACCTTTCACAACAAGTACAACGACAAGCCTTTATGGATCACCGAAATTGCACCGAGGCAGCTGAACTGTGACGCTCCGACGAGTAGCTCGTGGGCCAATTCGACAGAATTTATGAACGAACTCTTCGCCTGGGGACAACCGATCGAATGGATCGAAAAGATCTTTTGGAACTCGGGTAACAAAATTGTCACACATTGTGATACAAACGTGGGTGCCTCTTATTTGCTCGACGGCAACGGCAACCCGACGCCACTGCTGGCTCCTTTCAACAATTTGACCTGTTCGCAAACTTGACTTGTTCATGGAGTTACGTTCGTCTATCTTGAGAATAGAGAAGCTGAAGCCGGAAGAGAGCAATAATGGTGATGGTGATGAAGCCATATGTCCGATGTAGCTTGCCCTATGTACAGATAGAGAGACTGTTATAACGAAGAGGATATTTCGAGAAGTTATTCTGTCAAGGCATTGCAATTCATTCCAAATTTTCCAACCCGTCTATATACATTAATGCATTCCCAACAACCTAAATTAAATCTATCACAGCTCAACAAACTCATTACGAAGATGCTCGTCAGCCTTGAGTTGATCTAGGTAGCCTGCCACCTTAGTCGCCAAGGGCTTCGCCTCGTAACCGAAATGCTTGTATGCAGCCTTGCCAGGCAAACTGACCGAACTGTGTCATATAGAAACCAGCATCAGCATAGCGCTCCCAGCCGTTCGGACTGAAGGCTCAATAACAACAGCAGGAATGCCACGGTGACGACGCAGAGTGTCGCGCTTGTACTCGAGCGACTGCTTCTGGAACAGACGCTGGGAGGGGAAACTGACCACACGAGCAGTAATGCCCTTGTCGGCCTTCAGCTTGGCAGCGATCTCCAGCGCGAGTGACAACTCGGCGCCGACACCGATCATTTTGTGCACTCCATTTTGAACATTCTTCATTCTGAGAACTTCCCTCCAGTTCTGGTCTCAATGTCACGAACAAAATTACGATCTATTATTCACTTTGGATGTTGCTAAACTTGAACAGGCCTCACCACCCTTAACTAAAACTCTGAACCATCTCAGGAGTTGTAGGTTTGAGATCAATTGCGGAGATTACCCCATCTCTTGACGAGCGTTGAGATGACAAAGAACGTCAAACCTTCATTATCAGATATGTGATAAATATCGACACACGCCTTATATAGAACCGACCTCCAGAACCAACCTCGAGTTCCAGAACCAGTCTTGAGTTCCAGAATCATAAACACTACAGCGCACCGGAACCGCACTCTTTTTATGCCGTCTGTGCTCTTCAATGGGCCATACTGGGACTGGTTTACCACGAACATTCTCCCAGGGGAGGACCTCTCATAGGACTATTCACCCAAGGTTACGCTTTTATTATGGCATTCACACGACTTCACTCATCTTACAGTATCCCCATTTCCAGTTCCCACCCACTCCCATTTCTATGCATATCCCAAGATGGCTGCCACCGAACGACATAGCTCCTGTTTCCCATAAACTCCCATTCTATGCTACACAGTTTCGCATTTGCTTTAGGGGGGGCTCTCTCGCGATTCATGACGACCTAGGCTATACTGACTGTAGTGCAGCTTCTGTCTGGTCCAAAGCTCGGGCAAGCATCAAGTTCTCTGTCCTTGACCGTTTGGCCTTCGGGTATTAATTTCTGTTCCTCGGATCGGGATATCATGAAGATAGCACTTCTCAATCCATTCGTGGCTGCCTGATAGCACTGGGCAGGTCTGAGATTTTGGAAATTGAGATCATACAGCCTTCTTATACTGGTCATTCATCAGGAGCTAGATGTTTACATCTATGGACATGTGAGATCCTCTAACCCCTAAACCCTAAGCCATAAGGCATATTTGCTAGTAAGAATCGCTTTTCCGAGAAGATCTATGATCTCGTTTCTCTTGGGATCCAGGCCGTCGTAGGCCGTGGAAGCTAGAAGGAGTGCGCTATTCCCCGCGGAATCGAGATTGTTGACGTCAATTTGCGTGTGATCCAAGAGAATTTGTACTGCAACCGGTTCATCGTATATGACAGCCAAATGAAGTGCGGTGTATCCTCGGTTATCTTGAAAGTTGATATCGAGTCGCGGATCTTTCAGAAGGACCCTCAAGATCTCGTATTTTGATATTCGAGCGCTATCAGAATTGGAGCTTGGGCTTTCGGGCTCCGAGCATTGATATCAATATCATGTAGACGAAGTATCTTTCGGACGTTTGACGGTTTTCCTTGCATGACAGCAAAGGACAGGGCGGCTTGTGCCCATTGGTTGGGGTAAGAGACATCTAGAGACTTGTCGCATGGCAATGAACCAACTAGACCAGATGCTCCCTGGAGGGCTGATATCATCAGCCGGGTCAGCTGCATTTGGTCGTACTTCTACTTTTATGTGTGTTGGTGACTCACGAATGACAGGTGGGAGGTGCGCCATGTTTTCGAAAAGGATGAGATTATCTCGCTTTTTTGGTACCTCGATTTTCGCGGTGCGAGAAGAGGTGCTCGTTGCGCTATCATGCGATGATTGATTCATCACAAGGACATGCAGGGCAGTATATATAGCGAGACTTTGTTGCGAGCAGCTTTGATCTCGAGAATCTTTGATCTGCATTCACATATTTGTATACGTGAGCTCCCATGGTTGGGCTAATCCGATTGCTGGTTTATTCAGAGATCATCAAATAATATTATGGATCTCTGCTGTCCTCAGAAGTGATTTATTCCGCGGAGCAAGCGGTCTGTTCCTAGGAATCTAGCTGTCAAGGGCTAACGTATCTGTGGATGCGGATTTCATTTTCGGAGCGTTAACAACAAAGAGTAGGAAACCACAAGCTGATCTTAGACGCAAGGCTTAGCGCGAGCAAACAGAAGAAAATTAGCTTCCTCTTGTTCAGAGTAGCAGAGATGAGCTATCTGGGACCTTACCGTGCACGAATCGTGTATACTGCATGCCAGTCCCTGTCACATTTTTTAACATGATTCCCAGGAGCTCGATGTAAATATTGCCTTGTCTAAGCTCAAATCTGATGGTGAGGCAAATATTCTACGGGCAAAGAATGATTATTCGCCTCCTCCTAGGATACTTTAAAGCTCTCCTAGCGTTCAATGAAGCGTCGCTTTTTTTGATGATCTTTATCTCGCCATCGACGCCCTCTTCTTACCGTGACACATCTATTTTGTTTTCGTTTGTCATGACTTCCGAACTATCCCTCCAAACGCTACTGATCACAATGCTTCTATTTGCCTTGATTGCCTGGTCCCTTCTGTTGTGGGTGTTCGGAGATAATTGGCCACTTCATAAGATGGACTTGGCCCTATACGTCTTATCCTTTCTCCTGTCCGCTGTATTGGCAGGGCTTTTCTGGAGCGAGAAGAAATCGATATGGATTCAAATTCTTCATGGAATTCTTTCAACAATTCCTTTTATGCAAAATGTTTGTTCTAGCTTAATAAAAGCCAGTTCTATGCTAATGCTAATACTGGCCTAGTTTCTCCGCATCGGTTTTCAGCAGCTCAACAATTTATTCATAAATCGATCGACGAGTGTCTTATTCAGGATCTATGCTTTGACATCAACGGCATTGAAGGTAATAATTACATTCATTGGGACATTCATGCGCAATGACATTCATTCCATCACTCCCTTCTTAATTTTCTTGGATCATCTCAGTGAAATGGCATGGTGCCTATGGTTAGTAAAAGGTGCCACGCAGGGTCGGAAGAAGCTGCATGTTATTTTGACCCATTTATCAAACATGGGTCTTATCTTACTAGGAGCCGCTATCCTTGGCGCGGTTTCAGGGAACTGGGAGATTACGCTTGAGGTATTTGCCACCATCTAAGCTTAAATTAGGGAAGAGCTGACAAAGATTAGATCCAGCTCATAATCTGTACAATGCGGGCGATGTACAGCCAGTATATCACGTAAAGTGCAATGAATGGCTTTATGTAAATTAGCTGAACCAGATTAGGTCATTCTGGAATATCAGGAAATTCAAATTGCCAATGATGAATCAATGATATCATTGACTCCAATGAAAGGGATTTATAAGTGGAGAAGGGGGGTGAAATGGCTGTAAAGCTCGGTTGTGGCTTTTCATGTAGGTTTGGTCTACACCGCAAAACAATGATTGTACATTATTGTATATTAAGGGGCCCGGTGAAAGACAATCCGTGGAGAGCTGCGATCCTACAATGCCGGCCCGTTTAGCTACAGTTTCTGTCTTCGGTTGACACAGGGGATGTTTATAACTTCTGATCATTACAATGTCACGGTCGAGCACAGCAGTAATTCTATAGCTCCTGTGCTGAAGCTATCTGTCAATCCACAAATTCTCCAGAAGCGTAGGAAAAGAAGATTGGTACTGTACAGTAAGATCAAGCGGAAGAACAAGGATGCTGTACGAGATGAGGCTGTACAGATCAGGAAGCAAGCTGCAGCGTCGGAATTAGCTCCAAGATGTCTCTACAGACAATCAATTTGATTTACAATCAGCTTGGCTCCAAGTTGTATACAAAGCCTCATATTTCCCTTCAGAAGTAATAACACGATTTATACCTCTAAAACAGATATCTTTTTTATTGAGTCAAATTGCTTATCCGAGCAGTCTTCTCCACGTAGCAGAAAAAAGGTGTTAGTGCATTCGAGTCATTCACGAGACCGATTGGCCCATTATTTCTTGGCTTATGTCATTGGTATCCATAGAATCCAATGATAGCATTAGTATTGGCGACCACAGGCCCCGAAAGTCAGGGTGAAACATTATATAGCCATTTTTTCACTCAGACCTTATGCGTTTGTAGGCATTCATGGCTCTGGCGGGCTATCCGATTACGGTAGGTGGAATGGTAGGCTCAGGCTCCCAGGAGCTTATAACCAAATTTGGACCAAATCATTTATACGGAAAATCATTTATACGGAGCCTTTGTGGATAATTTGGATTAATCATAGCACCTATTGGCCCATTATTACTCTGCTCTACTAGTCGTATCCAATGATCGCATCAATATTTACGACCCAAAGACTCCTGGGAGCCAAGCCCAATCATTAATAAATAGTCAAAACGACTTGTAAGCTTCTGGGGCATTGATGGCACTAATTGGCCTATATTCCGAGTAGTACCTACCCGCATCCGCTTCGTTCCCAGGAGACTTGTGGGTAATTCCTTTGCAAACAAGCGGCTGACCGCGGAAATTTCGTCTTCAGAAATGCAATCGGACTAATAACTGGCTGACTGTTCAAGAAAGTCTGTTGTGAGATGAGGGTGTGCGAATCGGTTCCGCGCCTTACCATAGCTTGTATCTACTTCATATAATGTAGGTGTGATGAAATTTTTCCGATATGAGGAGTAGGCAACGAATAACCCTGTGGTCTGCCTGCCTTTGGTGATTTGCTGTTGCGTGGACTAACGGGCTCGTCGCCGGTGAGTGAAATGAATGACATGATCTTATTACCTTGCCCGTCGCAATAAAGGGCGGACTGCCGGTGGTGAATGTTGATAACTGTCATCAATTCTTTTCTACTGCATCCTCAAGACTGTTGACAAGATGCGAACAGCCGGGAAATGTTTCTCGTGTTTCAGATCATCAGGCGCAAAATGCAATGCCTCTGAGAGTTGCATTGAACCAGTGATGAAATGTTGAGCCAATTCCCATTGAAGAGTAGTTTGAGCTTGAGCCCTCACAATTCACAATGATTATCCCATTGACGCAGACTGAATGCCTAGCTGGGTTACTATAAATACCCGGTCCCTCACCAGTAGAACAGTCGTTCGCAAGCATTCATTTGTGATTCTGGGTGAAATAATATCGAACGTGATTCCTCTCCGCGGCTACTCTTGGTATGGATTGACCTTCAAATCATGCAATGAAATGAACTGACCTCTTATGTCGCAATAGGCTAACTATTCTCGATAATAAAGTTTTCCAACAGCAAGTGAGTGTAGCTGCCCAGTCATTTAGAATCATGCTAAAATGGAAAATGCTCGATATCAGCCCCGTCTCCGCTATTCCTCTGAGAAGTCATTGAACAAACCTCGAGGATCAGGATCTGGAAAGTTTCCAAGCTGCGAGCACGGTGAGTTACAAATTGCCTTCATAAGCTACCTGCTGATGTTTAACTATAGATAGATGACATCCTTTATACAGTCACTGCAGCGGACAACAATAACTGACAACGTAAGTACAAAATCTGCAGCAATTCCAAGCCAGATATCATGTGCTGACGACCCTCTATATAGGATGGCAAACTTTCTATCGCGAGTCGCTCAATGTCTTGTAAGTCACGCTAGTGCTTTGCCCCTGCCCATTCCTAAAGCCCGGTACTGCATTTCAATCTCCGTACGATTACTATCCGTTCGTGGCTCTCTGTTCCTCAGCAAAGACCCCTGATGATTAGTTTTCGTCATAGGGTGAGTTTCAATTTTACACTCGACCTGACAGAGCTATATCCCCCCCTCGTCTTCGAAATCAACCAAGCTTCAACAACCTGATGGGCCAAGCCACTGAATCTCACTGCGCTTGCGTCTTTGTTGTTTCTGAAGACGTGATTGACACGGCCACTTCGCCTGCCGCATTTAGCCGGCCCAATTCACAAAGGCTTGATGCCCTTCGGGTAGCCATATGGTAGAGTTCCAACATGCTCTCACCTCTTCCAGGTTCACCCTGTCCGACCAAAGGTAAACTGTCACTGGATTAGAAACCTTCCGTATTACGAAAAGGATGATCTAGTCCCGTGCTAGGCCGACTGGGTGATCGCAGCATTCGACGACAACAAAGAAAAGTGCTGCATCGACGACCACTGAGAGATACCATGACTTCTCCGAGAATAGCATTAATCAGTAATGAATCAAGCTTTTGGTCATAGTCTGAAGGATAGCTCTGTCAAGCCATGGCTGCAGCTGAGCGAGGTTAAGTCGGTCCCAGCGCCGATGTAGCTACGGCATGTACAGACATTCTTTGACCGTTACATGCCTCACATTCCCGACCATTGGAATGGAATCTCAATAAGCTTGAGAGCATTAATACATGGAGCGTATTTCCAATTGCTAGAATCAATCATGGTTCATCCTTCATCTAGCTAGATACAAAATGCTAGGTCAATTCACATATCCGGCAAAATCCGACAGTCGATTTATAGTGGCAGATCTAGTGAATGTCACATGGGACATTGCCGCCCCTGTGATCTCACTTTTGGAGAACTGCGGAAATGAGCAAAGTTTCTTAGAGGGTGAGATTATATTATTTGCCTTCTCTGCTTTCTTCGACCCCTTATCTGACATGCATATATCAAAGAGCGAGCAGCCAACAATCATAGTTATGTGTGGACAGCTACTCGGAAAAGTTACGCAGAACAAGGCTGCAAATTTCTGCTGCAGCCATTCACTGCCCAGGGTGAATCATATGGAAATAACATCAGCGGTCTTCTATTTGGAGTATCAAAGAGATACACAGATGACCCCTTGCCGGTCTCCTACAACTTCGTCCAAAGACCGTCGCCTACATATTCAAGTGCCTCCGTTGTGATGACCCAGTTCAATGTCACCGAGACTGACTCTGAAAGATCACGGACGCCAAAGGCTGCTGAAATTTCTCGGGACAAAATAAAAAAAATCGTAATTGGCCTTAGTGTTCCTTTAGGCTTTCTATTGATCTTTATTACGATATGGTCTTTTGTTTGCTATAAAAGAAATCCTCGTCAAAAAGGCACAAAGGGAGCCCCCTCTTCAAAAGACTCTTCAGGCGATGTCCTTCCTAGTCCTGACAGTGAATTGACTCATCAGATACCTGCCTCACAGAGGGACACGATGATATCGCCAGTCTCCATTGGACCTCCAACGGCACAAGAGAGACGGCTCAGTGAACTGATGTCTTCAGAGAGAGTGGAACTAAATGGCCGTACACTAGGATGATCAAATATGTACCCTCATGCCGACGGTTCTCGGCGAAGCACTTCAGATCATTGACCATCAAGGCCAGTGCTTCGTATATACTACTCATAACTTCGGCTGTATGGGGATTTCAGAGCCGTTCGCACCCCTTGACGGCGTCTTGTGTTCTAGTGAGCGATCCACTTATCCACCGAAAATAAAGAATCCTCTATCAGCTTCAATCTTTCTCACAGCTTCAAGGTCTGAAAAAAGAGAATAAGAGCACCCAGTTTGATTTTCCCTCAGTTGAAGCGATGCTATATGGCTCCAGCCAACATCCTGTGTGGGTCGAAGTGTATCGAAGTGGTCTGCTTTATTTTCACAATTACCAAGAAGACGAAGGGAACTGCAAGATCAATAGAGACCTAGTTAAAGGGAGCTTATGCACCGTCAGCAACAGTTTGCAGACCTCGTCGCCAGAGAATCGATCCTAGCCGACCTCTTCAATTGTCACCTTCAGCTCGGTATCGGTTATGGCAGCAGCATCGACTCCAGAAATTTCCTCGGACTCTGATAGCCCTTCGAACTCGATAATGCATTGTTGAATGTGAAATAACTCAGCTAGATTTGTTTTTTTTTTCTTCTGGACTATGCTGTTTCAATTGTCCGAAAATGTGAATCCATACACTCAGCATAGGATATTCATGCTGTCTCGTACCTCCATGTCCCGATTGTTCGGTCTCATCTGTAGCTAGTTGTCTTATGTTCCACAAACTCGAAATAAAATCCCATGGCTATTCCTGGAGCTTAAAAGGTGATCCCGCACAATTTAGGAAAACATGGACAATCCATCTAAGAGGTCCGGTCGGACCGGAAGGAAACTTCAGAGTATAATAATGGGGTATTTTGATATCTAGTTTAACTCCCCTGTCAGTCACTGAATTTGCTAGGCAATAGCTCAGCAATTATTTCGAATTGACAGGACTTTCCATTTTTCGCCTATTCATGAGTTGGCCACCCCTCCAATGTCAATTGACCGCGAAACTCCGGGCTGTAGACAGAACTCATATTGTCCAAGGTTGTCACATAGCGATTGCGACCGCCCATTTTGACATGAGTCATGTAATGGGCCTTCAGGTTGGCCGAGCGTTTGAAGCTGCGATGACATTCTGGCACCCAGCAGACGTGCGGCCTTTCATCTGAGTGGCATGTCAGGTGTCGCTCGAGGGCCTTTCGGCGCCTGAATTGGCGGTTACAGCCCGGGTATCTGCATTTAAACTGCCACTGGGGTATTGTGTGTAGCGATTTCTGGAAGCTCCAGTCTGGAGGCGCTTGAGGAGAGTCAAAAGGGGTGACTTTAGTGGGCCCGAAAGAACCTGGGCTCGTTACAGCCTCTCTATCGCTATCAAGCCACATAGAACAAGGTTGGCAGGTAAGGACCACTTTTGCCTCAGAGGTATGGGGCCTTTCAGATGAATCTAACCAGCTAGATGGATACGATCTCGGCATATTTCCCAGCCAGCAAATGACAGGGATCGATTCCCAATGATCGAAGCCGGAGCCGGGAAAGTATCCTGGTCGTCGAAAAATGCGACCGAGGTGACCATTCTGATGAATCTGCAGGATATTGTATCCTGGATGAAACAGCCCAAGCGCTTGTTGTGGAAGGGCCATGCTGATAGGATGTGCAATGAAGCAAGGGTCGGTAATCGAGGGCCATTTGGCTTTCGCTTCGTCCAGCATTGGTGCTTGACTCAAATGAGGTCGGCTCTGCGAATACTCCTCCGGACATGGCTGTCTCAAATAATGCGAATCCATTTGCAAGCGATTGTTCGGGAATTGCACGCAAGCAGTATCGCAGTGTGACTGTTGGCTGCCTTGTACCGAGTAGAAGAAAAGGTAGTACCACAAAGTGGATCGCATAATCCAAAACACCGGCAATGCGACACGGGAAGTTCGGACGGCGAAATACTGTGCGCGCGATAGACCGATTCCTCTGGTAACCTGGTACAAACAGCAAGCAATTATGAAAAAGAAACTAGCAATATATCACAATCAGTGGAAGTGAGGGATTTTTCCTCAATTTTCCTCGGAGTAATTTTGACAGAACCGAGTTGGTGCTTTTCACACGTATGACAATAGCTGAGTTCGAACGATATTTGATTTATCACCGTTTAAGCGGTTGAAATGACGGTGATGACTCCACAATGAGACACGCGATAGTCCATCTGGTCTGTATCATTCAAAAAGTTCTCTCTTCCACGATTTCTTTTTACTTCTTCTCAATGGTGATTGATTAGTTGTTGCTCTGCTCCGTTGACATTGAAGTGCTTGTTGACTATCTTTTGTTAATAACCAACTTACCTTCATGAACACCTTGAACCTTTAAATTACTGCGTGAAGAGAGCCGACTTTGTTAGCTCGGTCGGTTTTCGTGACTATATATTAGATTAACTAGATCGGCAGTCAAGAACACGACAAATTATTCTCAATTTGACCCTCCTTTATTTTGCTAAGAAAAATGGATGCTCCGACTTTCTGCTGCGATCCAGAAGGGGACGAAAACACTGAGTCTAATGCAATTCCTTCTCAAACTGAACGGTGCGATCCGGAAATGACAACTGAAAAAGCTCCCCCCGCCGGTAAGAATCAATTTGTCCTCAAGTTGCGTACACTTCTGATCATTCCAGCCGGACTCCCAGTCGCAAGCCGACGAAGAACAACATTCAGCAGCCGAACCATTTCAGCCGATACTACAGCTACTAGCAGATCTTGAACAGGATGATCCGAAACTTGCCTTTCAGGCAGCCCGGATCTTGGGGCTCTACCGACGGTTGTGGGAGTCGTGTATGTCGAAACGGGTTGGCAGTGAGAGGCTAGAGCAGACCAACCAGGAGTTGAGAAAGGAGAATAAACGATTGGAGAATGAAAAAGGGCTACTGCTGGCTCATCATGACGAGCAGTTATCTCAGTTTGATCATTTGAACCAAGCACTGGACTCGTCTAGGGAGCGACTGGTCAGCATTCTCAATGATTGGGAGCAGTGCTCCCAAAGCGAAGTGAGAGGGCTGATGAATTGCGAGAGAGAACATTGATTAGTTCTTTGCCAAATGATCTTCTATTTTTCTTGCGAGATAGACCCAGTGAGAGGAAAAGACTTGTGGTTGTCTTCCAACGATTGTGATATACCTTAGTAGGCTCCTTTATAACTGGGTCCATCCGACGTCACAACTTCAAAATATAAATTAGTCTAATTTGGAGAGAATCAAGAGGATCGTATGGATACTTGAGTCGATAAATGCTGCATAGATCGTATTCAACATATTTTGTGAGCTGTTAGATGGAGCCAGAGCTGGTTTTGTGTTACCGCTGGAAGACGTAGCTAGATTGAGAAGGGGAAGCATAGATCGATAGGAAGTCTTATCCTGGCTAGATATGGATGTCTAACAATTGGGATCAATGAAGCTCATACAAAACACCTCACGGGCGGTAATTGCTTGGGCCGTAGACCCTCGTCATGATTCACAGTAATTTCTGGCTGATCGTGCGTGGAATGACCGAATCAAGCCGTCCACCATCAACTGTAGGCATGTCTAAAATGACATGAGGTACATCGTTCTATGCATCAGGGTCTCTCGATGTGATAGTAAGGTAGATCAATGATTTGCAAGGCCGATATGACACTGCCATAAAATGCGTTCAATGCCCGTTTCCGATTCTCCAACTCCAGCGCCTGCCGGTTGCAGCGCTGAAGGAAAATATCATTCTCGTCTTCCAGCAATTCGTTTAAATCTCATATTTGGCGTCGCTCATCTTCAAGCCGGATATATTCCGCAGATTTCAGAACATAACTTTCCCATAGACACAGATACAAGTCTAGGTGTCTCAGAGCAGGTATTGCGAGATCGGCATTACAGCCTAGGATTTGCTTGAGTTGCGTCGTGGGGAGGTTGTTCGCGGCGGTAGAGATCTGTAGCACGCTGTTGAGTTTTGTTTGCGGGATGTTCGGAGGATACTTACCTTTGGTCTTACGGCGGTAGAGCAGGAGGCTTTCCTTTGCGTCCGAGTTATTTCCAGCGTCCTCGGAGTGTCGTTTAGCCGGTCTGTCGGCTGGCGAAGGGACGCAGCGGGTGGGCTCATTGGTGAAGAGTGGGAGAGGAGTGAGCGTGCACTACATAGCGGATTCCTCCTAGGCCTTAAATACGAGACATTCCTTTGGATATGGGAAATTTTCCCTCGAATCAGTCCGGGCGTGCTTCAAATTGGCCGAGTTGAGAGACAGTTCACGCACGCTCTAGCCGTTGATGCACGATGTTGAGAAACCTGAAAATTCAGTTTCTAGAGGCAATTTGGTTGTCACCATGTATCATGAGAGTGATGACAAAGTTTATTTTTCACGGTTTCCCATTCCAGTGCACGCCGTGCATCTTGGCTTATAGCTAGTCGACCACTTTTCTGCGGCCCACGGCAGATATCTCAAGCAGTACCATCTTAACGTCTTCTCTGTGGTCTATGTTGGCGACCCGCGTCCACTAAGCCGAGGGCCAATCAATGTGCCTTCAGTCCGTGAAGCTGCGATCCGTCCGCGGCAAGTTCAGCGACCATCGATCTCGTTCTGGATGGCCATTCGGATGTTCTCATGCGTTGCGATGACTCGTGCCTCTCGCAAGCTATATGCATCCACCCTCTGATCCGCTACCAACGCGTCAACGATGAGAGCATGTGCCCTGTTGTGATATGAGGCTGGTGCAGATCAGGAACCAAGCCGAACCATCGGAATTAATCCCGAGGTATCTATACGAAGAACCAAGTTGATTGGAAATCAACTTGTTCTTCTCGTTGTATATATACAGCTTAATGTTTCCCTCTGAACAATAACTCAATTCATACCTCTGAACTACAACATAAACGTCTATTGCTAGTCCCCGCCATACGCTTTGACTGCCGTGATAATCAACAATAATCAACAGCGGATACGAATATATTGGTTATTCGTGCCGACCCCTTAGTAGCGATATCACTCTTTATAAAATTTCCTGTGTTTTCATTATAATTTTAAAATTTTCTCACTCAGCCTATTTAACCTTTCGGTCACCTCCCAAATCGTGTCACGTGGTTTGATTTATGGTGACGTCTAGACCTCGCCAAGCGCGGGTTTGGGTTGGGTTTTCATTTTCTTTACCCACCCACGGGCAACCCACCGCGGGTCTTGACCTTGGTGAACCTGTTGAAATATCCCGGTTGCTGAGATAATGAGGCTGGGATCACGTGCATACGTGTATCTCCGTCTCTTGGTCTACTTGTATCTTAGACAACACATCTAACACAACACACAATCAACTCCCCTCAATAATATGACCATTGAAGCATCACTTAATAAAACAACAGAACCCGCCCGTGGGTTCTTGGCGGGTACCCGCGGGTTGCCCAAAATACCCAAAAATATGCATAAATCGTGGATAAACCTGATTAGTCACCTATCGTAACTTTGGTAATTTATTTCTGTCACGCTTTTAGGTGTGTGTTACATCGAAACAATGCATGCGGTTCGTTTGGATATATATATCTCCTGCACAAGGACCACCTCCTCCATCACAACACTTCTACACCTCAAGGAATCAAGGGCCACACGGATGAATACACGAGAATTCAATGAGTTCTGGCTTTGTGAGCTAACTCTGGATGATTATTTAGAAATTAAGAAATTAAATTGGCGACACGCGCTTTCTCAGCGCCCATACAAAGTCATGTCCGTTTTGGGCTGGGCTGGGTTGGGTTGGGTTTTGGGTACCCGCAAGTTTACATACGCGTCGCAAAAGTAGATAGATCCAAACGCACGACGCGACCCCAACAAAGTCCAATTTCCAAATTTTCACAATGGAAAAAATCCATACCCACGCCTGATGGCACGCCTCCTGAGTATGGCTTCTTCTTCCTCGTCGTCGCGATCATTACATCAGGCTTTCAGTCCTCTGCTCTCCATTGAGCCGTCATCTGATGCATTCTTGGACTCTGACATTCAGTCCTCTGTGAGAGAATATCCTGCCCCTGAATATTGTGAGACCACCAACAGGTATGCTAAGACAGCCTATAGCCTTTCCCTAGACCTCGTAATAGCTACGATATAATCACTCGAAGACCCCCGGGAACGCTAAGGCGTGTGGGGCCTCAACGAATCAAGAATTGGATCTTGTACGAACCGAGCCTAGAGAGAGAGTTCCTAGGATGGTGGGAAACAACGGAGTACGGTCAAAAGCTGAACGGAGATGGTCAATCTCAGATAAAATGGTCCACCGAATCGCGTCATGCCAACGTTTGGAAGCACTTTGACCAAGTAGCTGATATCGATACTGGGCGTCCACGAGTCTTCTGTCAAGCCTGTCTTACTTTACTTGACCATCCACAGCACAGAAAAAATGGTACAAGCGCCATGGGCAGACACCAGAAATCCAATACTTGTCGCCGCGGGAAAAAGAGAAGATCCCGTCAAACTTTACTCTCTGATTCGTTGCAAAATCATTCCACTAGTGCTTCACTTAGCGCAGAAAGAGTCACAACATCTGAACTTGAGGAGCAGTTGCTGAAAACTATTACTTGCCTCCGGCTGCCATTTCAGACTGTGGAGAATCCCGTGTTCCAAAGACTGTTGAACCTCTTACACTCTGGTCCCGGGGAACTGGAAATCCCGTCGGCAAAGACCCTACGACGGCGACTTCGAGAGGTAGTTGCGGTTCAGCAGGAGTCACAGTTACAAGATCTGCCTGAAAATGCTAAGGTATCACTTGCCCTAGATTGCTGGACCAGCCCATTCCAGCAGGCCTTCATGGCAATCACAGTATACTTCATTGACAAGGACTGGAACTATCGAGAAATGCTTCTTGGGTTTGAACCGCTACATGGACCTCACACTGGGAGTAACCTCAGTGATGTTTTGCACCAACTACTGAAGGACCGGAAACTCCTGGATCGTATCTTTAGCGTCACTACAGATAATGCGGCCAATAACGAAACTCTCATACGAGCCTTGCAAGAGAGACTGATCTCCACCGGTGCAATTGGTTCCAGAGAATCAATAGTTCGAGTTCCTTGTATGGCTCATGTGATTCAGCTTTGCCTGAAACAACTTTTGGGGCATATCAAAGCAGCACCCCGGAACAAAGAGATAAAAACGTTTTGGTCTGACACCCAAGCGAATAGGTTGAAAGATTCGGTCAACCATAGAGACGTGGCTCACACTCTAACTAAAGTAAGCCCGGATTCTCTCTGATTGACTACCAATGTGTATGAAGCACTAATAAAAGTAGATTCGATCATTTGCTGTTTTTGTCAACGCGAGTCCACAACGGCGAGATGCCTTTCTGTGCCTCCAATCAGGTGGTACCCGGCTATTCCCGTTGCATGATGTTCAAACACGCTGGAAATCGACGTTTCTGATGCTTCGCCGTGCGCGCCGGCTCAGAAATGTCATCAACAAATACTGCTGTGATCATGAATACTCGCAGTTCAAGGTTACTGATGTCGAATGGAGGCAAATCGACTACCTGGTTCATTTGACCAAACCGTTCTTTCGGTTCACTATGGCTTTGATGAAGACCAGAGATGTTACAATCCATAGTGTGTTCCTCGTATACAGGAAGCTTCTGGAGCATATTGAAAGGTCGAATCGAAAATTAAAAAGAAAGTTAACACCTTGGAAGAAGGACATGTATGGCGCTTTGCTCGTTGCATGGCAGAAGCTGAAAGAGTACTATGAAAAGACCTACCGCGATCACGGTTTTCTCTATGGCACCGGAGCATTACTCGCTCCACAATATAAACTGAGTGCTTTCGATGATAGAGAGTACTCTACTTGCCATGAAGATACGTCAAAAAGATACTGTGAATACTTGCGAGCATGTTTCACACAGTATCAGCAGCAGAGCCCTGAGCTGTTATTCCGCACGGTGCAGCGCTCTTCCACTTTACATAGCTCGGAGCTTGATCGGCTACTTGAACCCCTGGATGCATCAATGCTCGATGAAGGAACAGAGTATGATGAAGTGGACTAGTATCTTAAAGAGGGTACGAGCGACTGGCACACTGCGCTAGAACGACTGACTGACTTCTAATAGCGAATGTTCCTGTATCCCCGCGAATTTACTGGAAGGAGCACGAGAGCGAGTTCCCTATTCTTTCTCGACTTGCACGAGACTTGCTTTCGGTGCCAGCCACCGGCGCAGGTGTGGAGAGGCTTTTCAACAGTGCTCGAGACATTTGTCACTATCGTCGAGGTTCTCTTAACGAAGCAACTATTCAAGAATTGATGATGTATATGTGCTCAGAAAAGCTCACACTGGACGGACAGCAACTGACCCGCCTGGAGAAACCAATGGAGAGCGAAAAGCAAGAGGCAGTTGAAGAGGATGAAGCGCTGAAGGCAATTGAAGAGGATGCTGAGCCGATCAGCGACAAGGAAGAAATTGAAGAGAGCGAAGATTTTGAGGGTAGCTTTGAGCTCGAAGAGCCATACCAGGCGGAGTGTACGCTGGCAGAGACTGACCGAAGCTCCATGCACAGCCAGAGTTACGATGTGGAACAAGAGGAAGAAGATAGCGTGGAGGAAGAGGGGGTCGAATACGACGAAGCAGATCTACTTCCACCACCAATAACGCAGCTGGGTGATCGAAGCCAGAAGAGATCTTCAGGACGGGTAACAATGCCCTCGAGCCGACTGCGAGGTTATGAGGTATACTAGTCTTTATACTTAGCCAATCTTATTTTTCTTCTTCGATCATAAATGTTCCAAAAATTCTCATCTGTAGACCAGGAGAACACAGACGATACAATGAGATAATCAAAAATTACTGCATAATTTAATGTAAATTGACAAGTCAACTATTTTTGCTTTTTTGGGTTATCACGGGTACCCATTTGGGTCTTGGGTTGGGTTTTCTACATGACAACCCGCCCACGGGTTTGCTGACTAAGACCCAACCCGACCCGTGGGCCGGGTTTTCGCGGGCGGGCTTGGGCGGTGGGCGGGTTTTGGCGAGGCCTATTTGGTGTGTTGGTTTATTAAGTGATGCTTCAATGTTCATAATATTGAGGGGAGTTGATTGTATGCTGTGATATGTGTATTGTCTAAGATACAAGTAGACCAAGAGACAGAGATACACGTATGCACGTGATCCCAGCCTCATTATCTCAGCAACCGGGATATTTCAACACTCCCACTCGCTAATCACCCTCGTCAGAAGGGTATTGGCGATATCTCATCACGGTTGCCAAGCCCCATTAAAACCTCCCAAAAACCAATGGTGGAAAGGAAGGAAAGGGTGCTTGTATGCCCGTTTCTTTGTTTTCCAGATTCTGGAAGGCTCTTGTCTGACCGAGCTATTACTCAATGCCGAGGCCTTTCCGAAACCATTCAAATCTATCTCGCGCAAGGGGCTTTGTGAAGCCATCCGCTATCTGTTCTGACGTTGGTATATATTTGAGTTCCACTGTCCTGGCGTCTTGAACTTCTCCTTGCCACTTTCGCTGGATGTCCATATGCTTTGTACGCGAATGAAATTGAGGGTTCGAGGCCAGCGCGATGGCCCCCTGGTTGTCGCCGCAGATGATTGTTGCGCGTTGTCCTTGGCCCATGTTTAGCTCATGAAGAAGTCTTCTCAACCAGATAGCTTCCTTGGTTGCCTGTGTCTGGCCTATGAATTCGGCCTCGCAAGTTGACAGGGCAACAACACTCTGGCGCTTTGATTGCCAGCTGATTGCTCCACTCCCAATGTTGAAAAGATATCCTGCTGTCGAGCGCCTTGTCTGGCGACAGCCGGCCCAATCTGCATCCGTGAAGCCACGGAGCATCTGGAGCTGGCCTTTATATGCGAGGCTGAGAGATTTGGTGCCTTTCAGGTATCGAAGGATTCGGCGCGCGAGCTTCATGTGTTGTGGGCCAGGATTCGTTAAGTGCCTGCTTGCCGCTGAGACAGCGTATGCGATATCACCTCTGGTTCCAAGCATGACATACATCAGCGATCCGATCAAGCGCTGGTATTCGTTCTTAATATTCGACGGGCAGATGTATTCAGGATCGTTCTCTGGCAGGGGTGAAGTGTCGATCGGCGTGCTGATAGGGGCACAGTCCAGCATCTCGAATTGCTGAAGGACTTTGCGCACGTAAGCCTCTTGGCTGAGATAGAGAATTCTGTTCTGCCGATCTCGTCGGATGGTCATGCCGAGATAGTAGCTGCACGGGCCAAGGTCTGTCATATGAAAACGATTTCTGAGGCTTCGTTTGATCTTTTTTATCTCTGCAATGCTGGGTCCGATGATCAAGAGGTCATCGACGTACACTGCAATGTACATGCCACTCCGAACAAAGATACTGAGATCGGCGTTGATGGGCTCAAAGCCAAGATCCCGAAGGAAATTGGTCAGCGTCTGATACCAGATACGAGGTGCTTGCTTCAGGCCGTAGAGTGCCTTGCGAAGCTTGCAGACCCTCGATGTGCCGTCTGTGATGTGATGAGGTTGTTCAACATAGATCTCATGGTCTATCTCGCCGTATAGGAACGCTGTTTTGACGTCCATTTGTTCGATCTCGAGATCCAGAGCAGCGGCAATTGCGAACAGGGCTTTGTAGCTCATTGGTTTGACTACGGAAGCAAATGTCTGATCATAATCGACACCTTCTTCCTGGGTGAAACCTCTAACTACCCATCTGCATTTGTGGCGGACGATTTCTCCGCTGGATCCTCGTTTGAGTTTGAAGATCCATTTTCCGCTCAGGACTCGGCGATCCTTGGGAGGATCGACCGCTTCCCAGGTTTTGTTTTGTTTGAGTGATTGTATCTCTTCGATCATTCCTTTTTCCCACTCGAGCCAGCGTGGATCATTTTTGGCCTCTCGAAGGGACTTTGGTTCGAAGGGTTCTATCTCTTCCGCCGCTATAGTCAAAAAGGTTGGAATAACGTTCTTGTCGGGGATATTCATCAATGCGAGTTCTTCTTGGTCATAACCGGATGTGTCTTGAAAATTTTGTGTGTCACGGAGCTTGAGTTCAGGGTGGCGTTCCAGTGAGTCTTTTTGCACTATGTGTTTTGCACCACCCTCCTGAAGCTCGGAATAATCTAGCCAATCTGGGATTCGCCCTTGCTGTGCATCGCCTTGTTGCTGGTCGCTACCCGGTGGTGATTCAATCCTGAGGACGGAATCCTGTGAAGCAGGTGATAAGGGTCCAAAGGTATCTTCACTCCGTGGAGGCGAAAAGGTGATGGCTCCTCGGCCAGCAACGGCGGGCTGCGAGTTATCATTACTACTCGACTGAGGCAGATGCACTTGCACTATGTCGTCCCATGATCCAGGCTGTGTCTGTTCTTGTGGTGCCAGGGATATTTGACGTCCCGAGGCTGGCACGGATGCATGTCGCATACTGGCCGACGGGTGATTTATTTGCCCCACCGTCTCACTCCCCCCTGCGGCAGCAGCCGTTGCCACAGGAAAGCTCTGCTGTTTGGCTCCCACGTCTTGTATGGTCTGCGTGGAGGGAGTTTCAAGGACTTCATAAAATTCTGCGTTTGGCGTACCAATGATTCTGCCGTCTTCTAGTAGGATGCGATAGTTCATATTGCCTTCGTATCCCAATAGTAGACATGGCCTTGTTCTTGGTCCCGTCAGCTTCTTTCTTTGTTTAGGGGGAATTAGATACTGTCCCTTGGATCCTATAACTCTCAGCCGTGATAGGTCAGGTTTGTCACCATACCAGGCATGGTACGGAGTCATATTGCGTTTAGATGATGGTGATCGATTGGAGAGGTATGCCGCCGTTCGCGCAATCTCTGGCCAGAATTTTGTTGGCAACTTTGCATGCGCGAGCGTTGGTCCAACTCGATCGTAAATTGTCTTGTGGGTTCTTTCTGCTACCCCATTTTGCTGGTGCTGGTCGACACCCGTGACCTCGGCTCGTATTGCCCTTGAGAAGAGAGTAAATTTCATATCTTCTCCCACTTGCTCCGGAATCCGGTCAAGGCGGATTCGCCTGCATTTGCGTTCAGGGCGCTCATTGTGGTCGAGAAAATGCCGCAAGGACTCAATGACGTATCCTTGTCGTCGTGGTATAGGGACAATCTCAATCCATCCAGTAAAGTCATCAACAATGGTGAGCCAGTAACGGCTGCCGTCGAGGCCCTCCTCAAACGGTCCTGCAACATCGATATGCAGGAGCTCCATGGCGTATTTGGCTCTTTTGCACACTTCTGAACGGCGATGTGGGACTTCGACCATTCTTCCCTGAAGACAAGGGTTGCAAGGTTCGCGTGGCGCATTGTCTTTAATGCCGTGGGCTTGCTTTTTCAATCGTTGTATGTTCGCACCGCCTAGGTGAGCGAGCCTATGGTGCCAGAGTGCCGACTGCGGGCTGATATGATAGGCCGGAAAAACAAGTTTTGCCCATAAATCAAGTGCATAGACTCCATGGTATTCGCTTGCAGTGAACAGATTTCTCCCATCTGATTTGTTCCGAATGATGGCGCCTTTGCTCGAGAAATCAATCTTTGCCCCCCCGATTGAGAAGCTGCAACACGGATATGAGATTCGCATGTGCAGTCGGGACGAACAGAACGTCATTTAGGACAAGCCATTTCTTCCTCCCTCGGACATTGCATAGGACATTTGCTATTCCTATGCCAGAAGGAGCCGTCGAGGTATCGACACTGCGTAACGGTGGACCATCATATTTGTCCATCTTGACGAATCTTGTGGCATTGTTGCAAACGTGCTGAGCACATCCGCTGTCCACAATCCAGGCGTCGTTGATCGAGGCGGACTTTGTGGCCATCATACTGGGAAAGAAGTCAAATGTGGCAATGTTTCCTTCAATTTCGGCGCTGAAAGCCGCGTTGATATCTTGTTTTGAGGCCTGTGTCGCCACAAACGTCGGTCTTTTGGGGTCTCTCGGTCCTTCTGAATCGTCGTCTTCATGATCCGTACTAGGTCGCCGCTTTGATGAATTGCGAACACCGGTGTGCGCTTCTTTGGGTCTTGGCCTGCGCGTCATTCTCTCCTTTTCTTGATCCTTCAGGCTACGATCCTTTTTGAAGCAGTGTGACTCTCTATGATAGGGTTTTCGGCAGAAGGCACAGAAAGGAACGTTGTTCATCTCGACTCGGCATGTTTTCCCATCTGGAGACGGTATGACTTTCCTGTCTCGAGGCTTATGGCTCAGTGTGAAGGCAGGAAGCGCATTCGTATCTGTGGGCTGGTCGCCCAGCTGATCCTTCCTATGCTCCTCCTCAATGGCCTTATTTTCGATGTAGTCAAATGTAGGAGCTGCTTTGGTGATATTTCCGTCCTCGTCTCTGTCATTGACTATGTCCATTTGTCTGAAGATATGGTCGCGAAAGCTCTCATATTCCGGGCCTAATGCATGGAGGAAAAAGAAGGTTCGTTCGATCTCAGAGGTGACACATGCGGGGTCGAGTAAGAGTTTCTCGGCATGGATCTTCCTGATCTCGGCCCCGAGGGCTTGTGCACTCCCACATCTTGCCCGGGTAAGTGACATGTACCTCCTCTGAAGATTCACATATGTTCCTGAACCTTCTGGCTTGAAGTTTTCTTTTACCGCTTTAATCAGTGAATGGACTCGGGTGATATCGAAAGCGTTTATTCGCTGAGCCGCATTGTGGGTCAGCTTTGCTGCGATCATTGCCGAGTAGAATGTCTGGCGGTGAGACCATTGCTGCGCTTCCTCCTCTTCCAGAGGTGGGATGGACTCATCCTTGGACACAGGAGATATTCGGAGAAACTCCTTGACTTTCTGGTTCCACTGCGACCAGTCGTTGGCATTATCGAGAGTTGGTATGGCGTGATAGAATGAGCTCAAGCCTAGCTGTTCAAACTTGTTCGAATCCATCGTGATGGTGTTCAGGGCTCTTCGGTGCTAAAGAATTCAGCGCTCGACGAGCCACTTGAGCAAACTGAGAGAACAGAAGGCGTATGGTTTGATGGCTCGGGAGACCGTGCCTCAAGACCAAACAGCTCCAAGCTTGATATCTCGCTGGGAGGACTGGAGCTGATGGAAAGAGAGCACTCCGACGAGCTTGGAGTAGGTGTATGTGATGGAGGGATGTATTCACTGTCTGGTAGCTCGTTTGGCTTTAGAGAACTGCGATATGATTCAAAGAAATGAGGGAAACGGTCACGGTCCACTATATAACGTGGCTTTCGTTCTGCAAAGATTGAGGGTCTGTTTGGCCGGAGGTTGTAGCGATTTGGGTTGTCACCATTCGTGCCCAATGGTGTATCTCCAATCTCGTTGTTTGCTGAGCTGTAATAGCTATGCCTTGGTACTGTATTGGAGAATGCTGGCTGAAATTGACTTGAAACGTAGCTTTCTGTGATATGTCGGGGCCTTATATTGACAGGTACGGCAGCTAGTGCCCGGTGTGTGCGCTCTTCTGGAGGTAGTCTCCTATAGGCCCGGCCGACTGAGTGTTGGGAAAGTAATGGAAACTTCGCCTTTTGGATCTGTGTGAAGCGCCAATGACGGATGCATCGAAGATAGCACACCAAGTTGAGCTCTTCGTCAGACCAGTTATGCCCTTTGTACGACCCTTGTCTTCTTGCCATAAATCTGAAGAAAAGGCGGATCGACCTTGTTCGAGAGCATCAGGGTATTGAGGGGTAAATGGAATCCCATCCTGCCACAGATGGTAGATTATTTCCTCTTGGCTGGGCAATGTGATACGTCTGTAGCGGTGTGGCACGTCTGCAGCCGTCATCTGTTGTAAAGCAAACCCGTAGACTATGATTGGCCTGAGGAATATTCGTAGCGGTGTGACGATTGATCCAAATCTTGAGATGATTTCGCACAATCAATTTTCTCCTGGTCGTGAGAAAATGTCTTCTTGTTGATGTACTAAATGAGTAGTTCCAGTTTGGTCAACAGATGAAGCTATCACTTAACGGGGAAAAACTTAGGAGCAGGGAGTAGAGTCTCCAATTTGAGGTGAGCGGTGCCGGGCTCATAACCTGTTGGTTTATTAAGTGATGCTTCAATGTTCATAATATTGAGGGGAGTTGATTGTATGCTGTGATATGTGTATTGTCTAAGATACAAGTAGACCAAGAGACAGAGATACACGTATGCACGTGATCCCAGCCTCATTATCTCAGTAACCGGGATATTTCAACATCGTGCTACTGTCTATTCTTTTCCTTAATGAACCCAGCCATCAACAAGTGCTTCTTTATCCAATACCCTTCCAATACCATTATTGTCAGATAACATGGTCAGCCTATTATATACTGTTCTCATGGCCTGCGCGGGAGCCTTAGTGGCTTCAGCAAATCCTATTCAGCATCGCGATATGGTTTGCCCGGCTGGCCTTTACAGTAATGCGCAATGCTGTACCACCAATGTCCTGGGAGTCGTTGGTCTCGATTGTAATACCCCTTCTGCAGCTGACAACTTGAATGATTTCAAGAAGTCTTGCACATCTGCCGGAAAACAAGCTAAGTGTTGTTTCCTTCCTGTTGTAAGTCAGACAGGTGCAAGAATTTTATGTCGCCAAGGTCTTGCTAACCAAGTCCTCTTATAGGCTGGACAAGATACCCTATGTCAATCCCTTGATTAGATCCCAGTGGGCCTCAATACGGCCCTCTTCGAACCGCCCCGACCCGCACCAAGAACAGCAAAGGACGGGTATTGGGTACTGATTTTAGACCCGCGAGTCAGTTCCTAGAGGGTGCCCGCAGTTCTACAAGCAAGACATACACCAAGAGATGTGTGACTTGGATATTTCATGTATTTTGGGCTGTGCTTTTCTTGTTTCATCTTTTTACATGGGATTTGAATAAAAATGTCTTATATGAATACTAGTAGGTATCGAGAAGAGTTATTTGTGACTTCGTATGTTTTTTGATCTATAGTCTAGAGTATGCTGTCAGGGGGAGGAATTGGTGTACTGGCCAGTACTGAACATGTCCAATAGAATCAGATGATTGATTGATCCTCGGTCTTGAGATCGGTTGAGCGATCTAGGGGTCTATATCTAGATATGGCGTCTTATGACACCATAATTCCGAACCCCATACCAGGGTGCATTGGGTGAGCGATGAATAAGCCTATCCTAAAGGGCCCTAGTGGTATTTGACCACCCCTCCAGTTCGTCACCTTTTTTAATCTCAATCCTCGCAATAAACCTCCCTCTCCGATTATGGATATTTTATTCGAAACTGGGCATCTCTCTTGTAGAAATGTGATGCCAAGTTTGATTGTAAGGTAATTGTGTCTGCTGCATGTATTATGGAAAGCTTGGTGTGATTCAGATTGCTCGCCCTCTTAGCACTGGAAGGGTCCTACTTTCCGTAATGCCCGGCGGCATCAAATCAAAAAACGGCGCTTTTGAATCTGTCAATCTATTGATCATATAGCCATCCACATGTATCCACATGTATAGGGCCGTGTAAATCCCGCTGAGTACTTCGGAAGTCGGCATGGCTATCCCTCCTTTCTCGGCCCACCCCCCTCCGTCTGTCCCGGCCCGCCTCCCCAAAATAATGTTATTATTGAAAGATATGGCCCTCAAAGTCTAGGTCTCAGCCATGCTTGTACTCCTTTCGCCTTCTATACTAGGTATTGCAAAGGGCCAGGTCGTTCCGCTAGCTCCTGCACAATCAAATTACAGCTTGAGCCGCTAAGTATATGACTCGGATTATGGTGGAAATAGACAATTTTTGAGTCGCGAGAATGGCCCGGATGGTGACGCAGAAATGAAATATTAACGTAATTCCCGGCCGATTGGAACACCCGGCCGTGCGGAACACCCCATCCAAAATCGCGTATTCCAACCTTCCTACCTACTTCAACCACCCACCATGCCACCAATTCGCTCTGAATCTTATCAGAAATCTGCCAATCAAGAGGGCAAGATCTTATTAGCCCTTAATGATATCAAAAATGGCCGCGTCAAATCTCTCCGCGCGGCAGCGAAGCTATACGAGATACCGCTTACCACCTTGCACGCGCGGACTGAAGGCCGAATTTCACGCGTTGATAAGCGCCCATCTGGTCATAAATTGACCCAATTTGAAGAGGATTCGCTTACTGAGTGTATTATCCCTATGGATTCACGTGGAGCAGCGCCTAGACCCGCTACTGTAAGAGAAATGGCCAATATCCTTCTTGCGGCACGGGGAACCAATCCTCCAGCTACTGTTGGCAAGAATTGGCCATCAACCTTTATTAATCGACGTGAAGAGATTCGCTCACGTTTCTCAAGACGTTACGGCTACCAACGCGCACTAAATGAAGATCCAAAATCACTACGAGCGTGGTTTGCCACCGTACAACGTGTGATTGAGGAGAATGGTATCCAACCTGAGGATATCTACAACTTTGATGAGACTGGATTCGCGATGGGCCTTATATCAGCGCAAAAGGTGGTTACGCGAGCTGAATAATATGGCCGGCGATCTGTCTTACAGCCAGGAAATCGTGAATGGGTTACTGCTATTGAAGCAATCTGTGCAGATGGCTATTCATTACCACCATGTGTGATCTTTAAGGGCCAAGTTGCTATTGCAGGTTGGTTTGATAACCTACCAAAAGATTGGCGATTTGAGGTCTCAAAAAATGGCTGGACTACTGATGATATTGGTCTACGTTGGCTACAAAACCTATTTATCCCATCAACAAATTCACGTATACGTGGTCGATTTCGGCTATTAATTCTTGATGGCCACGGTAGCCATCTTACACCCCAATTCGACCGAATCTGTGCAGAAAACGATATTATACCACTTTGTATGCCTGCACATTCTTCACATCTACTACAGCCACTTGATGTTGGGTGTTTTGCTGTGCTAAAGCGCGCGTACGGTCGCTTTATAAGTGATCTTCCACGTGTTGGATATAACCATATTGCCAAATTTGATTTCTTGGATAATTACCAACATGCGCGACTAGAAGCCTTTCAACTAAATACTATCCAAAATAGCTTTATGGCTACTGGTCTAGTGCCAATCAATGCAGAGAGAGTGCTTGCAAAGCTTAATATCTCTCTACGAACACCAACACCACCAGGAAGCCGACCAAGCAGCAGATCTAGCCAATTTACACCAAAGACACCCAGAACTGTTATCCAGCTCCAAAAGCAAGCTTCAATGCTTAAGGAACTACTAAAATAACGATCTAATAGCCCTCCAAGCCCATAAAAAACTATGCTAGATCAGATTATCAAGGGCCACTGTATATCACTACACAATACTGCACTACATGTGCAAGAAAACGCTAAACTACGCCTAGCGAATGAGAAGAAACGCCAGAAACGCAATCGATCGACTAGGCAGATACCCTGTGATAGTGGTCTAACAGTTGAAGAGGGTCTACAGCTAGTTCAGCCGCTAGACCAGCCAGTTGAAGTTTCAGCGGTAGTATCGCATACGCAAGGCGAATTACCTATTCAGCCAGATCGGACGGCTACCAGGGCACCACCGAGATGTAGTGGGTGCAGGGAGATTGGCCACAGGATCAATACATGCAAAAATCGCTATATTTAGGTGAATTAATGGGTGCTGATTGAGATAATCGATCTTGAAATTTCGTAATGCAGATATGTGTTCCGCACGGCTGGGTGTTCCGATCGGCCGGGAATTACGTTAGTGGTATTCTACCACTTCTTTAGTTCGTCAGATACATGAAAATGAACTAGATTTCTCCCCGATTTCGCGTGTGTTCAAAAATAGGCTTTCACCGCTTCTGACAGTGAGTGACGAGACTTCACTTCATGTTCTGTGCCTCACGAATACTGTAATGATCCGCAGACTTATATTACTTGACCCGTCAAGTCAGGGCTTCAGCTTGTTGGGCAATGCAAGTAAGACGCTCTAGGATTTCCACTTGGTGTTCTCCAAACTATATATCTCTCAACAGCATCACCTTCCGCATCGTCTCACCTTTCATAGAATGTCGACGTACCCCTAACAAATCCCTACCACGGCTAAGCAACTTCTCTACTGCGACTTCAGCGGCTGGGATGGCAAGATAATCCTGGCTGCGGCTGTCATCCGCAGGTACTCATCCTTGTGCATCCTCCACCAGGCAAATAACGGATCTTCATCTTTTCATCAACTGTCACCACACTTTCCTCGAAGTAGCGGTCAATATCTGAAGGTTGGATCACTTGTGGCTGCAGTTTTTGCAGGACGCGCGCCGCCAGGCCTTGCCGCTTGTTGTCCTAATTAAGTTTTGACATTGATTGCTCCAGTGACGGTTTTGATGGATATTGCTCATGCAAGGTATCCTTAATAGATCGAATCACTTTTGGTGCTGTCACTAGCCCGAGCTCTTTATCCAACAAGAGTGTCTTGAAGCGTGGATCAAGGACAAGAGCTACATAATAAGCATCCTGGGCGTCCATCAGATTATAATATTATTTGTATTCCTTCATCCCCGCGGAGACGGCAGACGTAATGACAGAGCTAAGCCCCGAAAAGCCGCCTTGTGCAGAAGCTGCATCTTCAAGCATATCGTTCAGTTCGGAATAGATGTGAATAGCTAGGCTGATCTGGGTTTGTCGCCGGGAAACCAGTTGAGTGAACTCATCGAACTTGGAGAGGGTCATTTCCAGCTGTTGTAGCTGCAACCAGTCGTCAGCCGAAAAGGAAGGGAACTGGGTCTGATGCTCTATCCACTTCCGGATCTGTGTTTTGGCTTGCAAGGCTCCCTTGATCATCCGGTATGTGGAGTTCCAGCGGGTTTCCACATCATACTCGATGAACTTGTCATTCAAGCCATTTGCTTGGCAAGTCACTTTCCATTGCTGTCGTCGTTGAGGTGTCCTCAAGATCCAGCGAGCCATGATCCGAATCCGGGCTAACGCGGACTGCCGTCTGATTTTCTTATTTCCCTGCAAGAGATCACAGGCTTCAATAGCAGGTTTGTGATCTCCGCATTTCATCCCCGAGAGGATGTCGCGGACCATGAGGTTAAGGACACGTGCAAGGCACCGGATGTAGCTGTCAATACCTTGGAATCGGAGACGTCCTTTACCAGGCACCATGTAATTCTCCGAGTTGCAGTCTTCCAATGGGTTCAAATACAACTCAGATGCTAGCGTTTCGTTATTTGATGCATTATCAGCTGTGATTGTAAGCAGCTTGTCCTCAAAGTGAGGCTCGATAAGCATCTTCTGTAGAGGTTCCGCCATGTTTTCCCTACTGTGGGATCCAGCAAGCTCACTGAACTCTAGGACTCGTTCTTGATGTTTAAAGCCAGTGGAAACACAGTGGCCGATAACTCCCAAAATGGCTTTCTGGTTCTTGCTTGTCCAGACATCCAAGGAAAGCGCAATTGTGGAGCATGTTCGTGCTAGCTCATCGATCAACTGGATCCGACAACGATCAAAATCCGCATCGATACAGCAAACAACCGTCCGAGAAAAGAAGGGAAGAGGAGCATCCGGTAAGTCCTTGAATATCTGTTGGAACATAGGTGACTCGATTGCCGTAAATACTACATCATCTGACACAACCCATCGAAGTATGTTCTGTTCTAGTAAAGCTCTGATATCATGCTCGGCTCGGGACTGGAATATCGAAGCAATTGAGAGCTGTTTCGTCTCGCTGGAGCCCTCACACGGGTCCTCTGAATCGGAATTCTCAAAATTATTGTGCTTGGCTAGGTGAATCTCCATGTTGCCTGTCGATGTTGCCCTCGCCGAATCTGTGGTTTTCCAGCCACAATGAATACATTGAATCTCTCGATCCTCGAGCAGCTGCCGGCTTCACCTGGATTGACATTGCTTGCCCGGAAGAGGAATGACTCGAAATTGAATCCAAATCCATTGATTCAGCGGCTTAATGCGGGATTTGCTGTGCAATTTGTATGACCGTATGGCGTCCGTAAGGCTTCTAGAGCCCCCTGGTGGAGCATACCCCGAAGGAGTAGGTAGCTTGAGATGTAGCTGACTAGTGGAGTCCTCTGGGCCAATTGATTCTAAGCGATCCGATGGCGGATCCCGTCTGAGTTTCTTTCTGTTATGATCTTCAATATCGTCTTCATCACTTCCGCCATTCAAGACCTTTGGGTGCGCAGTGGCGGTTCGATAGATGAGCTGCTGGAAGCATCATTGTTCGAGGCCTGCATCAGCATCGGACATTCGGAGGTTCTGAACCGCCATGGAAGCGGGGGCTTGAAATGAACAGCGAAAATACAACCGCACTGGACGGTCGGTCATTATAGGATTGGACTACGTTCCTACAGGGAGGACCAATACAACCTTGGCCACTCACTAGAGATCAATGCATTTCCCGCACCTATTCAAGAACCTTTTACATAGGAAAGAAGGGATCTTTCAATTGCAACTGAATTTAGGTATTTCAATTATTGGTCAGTTCGTTACCGCTCAGCTAGGGATTTGAGTTGCCATCTTGCCTCTTATGTAGCCTTAAGAGGACGACTGGTTCGTTCTTTACGCGCACCTATCTTGGCAAATTGCTTGCATATGGTCAGGTTCATATTCGACTACGATGGTATAAATGTAGTAAACATTGGTATTTGGAATGCGAACAACAAAGGGGTGGCCAAATACTCAAGACACAGCGGGATTAATCCCAAGGAAGACTCTCTATTTTCTCCCAATAGCTTTGCACCACCAATCGACGTTTCACGGTTCCTTTCGCTGTTGTTTGAAAGGGATGGTCTTTTGTTGCAACAAGGATATGACCTCTCGAAATTTCAGCCTCACAAGGAAGATCATTATTGATCTTCTGAACCAGTGGCCAAATGCTTTCAACGAGCCCTTCGGGCAATCGGACATGCCCCACTTGTTCCCAATTGGGCTCCACAATGAGAACAGCCCTCAGAGCCTTATTGGTCGTTATGATAGTTTTGTGAACAAACCTGTGGCCCTCCAAAGCCAGTTCTATGGGACCTGGATAGAGAAGGACACGGTTTTGTAGCTTAGTCATATCATCTTCTCGACCAACATGCTTCCAGAGCATTTCGTCTTTGGGGTGTCTCAGGAATAGGTCTCCTGTACAGAACTCAGATATGGAAGGAAGAACGTGGAAGACACAATGTGTATAACGACCCAGAGGACGAGGTATAACGAGTTGGTGGTACTCCCCATGTTTCCGCATCTCTATTGGATGATTAGGGTTCCATTCAAAATATTCCCAGTCTGCTGGTTCCTTTGGCTGTAGAGCCGAGATACAACATGTTTCAGTGAGCCCGAAACAAGAGTACAAACGTGTCACACGAGACAAAATGTGTCCAATGTTAGCCGACAAAGGCATTCCAACAAAGGCAGTATACGTAAGCCCAGATAGAGCCTCGATTCCCTCTGGGCAGGAGCCTAAGCTTGCTAACGTATCCGAGATAAATAATCCCATCGTTGCCCCTGTGTCGGATAAAATTCCTTTCAGTACTGCACCCGTCAAAGGTGCGTCTGGACCGAGGACAAAATGGGTACCATTGAAAATTGCTGCCGCCCAAACGACAAGTCCCGTCCCGTGGAAAAGGTTGGTCTTCAAAAAGAGTGGAACCTTTGGGTCGATCGGCCAAGGAAGGGTACTAACCCTTCCAGTGGGGACAAGAATGTGCCTGTAGAAGTCCACCGCGGTGAAGTATCCGTGTGGGAAAACAATCTCTTTGGGCAAGCCTATCCATAGGGGAGTGGGGCATTAGTGTCTTTTCGAAGATAATTCAGAACTATCTCTTACCAGTAGTTCCAGAGCTGTGAAGTACAATGGCGGGCTCCCGCTCTTTAGCGAGGTGGTACTCGCGGTACCCAGTGGGAAATGCGACCGCGGGCTTATCAAACAAGCTCCACAGTTCCATTACCTCCCAGACCTGGAGTAGCTTGAATCCCTCGCGAATTTCCTGTATTTTCTGGTGGTACTCGGACGAGAACAAAAGATTCGAGCAATCCCCTGATTTCAGGAGGTATTCAGTAACAGATTTCGAGGTGCTAGGCGCTAGGAGCATAGCCTTTACTAAAATATCAGTGCGATGAATACCAGACGCGAATGACTGTCGTACTTACGCAATGATCTAACTTCCAGCATGCAAGTACGAATATGGCGTAACGGATGTCATTTGGCCCGATGTAAATCAGCCGCGTCGAGCGAGAGCGATTCTTCGGAGCCACGCTCCGTTCTATCCACCATGCAAAGTTGTTTACCGCATTGTTCAAGTCACCAATAGTTATTCGACGCCACCCTTCACTCAGTCGTTTGAGAGACAACGGATGTATACAGAACAGACGATCCGGGCTTTTAGCAGCCTCTTGTTCAAGAACATGGGTCAACAGACGTGGCTCGAATTTTGGACATTCCATTATTGTAATCTCGCAGCCGGCACAGGACTTCTGGAGTTCAGAGTGAGTTGGATGGATCTATTTATGTTCGCATGCCGAATGGGGTCTCGTGTGTATTTAATACTACGAGTCAAATTCCCTTGCATATCCGCACTCTCAATGTTACCGTACTCCTTTTTATCACGATCAAAGTCGATACCACAATTAGGTAAATGGTCTTCTGCTTTGTGTTATAGGGCTTTGTAGTCACGAAATTATCCTGGATGACCTCTACTGCTTCGGCATTCACTATATATAGGGGTTTCAACAAATGAAAGGAGGAATAAAACAGGGGAAAGGGTCATCTTTCAGATTACGGTACTTTAGCTAAGAAAACATTCCGTAGCCTACCAGGGCGCCACACTTTTCAGAGTTAGTCCCGCATCATGTGGCTTAAGATCTTCGAAGCATGCCGCCCTTCAAAACCAAAAGTGGCTAAGAAGTTTATGATACATGATTTGGACGTAGTTGGAGAATCTTTTATATCAGATGAGGGGAAAAGTAAAAGTGCCTCCATTTCACCAATGAATTGAATTTTTCACTAAGACGACTGAAAGAGCCATAGCCAACCAATCTCCTGATTTCGTTTCCTTACATAAGCTAGTAGAGAATCATGCAATTACACTTTCTTGCGGGTCCTTGCTCTCTTTCAAGAAGTCGAACGATGAAGGGAGATCTGATATCATATGGTCGAGAAGCGGTAGGCGATGCGACCTCAAGGGTGTGCACCCAGCCGCGCGGGACGGTATGCGCTAAGTGGGGTGCTCAAGGTATGGCTACGTAATATTCGATATTCCGTAAAGAAAAAAGACTGTTTATTCAATTATCGCAGATCCAGTTGGTGGCTGGCTGAAGCGGGGCTCACAAGGGGTCAACGCAGATCGCGGAGTGCATTCCGGAAAAAGAATCCTACCAATCTCACACTTGACATAGCTTTCAAACACCAGATCTTGTCAGGGTTGTGTTTACGTCGCTTCCGTACGCCGGCTATTCTTTTGCATTTTCACTTTTGATTGGCTAATCATCGCGAAGAAAAAGTTCAAATAGTCCCCTCATCTATTCCTACTGGATTTTCTGTCAATCTAAGAGCGGAAACAATGGAACCTCTCCTTTCGATCTTTGTAACGATCCTTGGTTTGATCCTTACCACCGCTACCGCGACAAAAGATGCCTAAACGATTTAGAGTGTATCAGCTGGTATGGAAATCCTACCTGGTGCCCCGCCGGTTGCCAAGTGTCTACCCACAAAGTCACAGGCCATCCGCTTGTGCACCATTGCAAAAGGCCTTGCAACAACGATGAGCAGAAATAGTGTACCTCCGAACTATGCGTTCAAAATAGGCGCGACTCTGACACATACCCAGGTAGCGCGGTACTTCCAGACGTGCATTAGAAACTTGTGGAAGTCCTGTGAATACAGAAGAAAATATCTGCATCATCGAAAATATGAATCAACCTGTGGAATATAGCACAACAACTGGGCTGTGTTCGGTCGATTCCTAGCGTGGACTTGACAAAATACGGGTCTGGAAATGAAGAAATCGTCTTCAAAGTGGCAGTCCACGCACTGCCGCAAGGATTGAAGATGACCTGTGGTGGACTGTCAGACAAAGGCGCGTCAGAGTATTGGCGCAAACTTGCCATTGGCCACAAGGGTCTCGACTGCTCTTTCTCGCATGTGGGTAATCTTTGCTGGGCAGACGATCAATCTGTCATGGACCGCATCATGCAAACTGGGCAACAGGAATGTGATCAGGCACAAAGTAGCTTTCACCATGAAACTGTCTTTCACCATGAAAATGTCCAGCGTGACCTGTTTATTTCTGCTGTATTCGGTGGACTTGGGTTTTAGGACCTGGCAACAATTATCAATGGCATTACATCATGCTAAACTGCGGGTGTTTGCCAAATTGAGAATGAGGAGACAAAAATGTGGGGACGTCTCCTTATCACTGCCGTACTTAGGCCACTCCCATCATATCACCCTAGACTGACACAATCTATCACCATCTTTCAAATAACAGGGCGTAGCGATGGTATTTATGTCGCTCAGCAGAAAACTATTGAAGCTGTAGTTACTATGCGACCACTATAGTTATCATGGAGAGACAGAACTGCATTAATTTTGTTCACCTCAAAACACAAGTGTTATCAGTGCTTCCTATATAAATACTTCAACTAACTGCAAGTCCCCGGTACCCAGCACAATTCTAATAGCTTTATAGCCTTTTCCGACTTATGAGCATTTTAGGCCACCGGTCTATCGGCCTATTTGCCTCTTCGTATAATATATCAGAGCTCATTTATGTTACTATTTGTTGAAAAAAGCCGTGGTTTGGCTATTCCGGATTGATATTACCTAATATCATGTTCGAGGCTTCGGTTTCTCCTTCCTCTCCAAAAAGGCCCATATAAGTATACAAGACCGACCAATGGCAATGAACCGATCATGAACAAAGCTATCAGGGTAAAACACCAACCCCAGCCCATAATGGACAGCATTTTGTCAACGACTGCCGCAGAGAGAGCACCTAGCCAGCACCTCACTAGATCTGCCGCCCCAGAAGTTGCAGCGGCTTGTTCAGGGAACAGATCCACCAGAAGGACATAGATGACCCCGAGCAACGAATTAGCACAGAGGCCAATGAGGGCCTGGAAGAAAAGTGAGATAGCCAATGGCAATCGTTTCTGCATGGCCCAGCCATATGCAACGAAGGCAAACGCAACAAGTAGCATAAATGGTGCGGCAATTTGAAGTCTTGCAACCTCAAATGGGAAACCTGTGTCTTGTATCTCTTTTGGCTTCACTGCAGTCTCTTCTCGGTAATTGGCTCGAGATCTGGAAAGCCGGCGGTAGTTGACATCGATTAACTTTCCACTAACTATCGAACCGATGCCCCCGGCTATCCCGTAAGGACTAGAATAAAATTGAGTTTAGACAATATGGACTGCTCAGGACTGGGAACATGACTCACAGAAAACAGAGCCCAACGTATAAAGTATTGAGGCCGTATGTTGTACCAAAATGATTTGCTGTGGTCGCCCATAATGCTGAAATGCCGAAATAGAGCAAGCTGGTGTACAAGATAAGAATGAGTGCGTCTTTTCCTTCAGAATCGTGAACGATCTGAAGATTTTTGAAACGTTCTTTTGCTGTTGAGATAGCTCCCGGCGATGTTGGTCTTGTATGTATTGTTGGGGGAGACTGCGCCCGCCGTTCAGGAATACCTGAAGCAACGGCCTCCTCCACCATACCCCTGGGTCCACCAGACCATTTCCGACCACCTTCCGGGCAGTTTCTGGTACCACGAGGGTATAAACCACCAGGAAGCTGCCAGAAGCGATGGCAAGGAACCAGAATATGCTTCTCCAACCTGAATGCTCCCATAAAAGTCCACCAATCACGGGGCCAAATGCAAAAGCTGCCAAGACACAACCTTGCATTGGGCCGAGGTATCTCCCTCTTTCTGCTGGTGACGCGATGTCGGCAACAACCGCGAACCCAAATGGAATTCCACAGCTACTTCCAATGCTTTGAAGGGATCGTAGGACCATTAGGGCAATGTAACTGTCTTGAAGTGCAAGCCCAATATTGGAGACAAAGTATAAAAATAATGAGAGAATCCAGGCTAGCCGTCTTCCTTGCAGGTCAGAAATCGCAGACATCAAGGCTGGTGAAATCCCCTGCATCAACATGTACACGGTGATGGTCAGACTTATCAGGGTAGGAGACAGATGATATTCAGTTGCGATGACCGGGATGACTGGGAGAATGATGTTTGTCGCTATCATGCACAGAATCATTCCCAGGCTAGTAAGCGAAACAACGAAGATTTTCTCGTTATGGCCTCTCATGCAGTATCTTTCATCCTCTGTCGCTGCGTCATTTGACACTGTTTCAGGCATGATTTGTTCCTGGCTCACCAAGAGTTCAGATTCAAGTTGTGAGCCTTTCAATGGCCCCGTTTCAAGTCGAACATCGGATCGGTGATTTGCGGGCATCTTGTGTTAGATTGAGGGAATATGTTCCAACGGTAGAACAAAGATCAATCTTCTCCGGCCGAAGCAGAGAAGATGATATGATATATACGCAGTAGCAGTTATTGGGCAAGCTAAGCCTTCCTTGATTACCCGTCAACCCGTAAATCAGTAAGGGATAGCGACGTGCACCGTTGCATTCCTTTGAGTTCCACCTTCATATCCCTTGTGATTTGCATTTTTTTCGGACGCAAAGATGTCCAAAGATTATTGGTTACATAAGCGCGAATCATTGGTGAATCAGATCAACTAGACCCATTGTGAGCCGTGACAAGCGAACTTACGGATAGCCGCATGTAGTATAATTCTAATCTGTTCAAAAGCGTATGGAGGGCACAGACATATTAAGAATTGAGTCGGCCTACTGGGAAGCAGTGGTAAGGCACGGTCCGTGGTGATGATGATTGTTGTAGTTCAGAGGTATGACTTGTCTTATCATTCTAGTGGGAAACATGAGGCTATATATACAGCGAGAAGATCAAGTTGATTTCCAATCAACTTGGTTTTTCGTATACATACTTCGGGATTAATTCCGATGGTTCGGCTTGGTTCCTGATCTGCACCAGCCTCATATCACAACAATGATGAGCTCATTTCCCCGATGTAGCTCGCTCTATATATATGCTGCTATGCGGGAGTGCTGTCAGGCTGCCGACAGCCGGAAGCTGGTCGCCAGCCCACTGGGCGACCATCAGGGGACTCGCTTTGCAAGTTGCTGATCAATCGACCTCGAATTAAAAAAAAATGTAAACCGTACAAAAGAAATGCGCGGACGCAAACATTATAAACACAAGCCAAAATCAACGAACATCATTTACCCCTGGTTGCAGGTTGGACTTGTCTGGGCCCCGCTTCAACACATCATTCCCACGCCCTCTTCGTTCCAACCGTCCAGTTTTGTCGGCTGCCGCTTGCGCGCTCGTTTGGATCAAGGGAGTACAGCAGGCCTGGCACTGCACTACTAATGGGAGCCATCCTTCTTCTTCCGTCTCACTGTCTAAGGGGTCATTATCTCCGCTCCTTTGTCGTCCCCTTCCTCGCCTAGAGTCGTATGATCGACTATCTGAAATTGGCCCAGAAGACCGGTCTTGAATATGAAATCAGCAACAATCGTGCGCGCCTCTAGCCTAGTCAGGAGATCGTCTCGACGGAGAGCTATTCCCTTGCCGGAGAGAGCGCTCCGCATCCAGTCGCACTCGCTATTACCAATGCCCGTCATAAAGTCCAGGCCTCACACTAGTTAGTTTCAAAGTGTGGTGATATGAGGCTGGTGCAGATCAAGAACCAAGCCGCACCATCAACATTAATTCCCGCATTGTCTATACGAAGAACCAAGTAGATTTTCAATCAAATTTATCTTCTCGTTGAATATATAGCCTCAGTTGTTCCCTCTGGTACAAAAATGTCGATCTTCGTTTGATTCACATCAGGTTATGAGCCCGGGAGCAAATTCTCGGGTACCATTTCTACTCATCCGAGAATCATCCAAACATCTTGATTACATGCATCTACCCTGCTTCGCAATCACCACTATAAATGCGCAATGGGGATGGTTAGTGGAAGATTAGCAGTTGTAATCCAAATGTACCTATCCCCCGATTCTTAGCATAAGTGTCGAGTTTAGGATACAACTGTGGCTCCTACGAGACATGCAATTGTCAAGGGTTGAGATTAACTAGTTATTGAAATTTACGGTGACTCATCGAAGATATTTAGAGAAATGTAAGGCCGGTGGATATATATCCTAATGCGGACTAATGCGATTGAAGTGGGGCCTTGGTAAATAAAGAGTGTTTGATGCATGAAAGCAAGTCTCCAATGTCATCTGTTGCATCTCTTGATCGCAGGGAAATCCAAGCCTAATGGCCCTAGTTATGCCAATGTCGATGTCAAAATTTCCAAATCAAAACTAAAAGGCAAAGAACTCTACCATCCGAAGTGGCTTCGGTCTTAATAGGTCAGATCTAAGATAATATGGTCAGATTCATCATTGATTCATCGTCCGTTCATCTCTCGATACAAAAATGGATGGTAAACACCAATAGGCCCTGCTATTTTACTGGGTGAAAATTCAAATCAGCCCCCATGGAAATCTTTCTGGAACTGCTCGATATTGCAAACATGAGTCCGAGTGTTGTACACTAGTGCTATGGAGCTACTCGGCTCATTACAGTGTACTTCAAAAAAGCCATACTTCTTTCTCATGCCCCGAGGAGCCCTGTAGACAAGCATAGGATCACTCTCTGACCCAAAAATCGTACTCATGGGGTTGGGGTTCGTCGGCAGGAAATAGCTTTCCATCAACTTGATACCACACGTAGATGACGTATCCCAAAACTGGTTGGACTCTATTGTTTTGGGTACATTCTTGTCATCCCGAAAGGGCCCCATACCCTTCGTGCTCTGTACAGTTACCCCTCCTCGAAAGTCTTCTGAGTGTAAGCTTCATTGTGGTTTTGAGCGAAATGTAGAAACTCGCCTGATTTGCCATCGAGAAGCTTTTCTTCCTCTTCACGAACTGGATATGTTTCGTCCAAAGCTTAAAGCTGTTTGGGAGGGGTGATATGGGACAAAGGATAGCACGGTCGGCCTCTCTCAACTTTTTGGCACTGATGTCGTGGCTATTTTATAGAGACCAGAAGTCTGATACGTTCTATTCGGTTTCAGCTATGATCTGTTCTATGCAGGTAGTGCTTCTGGTACCATACTTGCGAAGATGCATCTACGGAAAGCTTCCGAGTCAGGCTGTGAAACACGAACATATAATGCATTCCGTATATATTACGTTTTTACTTCGAGTCATATGGTAAAGGTTTCCTGTCAGTATCGGTGGAGATTAAGTATTGTAAGGATGTGTATTAGTTTGCTGTTTATAGACTAGCCGAGATTAGTCATGTTCACACCCATACAAGTTTGTATGGGTACAGGCATAACAATTCAGACAACTACCCATGGACCTGATTGGACGTACATTTCTGATCCGACATTTCCACTGCTGGCGCTAGTCGCCTCTTTCTTTTTCTTTTTCTTGTGCAAATGCTCTCATATTGAATGTAATGTGGAAAAATAAACTTATAAACTTGAAACAGGTTGGCGTAGCGCAGATGGATCGGAACTTGGCCGCGGTCCAACTATATCGATCTTCCAATAAAAGTCCGGAGCTCCCCGTGGCCTCATGCCCTTAGAGCGGCATCACGTCGTGTTCCCAGTTGACTGCTCGTGTTCAAAACCTTTTGCAACCTGATCGAGAGCTTTTACTACTTGTCGAATTTCACAATCCTGGGTCCGCGGGTTGATGGTACACATCCGTAGGCATACCATCCCTTTGAGACGGGTAGTCAAAATGATTGCAATATCTTCGGCTTCTAGCCTTTTAGAAATCAGGGAGCTCAGTAGATCTGGCCCAGGCGTGAATTTTTCCTTAGGAACATATCGAAAGGTGATTATCCCCATGTCTGCCGGAGATATGATCTTCCAATGTGGTAGCTTTCTTAACTCTGTTTCCACAAGTTTTGCGAGATAAAATCCTCTTGAGATCATCGCATCAACTTTATCCATACCCAGACTCTGCAGCGAGAACCAAAGTGGCATATGACGGGCTGGCCGTGTTAGCTCAATGCCGTAGTTCCATGGGTCAAGGAGATTTTCCGCATCTTCGATTGATGCTAGAACGTCTGCTGATGAGGCGAAGCTCTTTAGTGGGTGCGTTCTTTCTCGAAATAGCACCGCACCGCACCCATGTACCTGGAACAGCCACTTGTGTGCATCCCAGGAAATACTGTTTGCATGCCGAAGACCGGCCACCAAGCCCTTGTACGTTTTTGAAAAAGCCACTGAGCCCCCATATGCGGCGTCTATATGCAGCCATATGTTGTGCTTGTCGGCGATCTCAGCGAGCTCTTCCAAAGGGTCAATGCTACCCGTGTTTGTTGTTCCGCACGTGCCAACGATGACGAAAGGAATATTTCCGCTTTTCAAGTCCTGGTCGATCATCCTTGAGAGCTGAGTGGCATCCATGCGATATTGGGAGTTGGATTCTATCACTCTGATATTTCGGTCAGAGAATCCGATAATCCCAAGAGCTTTGCGCACACAGAAATGCGTTTGATCTGATATGTATCCGACAGCCCTTTCACGCCGCCACATTTTCTCCCCCAGCATTTGATCCCGAGCAACTATCAGGGCAGTTAGGTTAGCCACGGAGGCTCCTGACACGAAGTGTCCCCCAGCTGATGAAGGGAGACCGATTTGTTCACAAATCCAGGCAATGAATGATTTCTCGATGGCACAGACACCAGTTCCGGCCTTTTGGCTCCCTGAAAAGGGATTAAAGGCAGAAGTGATGGTCTCGCCTATCCAAGACTCAGGACAGGAAGGTGATGGAATAACGGAGAAAAAGCGAGGATGTCCGACCCGGAACCCGTAGGAGAATATTTCTTCCATGTCGCTCAGCACATCCTTGAAAGGTCTCGAGCCATCAGTCACAGATCCCCTACTCACAAGCCATGATTCCTGCTCTGCGCTTGGTTGAAGAATCAGGTTGCATTTTGAGGAGAAGTGGTTGCACGATTTCCCCAAAAAACGCGAGAAACAGGAGAAAATGTAATCCCATGCCGATGACTCCATAACTAGAGAACAACTGAAGAAGAAAGCTCCAAGCTGCACACCAGTGATTGCCTGTGATAAGTCCTTGTAACGTTTAAGCTGCTGTTTCGGGACAAACGAAGAGAAAAAGATGCTCATCTGATTTAAACGCTTTCCCTGATGTTGACTCAGTGTATCAACATGGGTTCAGCACTTGCTTTCGGTTCCTTGCCCCTTGGCCAAGTAGTCAAACTTTAACAACATGCATAAAGAAGCTAGGACGTAACGAAGCAAGGACGTAACGAAGCAGGGACGCAACGAAGCAAGGACGTAACGAAGCAAGGACATAATGAGGTAAGGACTTAATGAGAGACGGGGGAACCAATACAACTCACATTTATAATCGAACCTTGATATCCGAAACCATTAGGCAAGTCAAGTAAGGTCTCGACACTAGAAAGAACTGTATTCGAGTCCGTGTTGGCTGATGGTATTGCGCTGTCACCCTGATACGCACTACTCATGCGTTATGGTTAGACCTGAACCTACTTGAAGACATGCGCGTCGCGCACCTCGCCCCTGGAACGGCGAATTGGGTAGGTGGGGAAAGTAGATGAAAAGGAATATCAAATTGTGTGACATGATCAAAGTTCCCTATAGACAATAACTGACAAAGGAGAAAGAGCACTCAGAGAAACAAAACTTAAAACCGAAAATTATAACTTTGTGTGATTTGCTAGTTACTTAGAATATGAAGTTTTCTTTGGTTGTTGAGAGCGTCTTTCTGGGGTGTGAGTGCTAGCACAGGTGAAGCTTGGGTGGCATCTAAGTTACTAGACCTCGCCAAACGCGGGTTCGGGGCGGGCTTTCATTTTTCCTACACGCCCACGGGTACTGTAACCCCGTCGCGGGTTTTACATTCACAAACCCGCTCGTGGGGTTATGGAAATGTTGATTTATAAGTGATGCTTCAGTGTTCATGTTATTGAGGGTGATGGTTGAGGGTGATGGTGATGATGGTTGTTAATTGGTAAGTGATGCTTCGGTTTTCATATTAGTTATTGAGGGGGGTTGATTGTGTTTTGAAGTATGTATTAGAAAGTATGTATTAGATACAAGTAGGCTGGTTGACAGGTATATATGTGTACACTTGATCTCGGCCTCCGTGATTATCTCAGTGACCGGGGTATTCGACACATCTCATCACAATTCTCACCAACTCTCACCAACGCTCACCAACCAACGCTTACATCAACAATCACGTCACCGCCGTAGCTTGAGAACCTTTATCCTACCGACCTAATAAAAGGCCTCTATAAGGTAGCCATTGACACTGCTACCATCTACTCCGAAACAGACACCGAAGGACCCATTATCAACGTCGATGATAGGTTTTGTATGACTTCAGGATACTCCAGACATGAAGCAATTGGTCAAAATCTCCGTCTAGTCAAGTCTCAATATCATCCTGCGCCTTTCTACCATGAGATATGGGCCAAAGTTCTTCAGGGGCCAAGATGGCGGGGTCAAATATGCGATCAAACAAGAGAAGGTGCAAATTATTGGATAGATTGCACGATAATTCCTGCCAATGTATCTGACGCAAGTATCTATATCTCCTTCTCATTTGAGATTACCCCGCAAATCCACACCATCCTTGGACCTTAAGTAGCAAGCCTGGCATGATTCACTCACCGGTCTTCCAAATCGTGCTTTTCTACTCGATCACCTGGGAAAAAGGATAGTCAACTCGTGTTGGTCAGAAGCCCTTTGCCATTGGTATGATTGATCTCAATTCCTTCGAAACTATCAACGACACATATGGCCATCTCATCAGAGATGAGTTGTTACGAGAGACAGGGAGAAGAATGAAAGCCGCTTGTCGGGAACAAAATTTGGTGGCTCGAATCGGGAGAGATGAGTTTATTATCTTTTTGGATGATGCTTTCATTGTCAAGGATGCATTTCAGTGCACAAAGCGCAGGGAGCCTGGGCAACATCCACTTCGGGCAATTTTAGACCGAATCTTCGCTCAACCGTTGACCCAAGCTATTGTCGCGATATGAGAGAATAACAGTTAGATGACCCTGAGGGCTCCTCACGTCCCAATGTTTGTGGATTATAAGACTCCGATGTCTTCTATAGTCTCATAGTGGTAAGCTGAGGACTTTGAAACGGCTACCGTAGACACGGCTATAGCCATCCCGGGCATCATCTGTGGATAGGCAGAAAGTGTCGGCTATCCCTACTAGGAAGGTAGTCAAATGCCAATACCGAGACAAGGCATTCAATAGGCTTGTTGAATACCGAGAAAACAGCCACAAATGCAAAGAGAAGAAGGAAGTGCTTGGATGTGCTGGAAATCCTGACAAAGGCTGAAAATGTTGTGTATTTATGTGGGTCACGACCCAGTGAACTAGATACAGGCCTAACCCTAATGCATGAGTAGTGCGTACCCGGGTGACAGGACAATAATATCAGTACAGGGGATCCAACAAGAAATTATGATCGACACCAAATCTATGGACAAACTTTGCTTTCCCGTCAGTCAGCCAGCCACAACATTCTTAGAGCATTCGGCACGGAGTACTCCGTAGTTGTACCTTTAATCCCCATCTGAGTAAGTTGGGCATGCCTTAGACTCAGGGAAATACCTACCACAACGGCCATAAAACAGCGAAGTTGTGGTGGGGCCCCCCTGAAGATCAGCTCATTTACGAAATACACTCAGACCATACGGGGTAGCCCCATACGAATGGTTTTTCGCCCTTTTCTGCAATGGAGAATTTAGTTTCCTGGAAAACTTTGTAAGGCCGAGACAGAGCCTATGTTCACCCCATGCTGCAGTCTCTGCAGCTCCCATTGGGAACCACCTGTGCTCCCATTGTGCCAGAGCGGAATGCCTGGGTTTCTCGGATCTTCCACCACGTTCTATAAAGGGTGCTTCGCTCTTTGTACTCATGGAGCTCTTTCGCTTATCGGGTAGTCCAGCCACCGGTACCTTCAGTATACCCTGTGATGGTGTGCCCGAGACCACGTATGGTTTTCATTCCAAAGTAGATCATGAACACCTGGGATGTCCAGGGGTATTGGGTCACGCCAAGTGACTTCCCGTAAGGACATGAAAATGGATAGAGGATTCAATCTTTAAATAGACTAAAATATAGAGCTAAGTTTCCTGTTCTCATATTATCGTTAAGAGGCGATTTTCTACTTTTCTAGCGCCGGCGTAGTTGGTCTTTCTCGAACCGCGTATTTTTGCACAGTTTTCGCATTATCACTCTAAGAGAGTGACAGTGAGAGTGAGAGTGCCAAAATAGTTAAAACGATCCTCTATACTTTATTGATTTTAGGCATGGTTGTTGGTGTGGTTTAGGAATCTAAGAAATTCTATCTTTGGAGCAAAACCTTGTTGTACGTTACGTGGGCGGCGGACCCTCCGTTAGGAGGTGCGTAATTTTTGTACAAAAAATACGCGGGCCGGTTGTGATCTAATTAGCCGCTAATGAGATTAGACCACTTAGTTTGATATAAGGGTTCGATGGTAAGTGGATACTCTGTACGATGGCTTAGCTGAGCTCTCCAGCCCTTGGTGTGCGGGCTTCTTCATTTAGCGCCGCGGGAATGCCTAGCACTGAGGTCGGATTCGCCTTATGTGTGCCTTGTACTCAGATCTGCCTGGGTAGTGGATAATATTAGAATGAATGAAGGAAATAAAAGCACGAACAAGTTTAATCTGTACTCTAGTTATGACTCACTTGCCGATTGCTTTTCTCAATCATGGGAGCCAGTTAGATACAGGCCATTGGGATTATGCTTTTTATGGAACAGGGCACACACAACTAATCCTGCACGAGCTGAAGAGCCAGGTTGCTCAACACATCAATTGATCGACATGATTCCTGCATCTCGGTTGGAAATTTTGATTTGTCACAGACATATATATCTCCGTATCCCGTAGTGGACCTGTACTATTCATGCACTGCTTCAATAGATCGGCTACCAACCCAGCTCATTTAGAATGGATGTGCAAATCTAAAATCTCAATTTCGTTCTTTTTTCCTTTCTTCTTAATTTTTTTCTTTTCTCTTCTGTTCTTTCAGCTCAAGCCTCGTGTTCCATTAAATCATGAACTATGATAGGGCTTACATACTTCCTACTGCATCTATTCAAAAATTAAAATAAATAGATAATCAAAAAGTATGATTGAGTTTTTAATTATTTTCAGAGAGAAACTTGAGCTCTGAAATTAAATACAAAATGTCGAGGGGAGTTACCACTGGTAATAAAAGCATGGGCATGAGTCTTTTCTCCTCGTTGCTAAATCGAAGCTACTTTGGCATACACGGTTCGTTTTCCAGAGTGATATTTTCAGTACAAATAAATCTGTGATCTTAGAGAAAATTTCTTGCTCTTCACATGCAATGTGGTATGTTAGGTGGTGCATTGTGATTGTTGACCCTAAAGAACCCGAGCCTACCTCAACAGTATTGGTGCTCAAGCGAAAGGTGTAGGTAATAAGACGCTTCTCCATGATCCGCACTCTGCTCAGGTTAAACGAGTAGGCTCTCCTGCGTGCAGGTTGGATACTCCGTGAATGGAACTGGCACAGAACCGGTAAAGAGGACCGCAGATCACTTTAGTGATTCGTAATAGCGTCCCAGAAGTGATACCCTGTAAAAATATTTATATAGAGACACTACCCCCCACCTTTTCGTACAATAATATTTCATCTGTCTTCGAATCAGACTTCGACACCGAGCCCAGCGCACCATCGCCAGTCTTCACACACTACCACGTGACCATCCGATCTGGCACACACTCACGCGAGCCCAACGACGTAGAAACATCACTGGATCGTATGCACGCTTCCCCTTGGCGGAAGCACTGAAGACCATGAGCGTTGAGAGATTGATCGAAGTGGAAACAATTGACCCACGACCACTACCCCCGTGGCGCCTCGACCCTTTTACAGAGGTCGAGGTTGGCTTAGACCGAGAGGCAGCGAGACAACGCGCCGACGCCATCCGATCAAAATCGGACATAGTCGTCTACTCGGATGCGTCCGGTCGCGATGGCCAGCTGGGAGCAGCCGCCGTAACAATAGACAACAACTTGGAGGTAGTCGAATCACAGCAAGTCCAGGTGGGACCGATGGATCGCTGGTCAGTTCACGTGGCGGAGCTGATTGGCGTCTTTTATGCGATCAATATGATCTTCAAAATAGCACACCAGCGAGAGGGGGCGGGAGATCGAGAGACAGCCGCGACAATCCTCTGCGACAGCAAATCAGCGTTACAAGCGATTCAGAACGTAAAAAAGAAGTCAGGACAACGGATTGTTCATGCGATCCACCACGCCGCCACTGAGGTCCAAGCCGCAGGCATTGCACTACGCCTGCAGTGGGTGCCAGGGCATTGTGATAACCCAGGCAATGAAGCCGCAGATCGATTGGCGAAGGAGGCTGCCAGCCCAGGCAAATCACACTCCTTCCGGCCACTGCTCACAAGAGAAAAGGCGTCCATTCGTAGTAATATCATCGCCCAGTGGGAACAAGAGTGGAGATCAACCAATAAAGGTGGCCATCTGAGGAAGATCGATAACACTCTGCCGTCGGCATACACCAGGAAGTTGTACGGAAACCTGGCCAGGGGCCAGGCATACTTGTTGACTCAGCTACGCACGGGCCATAACTGGCTATCCACCTACGCTAAGCTCTTTCGGTTCCGCGAAGACGATCAGTGCGTGTGCGGCGCGCAAGAAACCGTGACCCATGTCCTGGTAGATTGCCCAATCTTGAAGGATCTACGAAGGGAAATGAGACAGAAAGTGGGGGACGCGTTCAACAGCGTGTCGAGCCTGCTGGGAGGCTCAAAACAAGGTGAGCAAGGTAAACCAGACACCGTCTCGAGGGCGAAGACGGTCCAGGCCGTATTGGACTTCGCCGAGGCGTCACAACGGTTTCGCAGTCGCGCGCCACTAGGGCAGCCTAACAGTGGAAGCGGCAATTAGGCCACGGCAGGCCGTGACGAGGCTCTAAGTTCGTTGTCAGGAAGTGGGACAATCTACATGTACGGACAGGGATATATATAGTTGAGGTAGCCTGCATATCACCGTTGAAGTTGGTTTACCCAACTAGACCAAAAACGAATCCGTTCTCAGCCTAGTGGATGAGGTTTATAATCAACTTCGCGAACGATATGCAGGATACGACAACTATATATCTTGGGTTATGTACAAGTAGAGTGATCCACTTCCTGACAGAATCTTAGAGCCTCGTCAAGGCCTATTTTGGCCCATTGCCGTCCCCATTGTTAGGCTGTCCCTATGACGCACGACTGCGAAACCTCTGTGACGCCTCGGCGAAGTCCAGTACAGCTCGTACTGTCTTGGCTCGCGAGACGGTGTCTGGTTTACGTTTCTCACCTTCCTTTGAGCCTCCCAGCAGACTCGATACACTGTTGAGCGCGTCCTCGACTTGTCTTCTCAATTCCGCTCGCGGCTCTCGCAGCCTCGGGCATTCCATCAAAACGTGGCGGACTGTCTCCTGCGCGCCGCACTCACACCGATCATCATCACTGTAGCCAATCTTCTTTCGATAGCTGGATAGCCAATTGTGGCCCGTGCGTAGCTGTGTCAGCAAATACGCGTGGTTCCGGGGTAAATTCCCATAGAGTTTTCTGGTGTACCGCGCCGGTAGCGTGTCGTCAATCTTCCGTAGGTGTGAGCCCTTAGTGCTTGACTTCCATTCTTGTCCCCATTGAGCATGAATCTTATTGCGGATATATGCGTTCTCCCTTGACAGCAGCGGCCGAAAAGGATGGGTTCTGCCAGGTTGTGCAGCTTCCTTGGTGTGTCAATCCGCCGCATCAATCCACCATTCGAAAAAGCTTTTTAGAACAAACCAATAATAGTTATCTGCTGCACTTACTTTGCAGAGCTTAAAGAGAAGACAAATAGTCACATGGATATAATCAGATCAAATTACAAAAGAGCCGGTGGCACAGGCGATAACATGTATCGAGCATTCGTGGTCAGAGCTCCCGACCGACGAACTTTATGGAGGGAGGATAAACCACAGCATGCATGTGTATCTCCTTTTCCGTTTTCGACTGCCTCCTAGCAAACAGTTCGCAGTTTCAGGGGTTTATTTACTAATTCCCTCTTAGTCCAATCATCCTAGGCCTAGATCAGTCTTGAGATAGCTTAGAGAACTACGCTGCCCCCGTAAGTATTGTTTTCATTCGCGTATCAGCTGTGCAGAAGAAGTGGATCCCTGCAATTTTGATAAAAAGTTTGTACATGACAGGGCCAAGCCGCACCATAACTTGTATTTGCCTGCTATAGTGTATAATGGGATAGGGGAAATGTACTCTGCTGCGATATGATAGATATCAAGGCTGAATGAACGTGTGTGCGGTTCGGCTAGCACGTAACCAAAGGCACATCCGTAACTTGGTGTTTGCATCATCCGGGGATAGGACATTCTTTGACCGAAATAATGCGCTCATCATCGGTGAGCGGAATGACATGGCATAACCACTTGCCGCCCCTCCTATCATGATGGCGTGTATACCTACGTCGATGAATGTTGAAACGTGTCGTCGGCACTTTTCTACGGTATCACCGTGCGTGTTGAAACAAGAACAAAAGTGAGGGAGGCTTTTTATATACTCAATCATCAACAGAATGCACAAAAACCCGTGATGTAGTCGAATACTGCTTCAATCAAAGGTTAAGCGTTAAGTCAACTGCAATTTGAGGGCCAGCGGTGTTGAGACCCTCACAATTGGCAGCAATAATGACATCAGCGCAAAGGTAAGGTCTGGGTCCAATGCTATAAGTACCTGAGCTTTCGTCAGCAGAACGGTTGTTCTCAAACATTCCTGTATATGTCATCCTGCAAAAAACATCGAGGACTTCTCGACTTCGCAAGCTGCCTCCGGTATGGACTGACCCGACTCCAAACTGTGATGCACTTGTAATCTAACTGACCTTTTGTATCGCTCCTAGTCTGTCTATTCTCGAGATGGAAATCCGTAAACAGCAGGTAAGTTTAGCTCCTCGATGATTTGACATCATGCTAACATGGAGGATGTTTCAAACCAGCCCCGTCTCTGCTTCTCTGGGAGTTTAATTCAAGGAACTGGAATGGTCTTAATAATAAACTCAGGTTGCGAAGTCAGTGAGTTATAAGAGCCCCATAAGCTACCCACTGATGGTTTATCATAGATCGAAACCGTCCACTTACAAACCGACTCGACCACACTAGAATATCACGCGCAGCGGTAGCAGGCAAGGTAGGATTCGATCACTATGGCAGCTTCAAGAGTATTTTACCTGTGCCATTCGGCCTCGCGGCGCGACCATTCACGATGGCGCTCGAATGCCTGGACCTCCACTTCGAGGCGCGCCTCAATCGCGCGTTGCCTCACCGCCCCGTTGAGGTGCGGTTCCACCAACGGGTGGATGTCCGCCGTAATAGGTTTGGCGTACTTGAATGAGCAGTCAGGACGCTCAAGGTCGCCCGATACGACATCCCAGACCTGCCTCGCTTTGAGGTAGGAGGTCATGAGACGTTTCCAGGTCGCGAAATTGTCGCTTCCTGTCAGAGGCTCGATAGCCGTAACAGCTCGGTCGGGAGAGACATGGACCAGAGAAGACATATTGATGACTGGAAAAGCGGGGTAGATATATATAATTCAGATGAACAAGATGGTTCAGAGTGAGTAGAGACGGCACCCGAGAGTTTGCTCCCGGGCTCATAACCTGTTGTAATTCAGAGGAATTATCTTGAGTTATTATTCTTGAGGGGATACACGAGGCTATATATACAACGAGAAGACCAAGTTGATTTGCAATCAACTTGATTCTTCGTATAGGCAACCCGGGATTATTTCCGATGTTGCGGCTTTGTTCCTGGCCTGCGCTAGCCTCATATCACAACAGAAACGCCCAAAACCTGAACCGAGATAGCGGCTTTCATCCTGCTGGACCTCTCGAGCTTCATCGCTAGCTTTGCCTGAACCAACCACGACCTCTCTCTCATTTGTTGTAGCATGTAATCGATCGGCTCGCATGACGTATCGATAGTGTCAAGCTCTATCTCGAAGTTGTTCGGATCTATCGACGCATGAATCCAAATGAACCCCATGCGGCATGATATATTGAAAGACGTGGCAAGCTCCATTTCGAAATCTTTCGGATCAATCGAGGCGTAAATCCAAATGAATCCCATTGAATATTCAAGTCACCAGTAGAACGCTTGGAGATCTGGAACGCCACTTGGCAAATTCTACTCATATCATTTATCCGACACTTTTCTAACATAGCTCCGCATGCCAAGCTCTGTGGCTCAAGCGAGCTGGAGCTGGCGCCCGTCCAAAGGCGGTGAGAGCCAAAGATGCGACTTGCCTCACGTAAGCCTGGATTCCGTACTCGGCGGGTGGACGCCGAATGCGGGTAGGGTAGTATGTTGCAGCTCGAACGTTTTTCACGTCTCTCTCACATAGCGAGTTAGGGATCCCAGGTATCTCCTTTGACTTTCCTTTACTCGCTCATAGTCCTGACAAAATTTTCATGAAAATGGATTGAAGATCAAATTATCAGAATGGCCGAGGTCTTATCGAAGCGGTTTCAGAGCCAAATGAAATTATGGGTGACCCGCTTCTTGAAGTTGCTCTCCTATCTAGGGTACCAACATATCAAAAATCCAGAAGCCTCATTTTCTGGTCTAGGACAGTTGTCTGGCAATCCTACTCTGCCGCCCAAAGTGCAGCGTAAGCAAGCTACTCCCAAACATTTCTTTCTAAATGGTATAGCTTACTTGGGTTTCAATCAAGGCAAAAGGGGGAGTGATGGAAGGCCGTTCCTAGCTCCCGAAGTGTTATTTGACGGTTATCTCCAAGCAGAGCTAGGGAAAATTGTTACTGAAATCAACACTGTCAGGTGGACTTCTATTCGTGAGCTGATTCGGAGTATGTAAAACATTTCCTCCTTTGAGATTGTCGGCATGCAGGTGACTTTCTGAGGCTCCTGCTTACAATTCATAGACCCACGAGAACTCGAGAACAAGTTTGGAATTATCACTGGTTGACATGGCCTTAGCAGAGGTAGTTGATCTATGCCATACCGCTGCTTATCTATCTCTCACGCGCGGTGATTGCCGTGATCAGATGTTTTTGATTTATGTTTCCATAATTTCCTTCCAAAAAAATCGAGTTTTGAAAAGACTCTGAATTTTCGCGCACGAAATTTAAAGGATCAAATGTTTCATGTGAAAGCGAAAATGGATATCAATAATGTCAGTGAATCCTATCCTAATAAAATAATTTATACCCGCAGGAGAGTGCTGCGTTATCAAGTTCTCCCTCGCAACCTTCAGCCCTGTGAATGTATAATCTTGAGCTTCCATGCACCCTTGAGCTCTGCGTTATCAGGGGTGTTACATACATTCTAAATGTAAATAAAAGATAATGTAGGAAATTTGTGCTCGTTTAGGCGATCCGTGGCGCCGCAGTCTTTGTCCTGATCCTCCGGCGACATGCAGGCACCTCTTTGCGGTGTCAGGACTAGTTATTCGGGACTGTTCGAGATTTTGAAGAAGCCAAGAATTGCTCCAGAGAATCCATAGAAATCAAGAATCCTCCAACGGGGTTTTGTATGTTATGCCATTCGGCCTGTTTTTAGAGTTCACTATTCATGTTCCTTGTTCACGTAGGGTATTTTGTAGCCTTAAATCACGCCCTGATTTTCGATAATGGGCATTCCCTGCCACGTAGTGTAAATTAGAGCATTTAATCATGGAGCTGGTTGAAATCCCGGTTATGATAGCGTGTTGGCTAATATGTGCCACCGCTGAGATCCATAGTAGTCTCCATTGGTGTGAATGGTTGTCACAACCATGCATGGATCAAACCCTTAGACACTGATATAAAAATTCTGTGCATGCTCTGTTTCGGCTTTGCATGCGAAGTGAGCTGGACTCAGTACTTAGCTTTGAAGATCAGCTCAGCTCCGATTGCCGATTCTCGGGATTTGCACCTGCCTTTCATCGTAAGGCCAAATGGAACTCAGCCAGAAATCTGTCAGCATCAGTGGACAATCATTATTGTAAGAAATTGTCAGATTTTATCATTGAACTTAATCTAGCCACGAGCCTTAGCCCTGCTCGGGCACTTTACAAGTTTGTGTGTACGAACATGAACAATTCAGACAATCAAGGTATCGACTGGTGCATATGATTGGGCCCAAAGCTTTTCTGTCGACAAAAGAGGGTCACAGGCTTACAAGTGTGCCCGAGGAATATTGAACAATCCCATATGCCTGCTTTCAACCATTTTTGCATAGCTCTGAAGACCTTACTACAGTGCGTCTCGAAACCGGTGCAACAAAAACACACTTAAACACTCTTTTTGGCCCCACTGCCAAGACCTTAGCGTAGTTCATTTATTAAGGTGCCCGCATTAGATTGAGGACCTCTATAACGAATATTGTATAGCATCGTATCCCCTCTACTTGAAGTTGCTCTAATACTCGGATAACGGGTAGAATTGATAGTTACTGTGCTGCTGATGGGCTATTGCGGCAGATCTAAACTTGGTGTGGTGGCAACCTCAATAGATGATCTGCGCTAACGCCTTGGCAGTGGGGCCGAAAAGAGTGTTGAGGTGTGTTCTTGTTGCACCGGTTTCGAGACGTACTGTAAGCCAACACCGCATGTATTCTGTACTTTCCATAATATTCAAAATCAACACTCTCAAGTACTAAAATGGCTATGCCCGTACTAGTCCGTACTGTAACGACAACGTTCTGACATATCCCCGTATTGTCAATATCCAGTGTAACAGTCACCTCAGGCGGCATACGGAGATGCCTTAAGCCTAAGGCTGACCCACACGCTGCGCGTGTGGGTCAGCCGGGGGTCAACGAAATTCTGCTCTCAACAATCACAATATTACTATTTCGACCACCAACACCACCACCACGATGACTAGTCAATATAATGCAATTAAAATGCGTATCCAAACCGCTTGTTCGGCTGCTAGGGTTGCAAAAAACCCCAATATCGCTGCGTTAGCGCGTAAATATGACGTTCCAATGCAGCGACTTCGGGCACGCTACCTTGGTCGCGCATCTCGCAGCACGCGCCATATGGCCTATAAGCGACTAAATGACGAACAAGAAGCGTCATTAGTAGGCTGGATTCGGCGCCTTGATAACCTACATATTCCACCTACGGCTGGAATGGTGGTTGTGAGTGCAAATGCGTTACTACGCAGGGATAACCCCGCCGTACGTCCGCTTGGCAAAGACTGGGTGTATGATTTCGTCAACGTCCGCTTGCCAAATGACCTCAATTGGGTTCATCAAAAGCCTGCAGATCAAAATCGAATTACTGGGGAGGATATAGGTGTTTTGACTGCGTGGTATGAACGCCTGGAGCCTTTTATAAAGCGTATTCCAGCAAAGCATGTGTATAATTTTGATGAAACTGGCTTTACCCTTAGCCAAGGCCGGCCACAAAACGTTATTTCAGCCAATCCAAAACGAACGCGAACCCATTCATTTGAACGAGGCCAGTTATTAACTGGAATTGAATGTATTGCGGCCGATGGTTGGAAGATGGAACCCTATTTTGTGGCACCAGGGTCAGTTCATTTGATGCGGTGGTATGAAGGTGGTAAACTTTCAGAAGCTACCAGGATTGTAGTTTCAGGAACTGGATATTCAAATGACCTATTGGCACTCGATTGGCTGGACTTTTTCCACCTTAATACTAAGGATCGCCTACCAAAAAAGAGAATACAGCCCAGGCTTCTGATCATGGATGGGCATCGCAGCCATCTAACCTACGAGTTTTTAGATCGCTGTGACTTCTACAACATCATTCCATATTGTTGTCCAGCTCATACAACCCATATTATTCAACCACTTGATAGGTCTCCATTCCGTGCATTGAAACAGGCATATCGGACCAAGAATAACCAGATTACTCAATGGGGTGGAGATGCACGCGATATTGGTGTTTTTTTTGAGGAAATTACACAAATTCGTAAGGATGCATTGCAACCACGTACTATTCGCAATGCATTTGCTACACGTGGTATACTACCCTATAATCTAGACCTGATTATCAAGCCTTTGGTAGAAGCACAAACCCCTAAGCCAGAGCTTCAGATATTCGATAGCAACAAAACACCACAGCTACAGGTTGCATCTAGTATTCCAAGCTCGCCACCTAAGTCATCAGCTGATGCACGTCGAACATGCGATAAAGTGAAGAGTTTACTTAACCGTGACGATGTCCCTGCCGATATACGCCGCCAAATACAACGTGTGGCAAAATCGCAGGTTCAGTTAACTGAGGATATTGGTCTCTTATATAACACATTAGAGAACCGATTACCTAAAAAACCTACAATTGCACGCAAATCCCAAAAGCAATTAGGCAAATTTGGTGCCCTGACTACCAAAGATGCTATTCGTTTTGCAAATGATCGAAAAACTAAGGATGAACGAAAGGAATACAATGCGGCTGTCCGAAACCAGGTACCTTTAGGCACTCCTGCTACGCCTACACCAATTACTTTTGGACAAAAGTACCCGGATTATACACCGATAAACGTCATAGATGACCCCTTTCCATGTTAAAATACAATATTTATGGTGGTGGTGGTGGTAGTAGCTAGAATAGTAATTTCATGATTGTTGAGGGCAGTATTTCGTTGACCCCCGGCTGACCCACTCCCAGGGGAGTGGGTCAGCCTTAGGTGTAAGGCATCTCCGTATGCCGCCTAAGGTGACTGTTATAACTAGTCTTGCGTATGTATCGTGCAGCTCCTTTGGTCGGTGGAGCCGCTGCACAACAACATACTACCTGTTCCTCAGTACTCCCTTCTTCCCTTCCATACCATAAGTCTGGAAGTGCGTTGAGCTTCGGCTGATCTCCTAAGCCTAGCTAAGACAAAATTAGTGGTGTTGTATGTTGGGTGTTCTCATCTCGACGTACACAGGTTTCGTCACACGCAAATAAACATATGCGGTGCTTTCCCTCTTCTATTTTTCTTCATCTACAGAGTTCAGTACGGAATGTGCACCTTACATGGATCTGCGATGTACTTAGCTGTCCGATCTGTCATGTTGCCTGACTTGCTGCACTTTAAAGTACTGTTATATAGGCATACCGAGGAAAGAGTGGCACACAGCTAATAGGAGGCCACGCCTTTTGAATTCGAATGACAGCATTATGACGAAAACTAACCTTACGTCACAACTCGACAAAAGCAAGAAAGCAAGAAAGTCACTGTCAGCTATGGTAATAGATAGACCCATTCGAGAACGAGACTTTCATCTAGGCCTTCATCACCATCTCAAAAAATGTTTAACAAGATGCCTGAATCAAAGGCGAAAGCTGATATTTGCCCTGAGAGTAACTCTATCAAAGAACAACAAAGTTCGGAAGCTGAAAAACAAAGTCGCCGACGTTATGATATGAAGAATGGTAAGGAAGCCCTTCACACGCTATATGAGGCAACTTGCTAGAAATTACTCTAACCGAGCAAGCCGAAACTCTCAAATGCGAGGACAGTAAAAGCTTCAGTGGCGAAGGTAGCCACAGTGAAGAAAAAGGTTTGAATCATTGGTACAGGAACTTGAGATATCAATAAAGATGTTCTAATTAATATAAAATCTCAGAGACAAACCAAACTATCAATGGCATTACCGGTCCACATAGCTCCAAAATCGCAAATAAGCTTGATCCTCGGGTTGATTCCAACGAAGGCACCACCACTGGCCATCGAGACTCAAAGAATCGTATGCCTGGATGGATGGTAGCATGAATGCTCTCATACTAGATGATTATGAATGGAATTATATTCAAGGTATCTTACATGCAACACCCAGTCAGTTAGCAAGCCTCGGGTTCAAGTGCCACTGGATATCTTCAGGTGGAGCCTTAAGTGAACTGACTTCGACGAATTGAGTCTCTCACATGGCGTATTATATCTATATGTATGCGCATTGTTTCACACGTCCAGCATGGACAATTTGATGGCGACAGATCCGCATATTTATTTCGAAGTCCAACTGATTCTGTTTTACCCGCATCAGACAATCGCATGTACAGCTAGTCACATGTAACTCAGATTAGCCATCCATGCATGGGTGCCATATCCATAACATCGAAATGAATCTTTTCAAAGGTTGTGCCTGCTATTCACGATAGTTCATTTCTGATGCTACTTAGCCAACTCACACGCTGGAAACTTTGGCCTTTTTTTGTATGCAATTCAGCAGTAAATTATCGATATGGAGGATGGTCTGCCAAAGACCACTCTCTAGTCTCCTATTAGGTGCTTAAGAGTGTCACAGCGCTCCGGGTGTCTACTGTACTCCTGTGTACGTGTCCTCTTCCATCACGGCTTCATCATTGATGTTGATAAGATGACGATGTGAGTTCTGCGTCACCTGACACCTTGGGATCATCGATCTCCATAGCCGCTACCTGCTTGCTACAATGACGGACGAAATGCGGTTACCTGCTACTCTTCTCCCACCCAACAACATGTTGCGAGTACCATTCCCAGAAAGAGTACGTAAAGAGTGCATTTGCAGAAAGCAACTTAAGAGGCTCCCGGAAGACTATTTCAGCCATCGGCGTCATCTGCACGCTGCATACTCGATGAGACGTCGGAAATGACGTCATGCCGGACGATGCGCTGTAGTGGTCCCAACCCTTGCCAAAACAGGAATACTTTGCAGCTCCTTAACATCGTATTCTGGGATATTCGGCCATATTTGTTGCAAGTGGATTCCTTCCTCCATGTCCAAGAAGGAGAAGCTCAAACCAAAGCAGGGAAACCTTTTTATAAATTTCAGACTATATCTGTCCCAAGCCAGTTGCAACATTAAGCTTAGGCTGCCCACACCAGATCCGTATCATTCGAGCCTTGGTGCCAATCAGGGTATTTTTTTACGTCTTCTACTCAAGGTCACGTTCATTACGCTCTGTCTGTCCCCGGCCATGGTCGTCATCTGGGGTCTGGATCTCCATGAGATTCACTATAGCAAGTTCAAGAGCTCCTACATGTTCAGTCGCGCGTACCATCTCCGATGTACCAAAATGATCGTCTACCAACTCGCCATGATTCTCTGTGTTTGTTCGGAGTCGGTCGGAACTGCTGCCCTTTCTGGTATTTCACACAGCTACATTCTTTATTGATTGCCTGGACAACCGACGCATGCTAAGATGCTCTGCCACTCCACTAGATTATCTCGATCAGCAAAGTATGCTGCAAGGCCAGCACCCAGGCGTCAAAATCCACAATAATGATTTTATTGGCGGGTTTTCCTACAATATCTTTGTCGGAATCTGTGTCGCATGGGTATTCGGAGCCGCTTTCTTCTTCGACCTTTTCTGGCCCGAACGGCATGAGAGCCGGGCCGTTCGACTAGCATGGAGAATATGTGCGGTGATCATTACGTTCATGATGCTGGGCTCTGCTCTGACCATTTCGGTACGAGATCCACCAATGTCACGGCCCAAGGGAACATATTATTCCTGCGCCAGACGATTCTATTCTCGTTCTGGTCGCTAATCATGAATTTGACGAGATAGGTAATCACTGCGATGCACGAAGCAGAAATCACTGGAACGGATGTTGCATTGGCACGGGAATATTGGAGCGAGACCGCCAAGAAGCCCGCTTTGAGTAAAGGCTTACCTTCCTCCTCTGCCCACGTTTGTTTGGCGAGAGATTTTCTAACTGGTACTCAGCCTACCGTACGAATCCAAAAGCCGTTGCATCTGTTGTCCTCGCATGGCCCGGTTGGGTTTTCTGTGTTATTGGGTTTGTCTCCTCCTCGACAGTCAAAAGGTCCATGAAGCTTGGCTCATCTATTTATAATAGTACGGTCATTATGTTCATGTCACAGAAACATGATGATCATTTCGGGCCTAAGTCAGAATACGGCCAAAGTAAAGAGAGCGACAAAGTTGCATCAGAGCAGGAGGAGAGTCCAGACATCGAGCAGAAACAGACCTGGCAGATCAAGTAATTGTCATGAAACGAGATCACATGCATTTTATGCGGGCTAATTTGCTTTATTTAATTTCATCATGCACAGAACTATGACTACTCTTTTAGAAGTTACGAATAATTGAGAATTCGGTGTTTAGAAAATGACCAACTACCTCAGAGATTGCCAAAGCTGTTGAATGTACTGTAGTAGGACTTCATTCAACATCAACCAAAACGATCGTTGAGTGTTAAATGTCGGAACACCTCCAATTCTACGTTTCCAGATGAGGAAGTGTAACTCCGCTGCTATACTCCGTGTGATCATAGCTTGAAAAGCTGGGCTGTACGCTGCAGAGATGGTAATCTTATCAGACCATTCTTTATCTGCATGCTGATTTCAGTTCTCTGACATCCCAATAAAGTATCCTGCATTACTTCGCTGCACGATTGCTTGGAGACTTTATAAGGATAAACTGCAGCTGCCCCTTTGAGAATGAATAGATTCGTCACTGTGTATAGGCACTCACATACATGCAACTCAGAGTTTGATTTAGCTTGAAGCTCTAACAAAGGAAAAAGGTGAAAAAAGACGACGACGACGTAAACATCATTCAACGTTTGAACGGCGAAATGCATGCTCATGATCAGTGAATATATTTAATGAGGTGGCCGCTGTTGTGCCACCTCTGGTAGCGATAAAGTGCAGGCCCGTGTTGATGAATGTTGAAACAAGTTCTCAGCACTTTTCTGCGGACCATTGAAGGTGTTGAAACGGTGCCAACAGTGAGGAAGGGTTATTTATATACGCAATCATCAAGAAGCCGAAATGCGTCTGGATACAGCGTAGCATCAATGCAGAATTGTTGAACTAGCTGAAATCTGAGGGTCAGCGGTGTTGAAACCCTCACAATTCGCAAGAATTGTTACATCGGCTCGAGATTCAGGGTTAGATGCAATGCTATAAGTACCCAAACTCTCGCCAGCAGTCCGGTCGTTCTCAATCATTCCCTTGTCGTCCTGAAGCAAAGGATATCGATAACTTCTCGACTTTGCCAGCTGCTCTCTCCCAGTATGGACTGACCCAACCCCGAACTCTCATGTACCTGTGCTTGAACTGACCTATTGTACCGCTCCTAGTCTTGTCTATGCTCAACAGTGAGAACTGCAGACGGCAATTAAGTTTAGTTGCCCGATCAATTGAGACCATGCTAACGTAAAAAGTGTTTGATGTCAGTTCCATCTCGACTATTACTTTAGGAGTTCAGTTACAGTACGTCTCGAAACCGGTGCAACAAGAACACACCTCAACACTCTTTTCGGCCCCACTGCCAAGGCGTTAGCGCAGATCATCTATTGAGGTTGCCACCACACCAAGTTTAGATCTGCCGCAATAGCCCATCAGCAGCACAGTAACTATCAATTCTACCCGTTATCCGAGTATTAGAGCAACTTCAAGTAGAGGGGATACGATGCTATACAATATTCGTTATAGAGGTCCTCAATCTAATGCGGGCACCTTAATAAATGAACTACGCTAAGGTCTTGGCAGTGGGGCCAAAAAGAGTGTTTAAGTGTGTTTTTGTTGCACCGGTTTCGAGACGCACTGTAACGGGACTGGAATGTTCTCGATAATAACTCAGGTTACGAAGACGATGAGTTATGAAAGGCCTCCATAAGCTACCTACTGGCGCTTTACCGTAGGTCGAAACCATCCACTACTTAGCCGACTCGAAGAAACTAGGATTCATGCGCAGCAGTAGCTGGCAAAGTAAGTTTCGATCCCTATGGCAGTTTCGAGAGTAGTCACACCAGCCTGCGCTGACGGCTCTCCGTATAGGATGCTGATTTTTTACCATGAGCCAGCCTATGTCTTGTAAGTTGCCGCATGCGTTGCCACTGCGTATTCCCAACGCCCGGGACTACATTTTGAATGTCAGTGCGGAGTCTTTCTGTTTGGGCCTCTCTGTTCTTCAGAATTATCGCTGATGTCTCTTTATTGCACTCGACAAGCACCGAGCCCAACTAAGCTAGGTGCACTAGCCTGATGGGCCAAGCCACTGACTCCCAGTAAGCTTGCGCCTTCATTGTTTCTAAAAGTCTTGGTTGAAACGGCTACTTTGCCTGGCCTATTTAGCGGGCCTAATTCAGGAAGGGTTGATGCCCTCCGGTTAGCCATACGGTAACATTCCAAAGACTTTCCATCTCTCCAGCATTACCCTGTCCAATCGAAGGTTAACTGTTAATACATTAGGAGCTTGCCTTGTTCCGACGGCTATGAACCTCTTGTCCCACGTCCAATCCGAAGCCTCGTCGGCAGCCCATAATCCGGTCCCATGCTAGACCGAAGCCATCGCAGCCCCTGACGACGAGGAGACGCCTAACATCAGTCCCGGCCCACCTTTCCTCCGGGAAACCATTAGACAGACCTTGAACGACTTCGAATATGATCGAATCCATGGGCAAAATGAGTTATGAACTGCCTTCATAAGCTACCTACCTACTGATTATTAATGGTAGATCGATAACATACTTTATACAACTGCTTTGATCATGCCAGAATCTAGCGAACAACCATAGCTCGCAATGTAAATTTTTATCATTGCGGCGGTTCAACAATAGTTGTCTTGTGCTGACGACTCCCTTCATAGGAAGACAAATATTCGATTGCGAGCCACCCAATGTCTTCCCACCCCGGTGCGTTGCCTCGACCTATTCCCATGGCCGGAGCCGCATTTTGAATTTCGTGCGAATCCTATTTTCTTGAAGCTTTATCTTGCCTTTCTCTCTGCCTATCAGAAAAGATTGCTGATGCCTCGTTCTTGTCATAGAACATATACCAAGAAGGTAATCGTCATGACCAATCCACATTTCCCTATCGCCCTCGAAATTAAAAAAGACCGGCCGGGCCACTGACCCTCATTTAGGTTTCTGCTTTGTTCATTTAGGGACACATGCTAGAAATGCCGACTTCGCTTGTGTTGAAGAGAAAAAGTCCGAGGAGACTGAGTCCCCCTCGATTAGCATATGGTAGAGTTCCAACATGCTTTCATCTCTCTTCGTTTCCGACCAAAGGTAAACTGTCATTGCAATAGGAACCTTCCGTATTCCGACAGGCATGATCTGGGCCCATGCTGGTCCGACTGAGCTATCGCAGCATCCGGCGACAGCAAAGAGAAGCTAAGCATCGACAGCCACCGAGAAAGACCACGGTTTCCTCAAGAAAAGCATCAATTAGTAATGAATCGAGCTTTTGACCACAGCTTGAGTAATAGCTCTGTCAGGCCCGGTTACGGCTGGGCAAGTGACATTGTAGGCCATAGCACTGGATCCCCCGGATCTCTCGCCACGAGAGCAGTAATCTTTAGGTCAGTTCTTACCCTCCTCAGAACAACATACCTTGACTCTTTTCACCAAAAGTACTCTTTACTGACATGACTGGAAGTTTGTCAGAGATATGCATTGACAGATATAGCCCACTCATCCCTGCTGTACCGAGCTATCTCGGGTCCTCCGACGTGTAAGCGAGCCGAAACTGTTGCCTCGTCTCTGGCTTGCCCATGCTGATGCAAGACTACATTGACGGCAAGTCTGTACCACCCTCATTCACCGGAAATCATACTGACATAGGCAGTGAAACACAGCCTTGGGTTCGGCCGTTTCCACAAGTCCGATCAGGATAGTGTATTGTGGCTGTTATCGGGATTCTCATCTAAACCGCGAGCACGGCGAGTGGCTAACACCCATCTTGCGCCAGTTGCTGACAATCGATGCTAGATCGAGTATATACAACGGTAGACAGCTTTGGATGTGGCGAATGCAGACGGGGATCATAGCTGCCACCGTGACCTATTTGATAATCCAATCTGGCAAGGACGTTGTAATCTTTGAGATAGTTTGAAGGCCAACTAACCATGATGTCAATCCGCTATGATGAAGTTGGGCTTTGTTCCCCCGATGCTTTGCTCAATGCCCCAATGTTATGCTCAATGCAGCCGCAAGCCGACAGAATGCGTCCTGATGTCACCAGCGAGGGGGACTCGCTGCCAGACGCAGCCTCGGAAGTACGGTCAATTGAGTGCTGCGACGTTCACACTTACAGATTGATGATCCCAAAGGTTGAACTGAATACCAGGTCGAAAAGTCATGTCCGTTTACGACAAACGTAGCCGCTGCTGTTTCTTTCAATGTGTGCGTCACGCCCTACGCGACGCGCTGCGACGCGTCACAGCGCAACTACCTCATGCCTCTCATGACAGGCATCTATCTAGTGAAGCAGGTCCTAGACGACCCTCAGCACCGCTGACGAGACCAACACAAATCGAGAAGGTGCAATTTATTCCAAATATAGCAAGCCTTCTCTTTGCGATCAGAAATCTCAAAAATGCCGTATGAGCAAGCAAGCACGCTGCGAAATTGTGCCCCGCGTCTGTCTTTAAAAGCGGTGAATAATGGCACCAACTATTCAGACCTGTCTCAGAAAAAGTTATCAAGTACCGTGCAAATACGGTATCTCTTGGAAGACTTTTTCGGAATTTCCACCCGAGTCTATTACCTAATATTAAATACTAGCTGCACTCGCCGTTTCAAGAATCGAGGTTTCGCCAAAGCCTGCTTATCGAGACCAGCTCTTTGAAGCAACAATCCGGATTTTGGAGATTGTGAGATGTTTCGGCCCTGACGCGCCTCTGGATACAGTCTCCTTTGAGGATGAGATTCGAGTGTTGCAAGATACACTGCTGCTTTCCTGGCGTGAAGATGCATCACTATTGGCGACTTTTTTTTGGTTTGCCTCGAACCCTGCCAAGAGCTCCTCCATTCCATAAGGCCCGACACAGACTTTTCAGACCTCGAAATGATCTCAGTCACTAGATACCGCTTACACCAATTGATCCCAGCTCAACTGTCTTTGTTTCACGCCATTCGGACTTTCCTCGTTTTTATATGCTGGTATGCCAACCATTCAAATATAGGAATCGATCCTAACCACTATCTCTAGTGTTCCATTCAGCTCCTGTGAAGATACCAAGAAACGATGCTTGAGCTGCGTTTCTCGCGCATTTCATGATCTTAAGATACATAAGAACCATCTCGAGTCTCTCGCCGATTCTGAAACCATCCTCTTGCAACGTTACGTTACAACCTCGTGCCTTATGATGGGCTTCAACTGTCTAGGTGCAGTCGGCATTGAATCCTATCGTAACAACTTTTGTGAATGCGTTCTATATGGCAGCAATCGCAAGGACGTGAGATTGGACGATATTGCTAGTACCCGTTTCGGGAAAGACGCTATGGAGCATTTCGCCAGCCTTGGAGAGCCGTTGCTGGAAGAAATCTCTCGGAGACGGGACTTGAGAGATGACCGGATATTGCAAGATCTTACAGACAGATATCAAGATTTGGAAACTCGTTTCAGGGCCGCTGTTGACAGCCTCGGACACAAAGATGTTTTCGTATCGCAAGAAATCATCACGAGAGCGTATCGGCTTGAACTCGGCGTGACAGCCACTGCCGACTAAGTGCCACGAGTACATATGACAGGGCCAAAGATTGCACATATGCTAATAGTTAATGTCTCTACAAACGCTCTAGTGATGATATGCTATTCAAGCGAACGAGAGTAGAATCAGGAAACCAGAGCATGAAGCTCAGGGCTGGAAACGTCGAGTTCTCGGGACAACGCTGCCAATTTGTGTTTTTTTGGACCTTGCGGTGCCACAGGCGTCAATGATCGCAACACTTAGATCAAGGCTGAACAGTTTCCATTGAGTTCAGCTGCACCTGAGACCCTCACCCCTTTCAACAGAGTTCATTACAACAGAATTAATATCTATATCTTACTGTTGGAGAGGTAGTTAACCTAGCAGATGCCCTTGCCCAGCTGGATACTACTTGACGGCTGTATAGTTCATAGGGGGGAAATTCTAGAAAATATATGCAACGCGAACAAATACGGGGTTTGATAATAGGATAGTAGCCATAAACAATCAAGGGTAGCACAGAGAAGTCAGTGCGCTAGAGACATGCGCATAAGCTGTATATCAAGATCGATCAGCTGCCTTAATTATTGTGAGTCGAATTGTATCTCGCAATTATATGTCTGTATGCATCGGGCTGTAGGAATTGTCGTTACCAGCACCGCTGTCGTCGGTGGGAGAGACGTATTCCGGCGAGTCTATAAATCCGCGCCATCTCCGCCAGCCCTCAAAATCAGTAAGTGCCTGCATGCAGCCCCATTCCGTCACCTTTTGCTCAAGCCATGGAAATCTCACGGGCTTTTTTCGTAGTTAGAACTGACTGAATCAGAGGAGCTTGGAGTTGGTAGAACGTGCCTTAGTCAGGAAATCGTTGCATCCAGCAGCCAATGCACCATGACGGTCGCTTTGCAAGCTGCTGGCCGTCAACGCGACAATGACCACCGGACTACGAAATAAAGAGATATTACCCAGGGTGTCCTCTTCACTTGACGTTCGCTGAGACGCTGGTCTCTTTCCTAGTGGACATTTTGCGATAGAGCTTGAGACACTGGAGCGACCAGAGCCTGTCTTGGGGAAAACGCCAATTCCATTCAGTCGCTCGAGCCGCCGGATCTCTCGAGTAGCGGCCAACCCGTCCATGATGGGCAATTGGATGTCCATCAGCACAAAATGGAACCCGCCCTGTCGCCATTTCCGCACGGCTTCTTCGCCGTTAGCTGCACACTTCCAACGTACGTTCAGTCGTTTCATAAATGCTTCCAGCAGCCTCTGGTTGATGATGTTGTCCTCCACGATGAGGACATTGATTGGCGGTACAGTGCCATCAATCAAGCCGCCAAGGGCTGCGCCTGGCGATGAACCGTTTTTCCTTGTTCGAAGTGATCGTGGAGATATGGCTGGCGCTGGGGACGTGTCTGTCCTTGTCTTGAGAAACTCATTCGCTAGTGAGAGCGATACTGGAGCAGTCGGAGACAAGGCAGCGGGGAAATATTTGTCATGAGAAGAGTCGATGGGCTCTATGGATGTTAATTGATATGTCTGCCAGAGGAAAAAGAAGAAGAAACGAGACATCACATGCCTGTCGTGGGTAATTGACAAAGCGTCACTGGTGAATCTAAAGTATGCTGCGAAACAACGCTCCCAGGCGAAAGCAGCGAAGGGACGATATCAGTACTGCGTACTGAGCGAGATGGCGGCTCGGTGCTAGCGAAAGAACTTTGTGGGTGCGGAGGTGACACCAAAGCATTTTTGCTGAGCCTAAAAGGAAATGAGTCGCCATGCTTGTCAGACTCCGAATTGTCATGACTATAAGATGCAAAATGTGGTGATGGCCTCTGGTTATAGCGCGTGGGCACGTCAATCACCAGCGCCTCTTCTATTGTTTGACCCCCAGGGTAGTATGTGTCAAGCACTGATGACAACATTTCATCCGGGTTGAGGAGACGCGGTTGCTGGGCCTGTCGATTTGGGTCCTGACGAGGAGTAATTGTTGTCACAATGTCCGGAGAATCAAATTCCCTCCCTAAGGAATTAGCATATTTCAATATCACCTGGTCGCGCAGCTCATCTACAACAGCATCCTCCATATGCGATACCAAGGTCGCGGAGCAAGCCGATCGCTTGACCCAAACTCGACGGGGCGTCATCTCGGCAACTACCCTGGCGTTTCTATAGCCGACTGACAAGCCTCGATTGTGATGTTGAGATGACGCTGGTTGAGATAGTCGACGGATGGGAAGGGTGGGCGCGATGCTCTCGAAGAAAAGAAAACACGAATATTCTATCGCCGGCAGCTCGGAGATGACTTGCGAGCGGAAGCCATCGACTGCCTTTGCAAATGCAAAAGGTGGTCTGGAAAAAAGCAAGCTCGTTGGAAAGTTGGAGCGGAGGACGTTGCGGTGGAAAACTCTCTGCGGCAAACAAGATACTCTCTATCCGTAGAAGATGTGGCCGCTTTGCCTGACGTAGAGCAAGCGGCAGTTTAGTGATTTCTGTTATCCCTCGGTCACGGGACATGTACTGGAATGGCAATGGGTCGGACTGGGCCTCGCCAAAGCCCGCCACCGCCACAGACCCGCCTATTGAATATCCCGGTCACCGAGATAGCCACGGGGCTGGGAGCATATGCATACATACATACATATTTACCAGAATATCAGCCTCTCTATATTTACCACAGAAGACAAGGTCACATACCGCTTACTGATATGAACACCGAAGCATCATTTGTCACTAAGAGGCGGGTTCATAGAAAGTGAAACCCGCGACTGGGTGCCGGAGGCAGAACACTATCAGCCAACGAATCGCGTCACTTCTGGTTGTCCGACTGCTTGAGTCCACCGATCTCTCGAATGAGTAGAATGAGGTGCTTTACACGCCGAACTACCACCCTCGTGTACGAACCCCCTCCCCCCTAAAGTTTCCGCATTAGCGGCTTTCCCTGCGTACACAGAACCCACTGTAATACAAATACATTGCCTCCCTAAAAGGAAGCGCAGATATGCCCTTTCTGACCCATAGCCTAAGGTCGCAGCGACAGGGGACCCGTTAAGGGCAAACTACTGTCTGTTTGTACTATTGACTGAGTGAGACCTACTAATAAGATCGCGTTCTAAGGCCTGGGAGTTTTGGAGAGCGTTACGAGGCCACGTGTTAAGAATCGCTCCGGATTATTGATCTTCCTGAATTGTTTTCATCACAAATATTTGCCAAGCCTGCTCACGTGAAGTTTCGAACGACTGGGCATTTCTGGACTCCAGGACGACACCTTCGTATGAGATTGGCCATATCAGGGTCTAGCCTCTAAATTTCGCGCAACATGGCAACGCTACAACACCTACCAGCGGAATTGTTAATCTCTATTTTCGACTACTTAGGGGATACTGAGGCCCTGTGGTCCCTGTGCTTAGTGTCCAGAAGCCTCTGCGGCATAGCTCAGCATTTACTCTATCGGGATCTACTTTTTGCACCTTTGCATACACCAGAGTGCTCTCCAAGGAGACTCTTCCTTTTGACTCGTACTATCGTATCTTGCCCTCACTTGGCTGTCCAAGTACGTCGCATAAACCTCGATGCTGTTAGGGATTGTGAGCTTTGTGGTGGGGAGATGGAATTCAATATTTATGACAGACCCAACTCAGCCAATCCCTCCATTGATGGGTATAGTTACGATGATAAATTATACTACGTACCCACCAAACTTGCGCTATTCCATGATAAGGAGTATGGATACCCAGACGTGACCGCACTCACCTCATTACTTTTATCCCACTTACCCAATCTCGAGCACTTGAACGCTGTGCTAGGTCACCATAGCGTTTCCCGTTTGATTCGAATGCCAACCGAAGAACATCACTGTTCGCTCCTGCTCAGCGTACTGAGGATCTTAAATCTCACCTCATCGGGTAAAGAGCAAATGAAAATCAGTTTAAACGATATAATGCCGCTCCTGTCATTACCAAGGCTGCATGAGATAAACCTTGACCATGTTCGAGGCTGCGGTCCGACTGGGATTTCTGAACCGACGTCTGCCTCTGTTCCTCCCAAACGATTCATGTTTTCTAAGATATCATTTCGATATAGCTGCGTGGACGCACGCAGCATTCAAGCACTTCTTGGTGCTTGTAAATCTCTCAGGGTATTCAGATACCGATTTTGCGCAAGCTCTGTCAATCAGTTCAACCCGTCAGAACTCAGATCAGCGTTAAATACTCAAATGGAATCACTTGAACACCTCCAAGTTTCCTTTTACTGGAACATGGAAGATAAAGACTATGCGCGATACTGGAAGCGCGCGACATATGGCTCTTTGAATAAATTTCGAAAATTGAAATCACTGGATCTGGACCAGGCATTTCTTGATGATTTGCCAAAACTTCCAAAAAGCCTAGAACGGTTTGCACTTCAAAATTGTTACGAGTCTGTGTTTGAAACCATGTGCCACCTGGCTCGTGGTGTTAACCAGGGAGCTTTACCCTTACTTGATGAAGTCTACTTGAGTACAGACGTTTTATCCCCCGGGAAAATGCTGGGCTTGCCATTAAGAGGGGCTACTGATTTGCTGTTTGAAAAATCGTGTGATACCCTGAAGTCTTTGTTTACCGGGACAAGCGTTTGCGTGAAATTCGAGACTGATTTGTTGTCAAAAATTGCGGACGATTATAGTTTTGCATTTGAGATTGATAGGTCAGGTATCTTTTGGCCTTTGATTTATCTTGCCTGAATCAGGGAAGACAACCTTCTTTTCAAAAATATCATGTGCAGAAAGAGTTTTCAAAGAGTAAAAACGACGAGGATGGCAGTAGGTGTCCATTGAATAATAGCATTGGTTGAGCGTGGTGTCACTGACCTTTACCCAATGCAAATCTTTGGTAAGTGATTTGAAACCAACGGGGACACTCCCGATGACGTGAGGCACTAAGTAGCACCTTTCGGAGCCGGTTGGGCGTGGAAAGGTATACTTATTTGAAAACATGCTTCCAACGAACGACACGTGAAGAAGTTTCTGTTTACTTTCGCTTGCGTGTCTGTCCTTTTTTGAAAAGACATATCCTTAATATATCCTATGTATAGCAAAATTTTGCTGCTCCATCAGCTGTCTTTTTTCTCCATGCTCCCTTCTTATAGTAGTATTTGTATAAATGGTTTTATCATAAAAGTAGAGTAGAGTGAATCACGACGTAACTCTATACATGCGGGCTTAACCCCCTGCATGAGTATTGCTTCTCAGATAACAGAAATATCCATCAAATAGGTACGTAGGTCTCCTCAACGACTATAAATCTAGTAGCTTGTAGTTTAGTAAATCCTCTATGGAGAGAGAAAAGGTCATGCTGTTCATGACTTCTATAACATTTCAGAAAATAGCAAGAATATCTGATTAATGATGCCTGCCTGCCATTGATCCACTTCCTTGAAAATAGAGAATCACTGAATTGGTTTTTCTCACACAGATAATGTGCGAGCAACTAGGGAGAATTGGCAACCTATATTGCACTTAGCATTTCTGACTGGTCTAATATGGTATTGCATGCTTACATTGTCGTGCTGGATCTCTTCCAGGAGTCTTATTTCACTGTAAATTCGTTTTGCCGAGTTTTTGAAGCTCAGGTTTTTGCGTATCTTTTTGGTCGCAACATACTCGCGGTTTATCTCGTCAAATGCCGAGCTGTGTCGATTTAGAAAGCTGCGCAGGCTCCTGGGGAGTACGAGTATTGGCTAAGGCTACCTACCATAAAGCCCTGTAGCTCCCAGAGCCTAGTGATGTGATTGAGTTGTATGGTATCTTTAGTGTCCCGTTGGTATGCTGACCTAGATTGAGCGGTGAGATTAGGTCTTTGAGATAGTTCGAACACCGCTCCTGTAATTTGCTCTTTCGAGAGCATAGTCGTGCCATATTAATGAGACACTAGCGGAGGTTTCTAATCGGCCAGCGGAAGAAGTTCACACCTAGGTATATGTAGCAGCCGCTCTGCATATATTGGTTTTCGTTCAGTGTGTGGACGGGCAAGGCTCTACGACTCTACGACTCTGCGGCTACCGCAAACGGGCTTTTCGATCTCAATGTTACATAGCGTCGGTTTCGACGGACTGAGATACTGTCAAATGCGGAATATGTCGCGCTTGATGACTTGATTCAGGTCTTTCTTTCTCCACCTTATGGTCTTATTCTCACAATTGCCCTCTTTTATTCAAAAACTTTCACCTGCCCTACATCTGTCTACATTGGCCTTTGCTGCGTGTGTTACGGGGGCAGTCAGCAGTTTTGCCACTTTCTAGCTGGAAACATCTTATATCATATGGCACCAGTGTCAGACCTTATTAAACCCAAATCCAGCCCTGCAGTTTATGAATATAACTAGTCCGGCCGTGGCTTCGCAAAGACACTGCAGTCGCAAACCGTGGCTGTGGCTGGTATGGTGGACAAAATTCCCCATGGAGGCGCCTCACATCGGATGGAACCCTCGCCTCGGCCGTCAATGACCCGCCCGCAGCTTTATATCCAGACTTGGCAGAGCAGCTCTCTAAACTACAAGGCCTGTCGGGAATGGAACGTTTCCTGTAACCATGCGCAACCGCAGTGTGAAAACTGCTATCAGCAGCAAATTCTATGCTTTTACGTGGCCCACAACCAGAAGTCAAAGCGCAAGGCGAAGAAACGCGATGAACCTACGCCTTAGCAAACGAGCATCCGTTATGGGCAGCAAGCTTAGCCCTTGGGCACGACAGTTTGGACATGGGCTGGCTGGTCACAATGTCAAGTCTTGGTCCCAACCTGTTGCCACTAAGGCTTTTTAGCCAATAGATACAGGTAGATAGATGGCTGCGTGATACCGTTGACACTGGTCTCTCCCAATGGAGCGATATCTACCCTATTTATATGCAATCAAAACGTAAGCTGTTACATTCCACACTGGTGGGGTTTAGCATCCCCGACCCGGAATTTGAGCCTCGCCATTGAGATTTATGATCGTCTTCACTTTATCCGATGAAAAAGCTGAGGACTGCGTCACATTTCTCTTAGGGTACAAATCACGCTACGATGCCTCACACAGTACATGACCCACACCTGAAGTGATACACATAAAAAGAAATTTGGGTGCAGACCAACTCGATCAGTTTAAGTCCATCGCACCCAGTTGAGGTGTCATTGCGGCCAAAATCCTTCATCGGCTGACTCGTGATAACTCAGGACTTCCGAGTACATTACCGTCTTCCAAACATCAGCCGGGAGATCTGCCTCAAGAAAATCCCAGTCAAGTCTCTCTGCTGACACAGGTTCGTCAGTGGGGTCGTGGTACGGTGCAAGGTAGTGCGCCTCGAGAGCTTCCACCGCGGAGCACCGCTTTATCGAGTCTATCTGGAGCATTCTTTCTAACAAAATAACAGCTGGATTACGTCAGTATTGGGGCCTGGAATAGACAGAGTCAACAACATGCCCTTCCCATTAGAGTTTGGGATAATCTTTGAGAGCGGCTTCCGATCGCGCTTAGGTAGGGAGCGTATAAAGCCCAGTGTCTATCAGTCTTCAGTATCGGAGAATCACGATATCGGCGGCATATTTACGAACATTTAGGCTCTTTACATTCGCAATAACATTGTCAGGCGGGCTTCCCAACAATTGTGTAATCACACAGAACTGATCAATATGATCCTTCCCCGGAAATAGAGGTCTTCCCAGGATCATCTCGGCAAAGATGCAGCCCGCACTCCAGATATCCACTTTCTCGCTATACTTCTGCCAGGTGAGCATAATTTCTGGGGCTCGGTAGTACCGCGTAGAGACATATCCGGTCATTTGTCCTTCTTGCACACGGGCTAGACCGAAGTCACAGATCTTAAGATCGCAGTTCTCATTGATTAAGATGTTACTGGGTTTCAGGTCGCGGTGTATGACGCCGGCGGAATGAATGTATTTTAGACCGCGCTAGATTAAACACAGTTCAGCAGTGTTAAAGCGGCCGAAGTAATTTACGTACCAGTATTTGGTATACGAAGTACTGAGTGAACTGGTCTTCGATGATCTTTGTTTTTAGAAGTGTTTGAAGATCAGTCGTCATCATATCTGTCACAAGATACCTTGGAAATGTAATCAGAGACTTTCGCGTTGACAGTAAAAATGGTCCATACACATCTTCGGATGGAGAAATATAGATGTCTCTTAAGTGAATGAGCTAGAAATCTATTAGTTCGTTGGAAAAGAAATAGTGCTGTAGCAAGACCAACGTTCTCATGTCGAAGTTGTTCTAGCAGCTTGACTTCGCGATACATATGTTTTGCAATGTTATCGGAACGAAATGGACCTGCAAGCTTTTTGATGGCCACTGTCTGCTGTCCAAGCCGATCCTTTGCGGAGCTAAAGATGCCAAGTTGGGGTTTTCAGCTCCGGTCCTAGATTCAAAGCTCGTCCAGTATTTTGCTTACCATACAAGCCCCGAGACACCAACTCCAATGGGTTCCAGCAGTATGTACCTGTTCCCTAATTCTAGTATATATCATATGTATGGTGTGGTGAGTATTTAGGGCTAACCTCTTGGTTATTTCGAACACCGTGCCCATGATGGTCTGGTAGCTGAACTGAGCCACGTCGTGGCCGCCGCTTGCTGATTGGCAGATTGATTTAGACATGCCTGTTTCTGCAAGCATAACCGGGGAATGACACCCGGGCACCTGTTTAATGAAGTAATTACTCGATGCTCGTCGAGGTAGAGTGCCGGCTAACAGAGATTGTAAGCTACGACATCGAAATGTGCAGTGGTTAAGGTCAAGGATTTTCATATCGCACGAGCGGGAGCAACGTATTTTCCGCTTGTTACGTCATTGGCTGATACCACGAACACGGCGAAGTAAACGAAGTAGAGTCAAGTATATCAGCTTCAGCTCACTGGTCCGCTCATATCCTCTTGACTGCACAGATTATGGAACCGCCGATGTCGATTGGCCCGATACCTCCGACCGACCCAATCGGTATTCCGCTCCGGATGGACCCACGAACCAGTTGCATTTCGATCAGGGCAACAAATGGCGATCGCGACAATCACGCTTTTTGTGCAGCTCAATTGGGTACCCCGCTAGCCTAATACTGCGGAAGTATACGACGGTCCAGGTAAATCTAGTGGTTCTTGGGACTCTCGCTAATCCGCCTCAAAAAGTGTTTCATATCAATCCGTCCTCGTCACATATTTGTGAAGTAATCCAATATGACCAGCTCAGAGCCGTAACCCGCAGTTCCGGCTAAAGAGCCCTTTCGGATCCGCGATCGGAGGTTGGGGATGGGATTTGGCATTTCTAACAAATTACTGCAGAGCGGTTTAAACCCATACGGTGACGTCATCGAGACTGCCTGTCATTATTAGTAGCATAAGTCTTAGGATTTCTTTCCTTTACTCATTCGATGGTATGAAGCGGGGTAGCTGCAAAGGCCCCGCCTGCTTTCCTGATTCAGCAAGCCGTGAAATAATGTAGATGTTCATTGGTCGGCTGTTTCACCCGGAGATGATCGCCACTCGATTAGATGCTCTCTCCCCTCTCGAGTTACCTAGCAATGTTTCCGAGATCTGATGACATAGCATTGCGTCATCTCGAGTTGCACTCACGACCACATTCAACAATTACGTTTAACGCACAAGACGACTATAGAGATGACGTTTCAGCTGTGGTCATCTGGTTAGCGATACTAGTCACAGTGGGTGATTTATCCGCAAGCATGACTCAAGCCAAGGGTGCTGATGCGGATTTGCGCCAGAAGGGCTCTCATTTTGAGGTCGCTAGCCTTTCCTCTAAAGCCCCAGGCAACCGCGGCATCATCGCATCAAGGAGCTCCTGGGAACTTCCAAGGTTAGGACAAGGTTGATGTTCAGTAACTTTCAAGACCATGAGAGCACGCACGGTTCATACTTAAGCCAGATCAAAAAAAAAAAGAATTGTCTACTTCAGCATCTATACGATATTCGACACATTGTTTCGCAACAACATAAAATGACCGCTGTTCGCTTTCACGGTCGCGGAGATGTCCGCGTGGATGAAGTGGAAGAGCCGCTCTGTGGGAAAGATGAGGTCAAGGTAATAATTGCTAAATTATCAGATGAGAGGACCCACAATTGACTCGATTCCTGAAATATTCCGTAGATGAGACCAGCTTATGTTGGGATCTGTGGAAGTGGTATGTCCATCCAAATATTCTATTCCCACATTGAAATCTCATGCATGCTAACGTTAACAAGATATCCATGAATACATTTCAGGGCCTATTCTGGTGTCCAAGGAGGCCTATCCCGCGAATGGAAACGAAATCCCTGTGACACTAGGCCACGAATTCAGCGGTATCATAGAAGAGAGTAGGAGCGAACGTTAAGGGGTTTGGTAAGGGGCAGCGAGCAGTTGTCCGACCAACGATATATGACGGAATATGTGCTGCTTGCAAAAGCGGCAATAGACATTGCTGCGAGAATATCAGGTTTATCGGCCTTAGCGGTATGATCACATCTTTCCCAATCAACCTCCATCAAGCAAGATAGTGTTGCTGATTACTGGTACCCACCAGGATACGGCGGTGGGATGGCTCGTTTCATTGTAGCACCACTAGAGCACTTTTATGCATTGCCAGACAACGTCTCGTTGGAAGCGGGGGCACTCGTGGAACCACTAGCAGTGGCTTGGCATGCAGCCAAGTTATCTCCATTCAAGGCTAATGACACCGCACTTGTCCTGGGTGGAGGACCCATCGGGATCGGCGTGATCCAAGTTCTCAAATTGCGGGGAGCGAAAAATATCATCCTTGTGGAGCTAATGGAGAATCGCAAGAAGCTTGGGAAGGAGCTCGGTGCCACGCACATCTTTGACCCGAAGGAATGCGATATACCTGCAGAAGTTTCGAAAGTGACTAATGAGGTGGGTGCAGATGTCATTTTCGACTCTGCTGGAGTGGAGGTTGCTCTGAATGGAATTATTGGAGCTTGTCGTGTTCATGGGACGATTGTCAATATCGCCGTTTGGGAGAATAAACCGTCGCTTGCTGTCAATGATATGACATACAGCGAGATCAACTATATGGGAGCTGCACTCTATGATGAGCAGTCATTTCTCGATGTGATCAAAGCCTTGAGCTACGGTCAGTTAATTTATAGATGTTGCCACCAATCTAGTGTAGGATCTTGCTAACTGTTGATTTAAGACAACTCAACACCGATAAGATGATCACGGCAAGGATAAAGTTAGCAGAAGCGGTGGAGAAGGGCTTGCAGGAGTTGGTCAATCATCGCGATCGCCACTGCAAGATTCTCATCGATGCTCAGGCGTAATAATTCTGCGAGAGAAAATACCGTCTTCGGTGTCAACACAAGTAGATTTAGATGTAGAAGCGCTCTGGCTCGAGATAGATTGTGAAGTCTATTTACTCTTCCAATGACGGCCAAAGACTTCTCCCAACTTAATCGTATATTCATTTTACGAACTCGTGTATTTATGCATCGTCTATGTAAAAATAGTCAGGACAGTAGGATGAGAACCATCGATCACCCAACGCCGTACACAGGAATCTTCGTAAATCGCCAAAGGACCGAAAGCTCCTGCTCTCTCAGTACGAGCGGAAGGCCCCCGTATTGAGCCCATCCTATCTTCTTCTTGCAGCTGAAGCTGCGATCGAACACTCAGCTGAATGGTCTTTGTGGTGGGATCAATGCTGTGGCCATCTCTGTGATGTCAATGTGATGGTGGGGCGATGATGACCATGGTCGGGATGATGGTGATGACGGCGATGACGGTAGTCGTGATCACCATGCTTGTGGCCTCTGAATCGACTACGAACATCGTGAGGGCGGTCAACTCGAACTGGTTCTTTTTTAAGCGTAGTGGCCTATGAGAGCATCAATTTGACTTGGAAGGGCAGTCATGCGAGACAACTGTGAGTATATCATGATTTAACCGTATGGAGAGCTGAAATCTCCCAATCTTGTACATATCGTATCCAGAGCTGCTTCTAATATTTGTCGTAGCGTTGAAGAATCACGTAAATTATTTGAATGATGCATATCCTGGGTTTTCCTGCGGTCAAGGGAAGGCAACTGATAAAGCACAGTAAAGAATGCACCCCCGTCAAACCCCCCGTGCCATGGGACCCGATTGTAAGTACGAACCTGGCGGGAATAATAGGTTCTTACGTTGGAGAAATTTATTCTGGTGCGGATGGGATAGATTGCTGGAGGACAGAAGTATAAGTCGTTTGTTGGTTTTTAGGCGAGGAGGTGATGGGCGGTATCGGTTGAGGAAGCTGAGGAGAGTACGTTGGTGGGACTATTGTGGTATGTACGTGACTTGGAGTCACTTCATAATACTCGCGACATAACTAGTGTGAGACCCTATGAGACCCAGCCTGCAATCGTAACGGTACAAGTCAATAGCGAAAACGGCTTCTACCCCCCCAGACTGCATTTCTTCTCCCATGCCGCACTGCCAAGGCCTTAGCGCAGATCATTTATTGATCGGAGTACATAAAGTTGAGGGTCAGTGTGCCAAGCCCGTGTACGGTAATGTAGCTCCTCCGTAAAATTACACCTCCGCTCTAAATTTTAGATAGTCAAGCTTGGTTGTTATGGTGCTAGGTACGCGGTATTCTACGGTGGTCCTCAACTTGGTGTGGTCTGGCCATTACAAGGCCTGCGCTAGTGCCTTGGCAGTGGTGCCTGAGAGAAGAAATGCAGTCTGGGGGGGGTAGAAGCCGTTTTCGCAATCGACCTGTATCTCTGGATTGTTAGCTAGCTCCTGCGAGGGAGTCGTAATAGCCTGGGAGCACTGAGGGTCCTGGCCGCGCTTGTGGCAGTCCTAGGATTGCGTGCCCCGTCTCCAGGATCAGGCTGTTGTTTCCTGGGAGCTTCGGACGCTCTAGGAGCAGCCAAGTATTCCCCGGGAGCAAGCATGTTCAGTTATCACCCCACTACAGTTTGAATACGTTTTTGTTTGCTGTGCTCAGAAATCATTGTTCCGGCTGCGACTGTTTACGTGAAGCGTGAAGACACCAGTGAAAAGGTTTTTCTCCGAGAATATCATCTGATTGATCTGATGAATTCGGACAAAATCAATACATTTTCGCTGGGAAGAGCTACTAGATGAACCCCGTTAACTCCTGGAGGGTGTTTGTCATTATGTCAAAAATTAAACATTATTGGCTCTGTCGCCCCACCATTTATTGAAGCCCGTGCATTCCCTAGTACCCTCCCCCCACCCCCAAAGCCTAGCGGTAAGTTTCCTTTTCTATTTCACTCTGGGCTGGCAGGTTAGTGACGTAGGTTCTTGTCTGTCTATGCACAGGATTCCATGGACAGTATCGTCATTATGTCGGCTTCGCTAAGAAGTAGTCTTATAAACTACGCTTGAGTATATTCCGTCTCGTTGCAAGCTTGCCGTCTGGCGGCTTCAGTCGTAGTTGTGTTGGGAGGGATGGGTCTTTGGTGTCGCACACCGCTGGTGGGGACATCGCGAGAGTTTCTTTGGCCGGCTCCATGATTTTCGCTCAGACCCACAAGAGACGATATTTGGGACTGGGTATGCGCTACCATGGCGAGAGTATAGGCTTCCATGGTAATATGGGTCAAAGGGTTGCTATCAACAGAGTCGAGTATGGAGACGGGCATGGTGGGCTGTAGCGGTTGCGCTACTTTCGGTCACTGGAAAGGTCTACGTTGTAACACAATGCTATCAGTCTTTGCGTCTGCGAAAAGTAAGGAATGAAGACTGGCTCGACAAGACGGTATGGTAATAAATCTAGTATGCTTACCTTTGAAACAGAGAAATTAGCCTCGGCGAGGAAGTACAGTGATCTGACTTGAGGATAGGATTGGCAAAGGTGTAAAAGGGTATGCTTCTGCAAAATTGATGTATGAAGCAAGTGGATGTAAAGAAGTCAAATGGCAGAGGCCCTGAATGGAAATCTCGAGGAGTCGCACGTGACTGATTGATCGATCCACAGAGTATGTCAGTGGCGTCCTAGTCCCTGTGTTCGCTGGACGGAAAAGAGCGATTGAGTTCCTGCAAAATGTGGAGCGCCAGGAACCGCGATGACGTCGAGGGAACATACGATATCATCCGCTCACAGCCAGACGGCGCATTTTAAACCCGTACGAAGTCCAACCCGCGCCTCGACTGGATACCAGAGCCTGCGATGTTTCTCAGAGACTATAATGCGCGATAATATGGCTTTAAACAACCAGACCAAGGAAATGTCGTGTTTCGACGTGACAAAGGAGCGAGAATTCTACAGGTCGGCAAAAAGTGCAGCGCTGCTTAACTAACGTAATTCACAAGCGGGTGGCCCACACAAGCGAGTGGCCCACCCCACCTGAAATCGCTCATTCCTACCTACCTACCTAATTCAACTACCTACTATGCCACCAATTCGCACTGAATCTTCGCAAAAACCGGCCAATCAGGAGGGCAAGATCCTATTAGCCCTTGATGATATAAAAAATGGCTGTATCAAATCAATTCGCGCAGCCGCGAAGCTATACGATATCCCCCACAGAACGCTATCTCGGCGGGCGAAAGGAACACTCTCACGCGTCGATACACGCGCAAATTCGCATAAATTGACCCAATTAGAAGAGGATTCGCTTGTTCAATGGATCTTCTCTATGGATACGCGTGGAGCAGCGCCTAGGCCTGCTACCGTACGAGAAATGGCCAATATTCTGCTTGCAGCGCGTGGAATAACCCCCCCTCCGACCGTTGGTGTTAATTGGGTATCAAATTTCGTTAAACGGCGCGATGAGCTTCGAACACGCTTCTCTAGACGATATGATTATCAGCGCGCTCTTAATGAGGACCCAAAGGCTATAAAAGAGTGGTTTTGGATGGTGCAACGTACAATCGAGCATAACGGGATCCAACCAGAGGATATCTATAACTTTGATGAAACCGGCTTCGCAATGGGCCTTATATCAGCGCAGAAGGTAGTAACGCGAGCAGAATACTACGGTCGGCGATCAATCCTACAGCCAGGAAATCGTGAATGGGTTACTGCGATCGAAACGATATGCGCTGATGGCTATTCGCTACCACCGTGTATTATATTCAAAGGCCAGGTTTATATTGCTGGTTGGTTTGAATCAAATCTCCCTAGGGATTGGCGAATCGAGGTTTCGAATAACGGCTGGACTACTGATGAGATTGGCCTACGTCGGCTACAAAAGATCTTTATTCCATGTACTAATTCGCGCGTACGAGGGCGATTTCGTCTATTGATCCTCGACGGGCATGGTAGCCACCTTACGCCTCAATTCGATCAAATCTGCGCTGAAAACGATATTATACCCCTCTGTATGCCTTCGCATTCATCACATTTACTACAGCCGCTTGATGTTGGGTGTTTTGCTGTTTTAAAGCGTGTATACGGTCGATTTGTGAGCGATTTAGCCCGAACTGGCTATAATCATATCGACAAGCTTGATTTTCTAGCAGATTATCCTCGCGCACGGCTAGAAGCTTTTCAGCCGAATATTATTCAAAGCAGCTTCGCAGCTACTGGTATCGTACCAGTTAATGCCGATAGAGTGCTTTCGCAGCTTAATATTTCTCTCCGAACGCCTTCACCACCATCAAGCCGACCAAGCAGCAGATCTAGCCAATTTACACCAAAAACACCTAAGACAGCGATCCAGCTAGCAAAGCAAGCTTCTATGCTCAAAGAGCTTCTAAAACAGCGATCGCATAGCCCGCCTACACCGTCGAAAATTATGCTAGATCAAATTATCAAGGGCCACTGCATTTCGCTACATCACGCTGCGCTACTAGCAAAGGAGAATACTGATCTACGCGCAGCGAATGAAAAGAAACGTCAAAAGCGCACTCGATCGACTAGGCAGATTGCACACGAAGGGGGCTTATCGATCGAAGAGGGCCTACAGCTAGTTCAACAGCCGATTGAGCCTATAGAAGCTGATAAGGTAGTATCGCATGAACAGAGCGATACCCCTATTCAGCCGATTCAACCAGCCAGGAGGGCTCCTCCTACCTGCAGCGGATGTGGAATAACTGGCCATAGGATTAATCAATGTAAAAATCGCTAGTTTAGGATGAATTAATACGTTTGTGTTGATATATTCGCCTTCAAAACATTGTAATGGGAATACGTTAGTTGAGGAACTTGCTGACTCAGCCAGATATCTCCCACGTGGCCACGCTACGTTTCCCTTTGCCCCCTTTGACGAGTGCGGTCAAGAGAAATTCGTTCCAACACCATCGGAAGACCATGTCTTGACATCGTTGGCTCAGCTGGGGGCCATGCGGCTTGGCGCGGAGCGGGCAATCATCTCGCTGTTCGGACCCACGCACCAATACATCCTCGCCGAAGCCACGGGATCGCCAATGGGCGACGAAATACGACTAGGATGTTGCATACTGCCAATAGGGAGTGGCGTATGCATCGAGGTTGCCGAATTACCTCTTTCAGAGCCATCGGATAATCCGGCAATAGTTGGGGGAGCGCTGGTCATACCAGACGCACATACTAGCAGGTACATTAAGAAACACAGTCTGGTAAACAGGCTTCTCAAGGCGCGGTCTTGCGCTGTAGTGCCAATAGTGTCCCCTCGAGGGAGCACGATAGGATCATATGGCATATTTGAAACGCAGCCTCGACGATCCGAAATGGATCCATCATCAATAGACTTTATGAAGCACATGGCGGCGACGGTGATGGAGCACTTGGATACCGTACGGTCGAAGCACCTGAATAGTCAGGCCAAGCGGATGATTTTTGGTCTTGGCAGCTTTGTGGAAGGCAAGACCACGCTTCGTGGTTCCTGGCTGGAGTCAGAGGAGCAGGAGGCTGCCGCCGGGTGGACGAGGGAGCCGGTTGAGGGACAGTTGAACCAAAACGAGCAGGATTTCCAGGAAACACAGACTCAAACGCGGCAGTTTTCTCATCGCCCAAGGGAACATGTAGCGTTTTCCAAAGAGGAATCGAACAAGCGCCACAAAGTGAAGACATCATATCGATCCTCGGCTTCCGGCGACAAACTGCCTGACGACACCACTCCGGCTGAGTTGCAGCGGGTATGCTCCCGGGCGGCTAACTTGATTCGTGAGTCTATCGAAGTGGAGGGAGTCGTTTTCCTAGACGCGAGGATTGAGTCTTTTGGAGGTCTCGTCGGGTACGAAGCTAGGGGGGAGGAGGACAAGGTCGAGCAGTGAAGACAGCACCAACTCGGGCAGCGGAGACAGTGCGTTTTTGCCCACACTCAGTTCGTCCCCTCCGAATCCCGAGGACAATACCACTACCTGCCGCCCTCTGGGCTATTCCACCACTCAGACTTCCACCGTAAATGCCTGCGACCGTCGTGCAACATCACATGACTATGCAGTGCGAGAGATTGTGCTCAAGGCAATGATGAACCGCTACCCGCAAGGGAAAATCTTCAACTATACGCAGGACGGCTTGTTATCCGACGATATCAGCACCAGTGCCAGGACACAAGGGACAGAGGGTAGCGGTAAAAGGCCACGGCGATGCCACAAGCAAGATGCAGATGACTTGAGTAAGGCACTCGGAGGTGCGCGTAGTGTCATTTTCCTTCCTCTTTGGGACACGCACAAGTCGAGATGGCTCTCTGGGGTCCTTGTGTGGACGAATACTCCCAAACGCGTTTTTACGACTGAGAATGAACTCGCCTATCTCCGAGCATTTGGCAACAGTGTCATGGCAGAGGTACATAGGCTGGACGTGGAAATGGCAGAAAAGGCAAACACGAACCTCATCACCAGCATATCGCATGAGCTGCGAAGTCCGCTGCACGGCATTCTTGGAACCGCAGACATTTTGTGTGACACTGCTATGAACGCGCTGCAACAGGGCATGGTCCATACCATCGAGTCCTGCGGCCGAACATTACTCGACACCATCAACCATTTGCTCGACTTTACTTATATTGACAAGTTCAAGCAAGACCCTAAGCTGAAGAAGAAGCACCGGCGCAAGACCATCCGCGAAGCCTCAGCTCAGGAGCAGGTGAAACTCGAACGTACTTCGCCAAGCAACATTAAGGACTCATTCGAGGATGTCCAGCTCGACTCTGTACTCGAGGAAGTCGTGGAGAGTGTTTTTGCCGACCACAGCTTCTATCATCGCCCTCGCACCCAGCATCGACATGGTAATGCAGATACTTCGCAAGCTATACATCAGCCAAAGCAAGTGACAATCGTCTTTGACATCCAGGAGGCCACTGAGTGGAAATTCTTTACCCAGGCCGGGTGCTGGCGCCGCATTTTGATGAACGTTTTTAGCAATGCACTGAAATACACCACGCAAGGCTACATCTACCTGCGGCTGACAGCAACTGAATCACCTTGTGCGGCAAGGAAGGATTCCGACGGGTCACCGGAACCTAACGACCGATATCTCGTCACTCTCACTGTCAAAGATACCGGGCAGGGCATCAGCGCAAAGTTCCTACGAAATGGGCTGTTCACTCCGTTTTCGCAAGAAGATACACTCTCGCCTGGTAGCGGACTCGGACTGAGCATTGTGCAAAAAGCACTTCGCTCGCTTGACGGCTCGATCGATGTCAGTTCCGAGAAAGATCGCGGTACCGAAGTATCCATTCAGGTGCCGCTCAAACTTGCCTCGCTGCCAGACAAATCAGACGGGTCATCTTCGAACGCGGCATACAGCCTCATACGGAAAGAAGGTGAAGGGAAAACCATCGGCTTACTGGGATTCGGCTCTTCCGCCTCTTCTGATCGGGATGCCACGCTGTACAACGCGTTGAAGCGCGTGTGCGAGGACTGGTTCCATCTTACCGTCAAAACAGTCTCTTTGCATGGCGACCGCACTCCCTGCAACTTTTACCTCATGGTCCACACTGATCTGGATGGATCAGATGCCGAAGGAAACCAGCAGTTCAACCTCCTCGATCTAAAGGGCATATCACCGCTCATTGTCATATGTCAGTCTCCGGAGACTGCGCATAACATGTTCGTGCGCACAATGACCTCAAAGCGCGACCGGGACTCCATTGTTGAGTTCATCAGCCAGCCCTGCGGGCCGCGCAAGCTCGCGAAAACACTGGAACTGTGTATTCGCCAACTCCATGGCGAAGGTGCCCACCGTGAAGAAGGGACCCGCTGGGTTGAAGTGCCGGAATCCTCGCATCTGCCGCTGGACATTGACACAAGAGACGCGCCGAGGGACAGAATGAAGATTAGCAAACGGCCTACCACGGATACATTTGGAAGCCAGGATAACGGAGAGTTTGGCAGCTCCGTTGCAAGCCCACCCTTGGAACATCATCCCATGCCGGACGGGGGAGCACTCCGGAGCATCACCGACCATGCGCATTACTCGTCGAGGATAACCCGGTGAATCTGAAGATCCTCAAGACCTACGTGACAAAGGAAGGCTGGAGTTGTGAGACCGCGACCAACGGACTCGAAGCCGTCGAGCGGTTCCGCGAGAACCCCAGCAAGTTCGTCCTGGTCGTCATAGGTCGGCTTAGCTCTCCACCCTCAATCTCAACCAAGCTAACAAACAATTCAGACATCTCAATGCCGATAATGGACGGCTTCAAAGCCAGCCGCACGATCCGCGACTTCGAGCGAACGCACTTTGACAAGAAATTCTCCTTAAAGCCACCATGGTCCCCGACAACAATCACCGCGTTAACCGGATTGGACAGTGCGGCTGCGCAGCAGGAAGCATTTGCCTCTGGGATCGACACCTTTCTCACCAAGCCGATCAAGCGGCAGGATATTCGCGTTCTGCTAGAGCGGTGTAAACCATGACAGAGTGCATTATGCTTTGGGAAAAAAGGAAGGAAACGTTAAATTCTTAATACAAGTTCTGAACCCTAATTAGTTCTCGAACTCCGGTTATTTAGTTCTGGGACTTCAGATCTAGAGTTCCAGAACTAAGACCCTATGATAAGCTTGGGCTTCGGGTGTCTTTTGACCCGCGCTCCCCCCGCCCAGCTGGGACTATTATGATGCAATCCTTGGGATCAAAGTAAAGTATAGCGCAACATTATATACGAAGATAGGGGATATTACGAAGGAGGATTTTAGGACAGCATAGAGGAAGCAAGATACAAAAACAACACGACCAGTACGGTCTTCGTCTAACACTTGGTCGAAGTTGCAAGAAATTTAACGGTCATCAGAAGCCCCTGTACTACACAGACAATGATCATGGTCCAGGCAAGGTTCAGCCATGAGTGCAGGCTTCGCGATGATTTGTCACCAATAATCAGCCATGAAGAGCGGGGAATACCCTCATTCAAGACCTCAACAATGATGCCGATGTATGTGTATACGTCAGTTGTGGCTACCTCGCTAGAGCTCAACTTGGCGACCCATAGCTTACTCAGGGTGCTGTAAATGGCGGGAGGGGCAAAAGGCAAGTAGGTTTAAGATTGCGGATCCAATAAAGCTATGAAAACTGCGGTCAGCATCCATCCAAACTTCACTCCTGACATACTAACGTCTCTCGACTCCAGAACGCACGTGTTATAGATAAAAGCTCCTCCCTTTCGCCTGTCCTCTCGCAAGATTGACGAGCAGCTTCATCTTGAACCGTTGTAGATGTTGCGCTGGTCCCCATATTATTTTTTTTCCTCCTCGTTAGTGAGCTATACTGCGCGCAAAAATGAAAAGAGGATGGAGAGTTTCCAGGCGGTGCGTTCCCAAGCCTTTACCGAGGCGCCAAAGTGAATGCGGGGTCCAAGAAGCGTGCATTGCAACTGCATCAGATCCCTTTACCTGCGCCGAATTTCAGATTTTACAGATATTTTGATTTTTTGTCTCAAGTCAGGACGTAATGAGGCTTCATACGATGATATCGACACGTATTTGAGTCAAAGGGTCGTCATGCCACAAACCCCAAGGGGAAGTTGGGACCAAGGTAGAAACCACCAATGGAGTCCCAACTTGACTCTCATTCAGCGCTTCTTTCGCCGCCTTTCTGTAATATGTCTAAACACCCTGTTGCGCATGGACCTTTTTGCTGTGGCAGAATCATGGCAGAAACCAGCGACCGGTAAAGAAGGGTGATGAGACTCTTCGATTCCCTCAAACCCGTTCGTAATCAGTAAATCTGTGCCTATCTGCGAGAATATTTGGAATTTGACATAAAGTCGAAATCGCGACATCCATCAGTATTTTGAGTCAGAATGATCCGAAACCGCGTTGATCTAAAACTAGTGCGTACAGCAAAAAAAAAGCACAATGCTTCTTATGGGACAGGGCAGGGTTGCTTCTCCAAAGTGGAGCAAGGAGTAGCGTGGCACCAATCATGTCGTGCTAGTTGTGATGCCCAACGTGATTCCAGAGTCGTTCTGAGAAACCTATATAGCCTAGTCACATATTATAGCAAAATACAAGTTTAGAGGACAAGAAGAACGGGAAGCCAGATTCTTCCACTGAAAAAATGAACACGCGCCCTGTATCTCGAATACGAATGCCTAGGCAAATGTCCACCCCGTACTGCAGAGCTGTATTGATGCCATTCTTTCTCCAGATTCAATCTTCGTCGGTCCCATTTTTGTCGAAGAGATTTCCCCCAGATTCCTGTTTGTCGATACATCTCCCAAATTGACATACTCGCTCGACGAGGAAAGTAGTGATGAAGAAGAAAGGGTTGGCTCTTACTTGAGTCTGGGTATATACCTTACGGGCCTATAAGGGAAAGTGAAGAGTCATGATAAAAGGTCGATGCAATAAGTGACGCTCCTTCATACTCAACATGTCACGTAGCAGTCGGAAAGCGTGTAACTACCGAGTGAGATTTTTGCGAAGAGAGACGTGATTCCTCGAGCATTTTTCATCCATTTAAGCCAGAGGGAGCATAAGGTAGGGATTGAAAAGAGGTAACTTCGCCAGAGTTTAAAGAGGGATTACCATTCGAAGACTGAAAAATCCCCCCCAGGTCCACTTATCAGAATGCCATTTCGACCCAGAATTGCAACCGTGTTGAATTTCCAGTCCTGATTAAGTTCCTTATACAGTACAGGAAGATGTTTTGAAACAAGCATAAAAAAAACCTTTGTTCTTGTCTTTGAGTCTCTGGGTTAACCTCTGGGCTGGTTTAGAGATATAGTCCTGTTTTTTGAACATGTTTTGACTTCTTTGAGAGCCAAGACTATTTCCAGGGTTGTTACGTTACATGTACCTTAGAATGAAAACGGAATTCCTTCCCTAACCACAGTCCATTGGGTTTTGTTCCATGGATCCTGAGGCCAAGAAACACACACAGTAGATAATGCTGACACATAAAATCTGAAGCTCCCTTTAAATGGCATGCTCTTAGATATATTCAATGTTTCCTATTTCTTAATCTCTGACAACACTCTGCTGTTACTTCCCAAGATATATCGTTCTTTTGCTTCCTGGAGTGTCTCCCACTGCTATTCTATTATGAACGACCAAGCCAATCACGTATCCAGCTACTGGATGAACAAATTGCACGCACATGTCGCTCGTGTGAACACGAATCACAACGAGGGCCGAGCAGAGAAGGGAAGAAATGGAGAGATGCTTTCTGGACAAAAGCCACAAGGCACCTTTCGCGTTCGAGACAACGACATGAAGAGAATTAAGAAGCGTCATGACGCAAAGCGCGACCGCAAGGTCCGATTCGAAGGGGTTCCGGAAAATGGATCTGTCGACGGCTCTTTACCCTGTCAGTCTGATGATTTTCATTCTTCGGCTAACCGGTAAGTCACTACGTCTCAGAATATTGTGATGCTCTGTCTTTATTGTCCCATATAAAATCTAACCAGTGTCTCTACAGTAGCGTGAGCAAAGCAACAAAGTAAGTACTCGTGGCCAGCCTCAGCTCATATTCCGTGAAACTTCTTGGATTCCGCAGTCAAGAGTCTTCAAGGTAGAAAGACGCTATTGGTTGGCTCGAAAGTTTGGATAGCAAATCCAACATGGGTTGTCCGGAAACCCTTGCTGGTGATGTGAGGATTCTAGCTCGACAGATTGGAACCCTAAAAAGGGAGATGGAGAAGATGAAGCAAATGCTGGAGAATATGCAGTGAACTCTACTCGGGAAATCAAAAGGTCATACTTTTTTTCAAGTAATCTTAGTCGATGCATAGAAATTTTGATCGTTGACCAAAGTTTCCGAAACTTATGCAACGCTTTTTGAACAAGTATTTTGATGGCGTTGCTGGGCTCCCTTGCCGTCAGGATTACCAGCCTCTGAGAGATGCAACAGCCTGGCAGGTATCGATGCACACGCGATTTCAATGGCAGTGGAAGACTGAATACGTATACATACTTTAAATTCCAGTACGCCAGCTGTTGAGAAAAGAATAGATCAGCTTAGTTTATATGTAGCGAAGGCGCTCCAGTCGCTTATTTTAGCTTACCCTGGCTTTCAGTCCCTGGGTGCAGTCCCTGGGTTTGTCTTAAAAAGCATTTTGGGTCCTTCGATAATCGATAATTATTCAATATCGAGAGGATTGTGAGGTGATTTAACGAATGCTGAGTGACTATGGAGACCATGAATGCTGGGCGCGACGATATAATCTTCCGACCACGGAGTCGGCGTCGACATCTCTTCATCGGTGGGTGGTACCTCGGTCGGTTTATGGGTGTGGGCACACGAAGTACCCTGGTCATCCCTGTGCTGACAAGTGAAAAAAAGGTTTGAGCGGCATGAGGCGTTGCAGTGGCTGCGACTTGCGGCGGGAAATATGTCGGCTAGGCTGAGGGAAAGCATTTTTTTTCTCACGGAGGCGAGAGCAAAAATTTTGCTGGCGAAGATTTCTGCGGGCGGGCAATCGATCTGCCAAGGCGAGTCTTCCATGGAACGACTCTACATATTGGCTGCGTGAAAACCGTTTCACATCGTTGAGCAATGTTGAGACCAATGATTTGCAAATTGATTGGCTATTGTGCGAGCGAATCTTGGCAGACTTCTGAAGCCACGAGAAACTAAACTGCCAAGGCGAGTAGCCCGTGGCATGCCACTTCGGTCTAGACCTCATACCAACTGCGTTGAAGGCCGTTTGACCCAGGTGAATCAACGTTGATGAGAGGATTGATTTGTCACGCATCGCATCATGCCAACCACGGCTCCAGGTGGATCCAGCCACTCCGCCCGCTCTCCACTCCAAACTCTTGAAATTTCTTATTTCAACGTTGAATCAACCGCCTCAACACCCAGCAAAATTAGGGTCGCCCGGTGCGAATTTGAAGTCAAAATCTCTGGGTCCGGCAAAATGTACGCAAGTGGTCGCTGCCGGAAGCCCTACTTAGAATGGCATAAAAGACGCTCTTTTCTCGTCGAGAAGAAAAGCAGGACTTTCCTCCTCACACTCCCGAGCCACTCGGGTGTTCTTCGCAGGATAAGATCTGCGTTACCAAAAATTCTTCGCGGGAAAGGCCCCGCGTAATCAAGTTTGCCTCGCAGGGGGACGCTGCGTTACCAATTGAACTCCGCAGGAGGGTGCTGTGTCAGCAAGTTCTCCCTCACAGCCAATGAGCCCTGCGTTTATAAATGCGCTCCCTCACAGCCAATGAGCCCTGTGTTGTATAAATGCGCTCCCTCGCAGCCAATGAGCCCTGCGTTGTATAAATGTGCTCCCTCACAGCCAATGAGCCCTGTGTTGTATAAATGTGCTCCGCAGGGACATCTGCGATATCAAGAGCCTCCGCAGGGGGACGCTGCGACACCAAGTTCTCCCTCACAGCCTTGAGCCCTGTGATTGTATAATCTTGAGCTTCCATGCAGCCTTGAGCCCTGCGTTATCAAATTTGCGCTTGTTAGGCCACCCGTGGCGCCGCGGTCCTCGTCCTGATCCTCTGGCGATTGCAGGCACCTCTTCGTGGTGTCAGAGACTAGTATTCGAGGGAGTTACTCGAAGAAGCCAAGACCTGCTTCAAAGACCCAATAGAAATCAAGAATCCCCCCCAAGGAAGCTTTGTGTATGCGCACTTCAAGATTCAATGTAGACTCCATCATGCGTGGCCATTATTAGCGCAGTGTGTTTTGTAGCCTTCTATTATGCTCTGATTTTCGATAATACGCATTTTCTTACACGTAGCGTGAAGTAGAGCATTGAGTCAACGCGGCCGGTTGGAATCACGGCGTATGATAGCGGGGTGGCCAGTCTGGGTGGCGGCTGAAATCCAAGTAGTCTCCATTGGTGTCAATGCTTTTCTCTTCTGGCTAGCGGTCAGGATTTGTCTGGATGTAGGGAGATACGGAGTTTCGACGGTGAGTGGGTAGTGTGTCGGTGTGTGATGGTGTTGGCGTGTTGATGGCGTTGGCGTGTTGATGGTGAGAATTGGAGGTGAGTGAAGGTTGAGAATTGGTGATGATGGTGATGGGGACCGAACCAGTGAATCGTGAATCCATGTTGATGTGCAGTGCGGGTGACTCCCGGGCGGTGAAGTGGTGGCCAACGGTAAACACTCATCGCCGTCAGAGTGGGGATCTTTGTTCCTTCACGAATGCAAAAGTTGATAAACAGTGCGAAATGATGGTTTTTTACATACTAGATTCGATTTGGTAGTATGTACATACTCCGGTCGCTCTTCTGTAAGACGTTCTCTCGGCTCGAGCTTCTTTGCATGCTCTTTCGCGATATTTTGTATTTGAGGTAGTGCCGCCGCATGCTGAATTGAAACCGATAATATATATATACCCAGGCCAGCGCTAACATATATATTACCAGCAACAAAGCGGCAAAGAGCCAGTAGGGCACCAGCAATAGAAAGCCTAATTCTTCCGAAAATATTTCAAATATCATTTTGTGTCGGCCTCATCAAATGAAAGTCAAGTGTGCAGCTCAAAACACTGATCTTGCTGGATGTGTGCCCGAAAGAACGGCGCGTATGATTATTTGGAAAATGGTGGCTATAATCAAGCAAAATTCGCGCGTCAGCGCCTCTCCTTTCGTGGTCTAATGGAATTTCCTGCATTGGCTTTCAAATAACGGCTCGGGTTCGATTCCTGCAGGATACATCCAGATGACCTTTCATCAGAAAGACGGATCAAAACCCGCTTGATTTTTCCCTGTCATTTCGCATTTTCTATGGTTGATTTTTGCCTCTCGGCCACTTCCTTATTACAATGAAACCACTTTTCATAGTCACTTGAGCATGCCGACCCCAGGCGACGAGGCAGAGCACTGCCGTGTCGCAGCGTATCGCTTCGGGTACATGTGATATGCCCACCCACACTGATAGAAACATGACGGCTACCTTTGAAGTCAACAAATGCGTCTTATCCACGAGTTATCACAAACCCACCTGGCGTCTTTTGAGTCATAATTGAACAGTTGTAACCGTCGCGGCGATCGACTGGCCATACTCTATGAGGCTGCTTCTGCTGATGAGTTCATGGCGTTCGGTCATGACATCGAGGAGGGAGCATTCGATTGGCCCGCGGCCACATTGGGAGAAAATAGCCATCTTCATATCAGCGATTTGACCATATGGTCGGTTGGCTGCCCAAATTCTTCGCTGATGACGAGAGCGTACTTGCCAGCTTCGTTTATGAAGTAGGCCATGGTGGCAGCTTTGAATCGCTGCCTGCATTGGGTCAGGGTTAAAGCAATTTGCCGCTGGATATACCTAATCTAGCACCAACTATCAGCAGCTGGTGCAAAATAGTCTTTCGCAACTTACCTTGCTCGCGGCCTAGATGAGGTCCCCAACCAGCTATAATGAACTTTCTCGATCGGACTCGTCAGAACGGCTGAACTAGGGCTGTCTTTCACTGCCCCTCTATGTTAACATGAATTCTGGTGACCGAAGGTGGCATAGACCTGCCGTAATGCTGCCTGGCATCAGTATATGCAAACCACGGACTAGGTAGCTGGCTCAGCTTGATCACACGTGGAGGGCCTGGGACCACTTTATACCACGGGGAATGGATGTAGCCATACCTGCCCATGCACGGCTCTGGGCAAATCTGCAACCATGTCAGGGCAAAGTACCACTGGACAAGAGATTCATGGTATTTTTTTTGAGAAAAACTTCGACCTGACCTGAAAATGACTGCTCTCGCGGCGAGGGATCTATGATAGATCTAAGCCACAGCCTATCTTATCGCTTGCTCAGCTGACATCAGGGTTGAAATAACTGGCCTTCAGACTTTCGCCAATAGCTCGTTTCAATCTTCTGATTGATGCTCTTCGGAAAAATAGTTGTCTTTTCTAGGGTCGTCGATTCTCGGCTTCTCTTCGTCGCGGATGCTCCGGCGGTTCGCTCGGTCAACAGTGAGGCTGGCTCATGGCTACCGACAAGCCTTCGGATCGGACGTAGGCAGGAGGTTCATAGCCGTCAGGATATTGCGAGTTACTAATACATAGGCTGTCAACCTTTGGCCGGACCGGGTGAGGCCGAAGAGACGAAATGAAAACACTTTGGACTGTTACCGTATGGCTAACCAGAGGACATCAAGCCTTTCTGAATTGGGTCCGCTCAATGCGTCAGGCCTAGTGGCCGTGTCAACCACGTCTTCAGAGACAAAAAGGCGCAAGCGTAGTCAGATCCAGTGGCTTGGCCTATCAGGTTGTTGCAGCTGGTTTAGTTTCGATCACGAGGGGGGAACATAGCTCGGTCAGGTCGAGTGTAAAATTGGAGCTCGCCCTATGACGAAAAAGAATCATCAGCAATTTTTCTGAAGAAAGAAGAGCCACGAGCGGATAGCGATCATTTTGAGATTGAAAATGCAGTACCACCGGGCGTTGGGAATGGGCAGGGGCAAAGCACTAGCGTGACTTACAAGACAATGAGCGCCTCGCGATAGAAAGTTCGCCATCCTATGAAGGGGCCGTCAGCACATAATATCTGC